CCAAAGAGTCGACATGTCTGTTTCACACAAGTAATTAGAGCCATTTAGCCCGCTTCGCTGAGAACCCGCGCTGGGTTAAGGTCTGCGCTCACACTGCGCCAACCCTGTTGGCTAACCTCTCTGATATGAAGTGTGGAGCCTGATGTGTTAGTAAACACTCTTGCTCTCAGCCACACAGTGTGCTCCTCGTTCACGCTTCTCCTTTGCAGATTTTCCCATTTTAACAAAGAATGGGTTTCTACGCAGGGATCGTTCCTCCCGTCCTGTCTGCCCACCGCTCCCCAAAATCGCCCCTTTATTCCCACTCCCTCTCTCTCCGGCTCGTGAGAATGAATCACGGGTGTGGGCTCAACTCTGTGTGGGTCTCTGTGTGGGTTAGGGGGGTCGGGGAAAAGTGTGTGTGTATGTGTGAGACCTAACCCCCCATATACCCCCTCGTCTCCTCTATGTATTGGTCTAGTTCTGTGTTCACCCCCACCTCCCCACCACAGATAATTGCGCACAGCAGTGTCCTAGTGTCCCACAAACAGTCGTGGATTGAGCGACCACATTTTTTTGGGAGGGAGTATCACCCCCAGAAAGCGATCCGCCAATTGATTAGCAACCGGGTTCCTAGGTACCGCTAGGCTAACAGAGGCGTGTGCGGGGAGTAAAGAAACTTGCCGAAGGTTTCGCCCTGCCCGGGGAATCGAACACAGTTCCTCTCGCTCGCTTGCGAGGTGAGCGTGCTGACCGCTAACGCAACGGGACTCCACAAATCCTTCTGTTAGCTTTAAACGGATTTAGAAAAAAAAACGCGTGAAAACACAGCAGCCCTTGCCCTAGGGTCCAGCCCGGCCTCTCAGACTGGATTGAGAGTGACAGCTCGCGGCTCAGAGCAGCCCTCGGTCTGTCATGCAGCCTGCGCTGCTCCTGTCACTGTACATGAGCTCTCCCGGTGAAAGACACATGTACTTAGATTCAGCCGATCAATACAACACTTAGCAGACAATTACAGCACCAGCTGCAGTCCTGTCAGAACTCCATCTGCCCAGGGCTCACTCACACAGCCCGGTCCGGCACGGACCGCACAGCCTGGGGAGCTGGTGAATTACTACTGCAGGGCTTTGTTGCTCCTCCTCACCGTGTTCCCGGATATCCCGAGCCTTCGACTTCGTGCCCCGCTCTCCGAGCCACGCAGCAAAAAATGCGGCATCTTTGCAGGCTGTGTGTCAGACCAACCGCACCCTCACCCCTTCACTAACCCCTCGCTCAACCCACACCACCTTACCCCTCACTCAACACAATCACCACCTCACCCCCCCCTACCCCCATCTCCACCTGCTCTCACCCCCGCCCGCCCCCATTCACACCCCCCACACCCCCGACCCTCACACAATGGGCCTCAGCCCCATCTCCCCCCACTCCCCTCACCATGCCCAGCTCTAGCAGGTCACACCTGATGTGCCACTGGAGGAGAGGGAGTGGGGATCGGGGGAGAACGCGGGAGTATTTTTACCACTTTGTTGGTCGTTGGGTCAACAAGAAGGTTTGAAAGGGAATTGGACAAATGATTGAGGAAAACTAATAATAGAGGAAAATGCCTGTCTCTTCACAACGCATACCAATTTCCCCCTCACTTCCTGCCTGGTGATCCAGCTTCTTGCCTGGTGATCCAGCTTCCTGCTGGCCAGGCCTGGAGCTCAATCCTACTCCTAGCCCTTGGGCCCCTGTAGCCTGGTTGTTAATTTATGTCTCTTACACTATTGACATATTCCAAATCACAGAATGACATTATCCATTGCATTTAATTAACAATTTCAACCCCCACCCACCCCCATCTCCATGCCCCTCGTCTGTCACACTCCGTTACCCCTTATTCCACACAGTCCCCACAGCTCAGCCTGTGACACCACATGTCACTTTCACCCTCTGGGCTGTAAATCCGGACGTGGGGAAGAATTTCTGATTGTCCTCCTTATCTGAATTCACTCTCAGTCTCACGGAACGAGTCTAGCGATTTCGGAACATAAACAGCTGAAGAAAGTCAAGACACATGACAACCTTTAAAAGGGAAATAGGTAAATAGTTTGGGGAAAATAAGATCAGGGGCTATAGAGTACAAGCAGGGAATGGGGATTAGAGTAGAGAACTCCAGTGGGGGGAGCAAGCACCAGCACAGACAACAACAACAACTTGTACTTATATATTGCCCTCTACGCAGGTAGCATCTCAGAGCAATTAACAGTGGCAGTGGCTGATTCCGAGCCAGGTGGCCAAAAGCACGGTCGAAGAGGAAAGTTTTCAAGCAGGACTTGAAAGAGGGGAGCGAGGGAGCAAGGCAATGGGATTGAGGGAGAGTGTTCCAGAGTTTCAGGGCATAGTGGCTGAAAGCCTGACCTCCAATGGTGGGGTGGAGGGTGCGAGGGACGAGCAGGAGGCCGATGCCAATCGAGCAGAAGTGCTGGGTGGTGGATTGGGGAGTGAGGCCGGAGAGGTAGGGAGGTGCCAGGGAGTAAATGGATTTGGACACAAGTGTGAGGATCTTGAAGTCGATCATTCAGTGATGAGGAGCCAGTGGAGACTGCCCAGAACTGGTGAGATGTTGGCACGGAGTTTGGTCCGGGTCAGTAATGCGGACGGCAGAGTTCTGCGTGAGCTGGGTCTTTTGAATGGTGGAGCTGGGGAGACCGGCAAGGGGTGCGTTGGAGTGATCCAAGCGGGAGGTGACAAATGCATGCACATTTGAGGTAAGGTATGGTCAGAGGTGGGCAATGTGGCCGAGGTGGAAGAAGGGGAGAGAGCAGGGAACGGGATTAGAGTGGGAAGCAAGCACAAGCGCTCGGTTGAGTGGGTTCCCACGTAATGGTGTGAATTGCAATGTTTATATGAAGAGGCTAATTGTATGGTATTGGTGAGTGTGGCTGTGCTGAGCCGGGGCGTTAATTAAGCTGTTGATTTGATTGCCTCTCACTGGCAGTGTTAATTGTGCTGATTCACTGTCACACTCACTGCTCATTGACACTGGACTCACCACAACTCACTATAACAGCCTCGTGACAATTTACTGCCAGAGAGACGTGGGCAGAAAACAGTGTCTGTCACCTTGAGCCAGTCACTCTCAGCCTCACCCCGGGTCAAAAGTTATGGGTTCGAGCCACAAATTGGGACACTGAGCTCACGCTCTACACTGACATGGGGGGTGGGCGGTCTTTCGGATGAGACGTTAAACCGAGGCCCCATCTGTGCCCTGTTCAGGCGGACTGCAAAGATTCCACAGCACTGTCGGGAAAGGAGCAGGGAATTTCTCTCTCTCTCTCTCCCGGTGTCCTGGCTGACGATCCCCAGATAAAATCCCTCACTCACTTCACGGTTGTTTGTGGGATGTCGCTCTGAACAAATTGGACGTTGCGTTCGCCTACAGAATACACAGTCACTACACTTTACAGTGAATCAAACATGGGGACTGTTATTGGGGTTGTGATGTGATGGGCAGTTATGCTGATGGGGGAGGGTGGGGGGAAGGGAACGGGGGTGGGGGGGGGGGGGGAAACAATGAAAGGCCTCTCTCATTCCCAGCATTGACTCATTTCCGCTCCACAATAAAGAGCGAGTTTACCAATTGAGCCGATGAGATTTCCAAATCGTCCAAATAACGTCACCCTTTGTGCGGCAGGAATGTTCTCCAGGGAAACTATTCGTGTGAAGCGGTCAGTGTGGCCCTGGTTCGGGCCAGCTGCGCTCAGAGTCCCGCTCGCTCACTCGCTCGGTCTTAAAACATTCCGTGGACCGTGACTCATTAATCAAACATCCACAATTACCGCTGACGACTTACCCGACAGAGATGGCCTCAGAGCAGCACAGCGCGCGGACAAGAGGCCATTCATACAGCCCTGAGCCGCTCGCTGGCTGAACGCGTACCCTGTCACACCGGGCGCGGAGCTAACCGGCTCCAGCGTTTTGCTGTGCGCTCGAGTTTCACCGTGTCCGTCACCGCCACCAGGTTCGGCTGGTCTACAGCTCACCACAATGTCAGCCTTCGTCGTTTACCAACAACCCCTTGGAAACGCGGAGGCAGGTGTGCACCCGCGCACCTGCGAGCTCACAGCACCGCACACCCAGTGCGCATGCATGCACGCACGCACGCGCGCGCTTACAGCGCCGGGACACCCAGTGTTCACACATATGCGCGCTCACACAGGCACACGCACCTTAACATTGACACTCCTCTCATTCAGGAGTCGGTTACGCAGAATAAATCGGTTTATTTATTTTTATTATTGTACAATAATCCTGCAATAATTAGACACATCAAGGCCAAGAGTGGGGGGGGGGGGGTGTAAGGAGGGTTAAGGAGTGGTGGTGGGGGTACAGTGGCCATAGTGTAACCCCACTCTCTGCAGTAACCACGGCGACTGCAGCCGGAGTGAACCCCCAGATAAAACACTTTATTCCCAGCAGCTGATTCCCGTTATTCACGGTCAGAATTCTCCCCCAAAAGCTCACCGATACTCCGGGCGGGAGCGAGAGAGAGAGAAAAAGTGCAAGAAAGAGAAAGTATGAGAGAAAGTGTGAGAGAGCACAAGAGAAAGAGAGACAGGGAGAAAGGTAGAGAGGAAGTGTAAGAGATTCAGAGACAAAGTGTAAGAGAGAGAGCGCTTCACTAGATCATAAGCCAGGCTGACGCCCAGTGCAGTACTGGGGGAGCATTGCGTTGTCGGAGGCGCCATCCTTCGGATGAGACATTAAACAGAGCTCCCGTTCGGGCTCTGTTCGGAGATTCCGTATCGCTGTCGAAAAAAAGGCCCACTCCCTGCTGAGTTCCTGATCTGTGCCGTGTGCACTGCGTGTGTGTGCGCGAGTATGTGAGTGTGTGTGTGTGTTCGAGTGTGTGAATGCGTGTGTGTGTGTGTGTGTACGTGTGCATTGGTGTGTATGAGTTTGTGAGTGTGTGTGAGTGTATGTGTGAGTGAATGTGTGAGTTTTTGTGTGTGAGTGAATGTGAGTTTATGAGTGATTGTGTGTGTGTGAGTGTATGAGAGTGAGTGTGTGTGCGAGTGAGTGTGAGCTCCACGCTGGCGCTGGTGACACAGTCACCCAGGGATATTCTCTCACAAAAAGACAAACTCCTGGCTGCCGCTGTGTTGCTGGGGGACCGGGCTTTGGGGCCCGGAGTCCAGGCCCCAGGTGCCCAGCGCTGCCACCTGCTGCTCATGGGCGTGACCCGGGGAGAAGCTGAACAGCGGGTACTTGTCTGGGGAGGCTGGAGAGTTCAGCACCTGGAGGGGGGAAAGAGGGTCAATGTCACATCGTCTCCTCACACGGCGCTCCACCCCCACCCAGCGCTCCCTCAACCCCCTCCACCCCCACCCAGCGCTCCCTCAACCCCCCCCACCCAGCGCTCCCTCAACCCCCCCACCCAGCGCTCCCTCAACCCCCCCACCCAGCGCTCCCTCAACCCCCCCACCCAGCGCTCCCTCAACCCCCCCCACCCAGCGCTCCCTCAACCCCCCCCCACCCAGCGCTCCCTCAACCCCCTCCACCCCCACCCAGCGCTCCCACCCTCATCCTCACACATATCTCTCCCTCTCCGTCTCTCTAACACAGCATCTCTCTCGCTCCCTCAATTCCAAACTGCACAATTTTGCTTCCAGCACTACCACCTGCTGGTCGCACAGATTAACAACTGCTCGCTCGCAAGTCCTCTCAGAGAAACAGAGATAGGAAGGAAGAGGCCATTCAACCCACTGAGGCTGTTCCAAATCATAGCAGAGAAACAGACACACAGTGACACAGAGAGAGAGACACACACACGATACACACAGTAGTACAGAGAGACACACACAGACGCACACACAGTGATACAGACACACACACAGTGATACAGAGAGACACACACACACAGTGATGCAGAGAGACACACACACACAGTGATACAGAGAGAGACACACACACACACAGTGATACAGAGAGGGACACACACACACAGTGACACAATACAAAATTGCATTTGTATAGCACCTTTCACGTCGGAAGGTCGTCCCAGGGTACAGAGAGACACACGAACACACACACATACAGTGACACAGAGAGAGAGAGAGAGACATACACACACATCGCTCCAAGTCCCCTCTCCCCACCCCTGCTGACCTTCCTGATCTCCTCCAGGATCTTGCCGAGCTCAGTGTTGGAGCCGCAGTAAAACCCGATGGTGCAGCTCGGGTCCATTTTACTAAAAGGCATTTTTTTAGGTGATGAACAGTGGAAAGACTGAGGATAGAGAGACACAGGTCAGAATCCGTCACCCACTCCATGCCCAGACACACCAGACACATCTCTCCGCCCCTCCACCACCCCACACGCACATACTGTCACTGACCTGGGAGTGTGGACGGACAGTGTAGAGCAATCTTTATTGTTTCTCTAAACCTGACCTGGGAGTGTGGAAGGACAATGTAGAGAGAGCTTTACTGTGTCTCTAACAGACCTGGGAGTGTGGACGGATAGTGTAGAGGGAGATTTACAGTGTCTATCTAACCTGTGCTCAGGCAGTGACGAGTCTGATCTGTGATGATGACCATTAAGCTGAACGCTGTGAGTGACACTGACCTGGATGGGGAAGTCGGAGTGTGTGACATCTACAAAGGGCTGACAGCAGTGAGGGTCCAGGTAGATCAGGCTGTCGTCTGCGAACAACAGCGAGAGGACAGTATGTGAGCAAGTGTGTGAATGGGGGGTGAGGGTGTGTAAGCATGTGTGAGGAGGTGATTGGGGGGGTGAGGGGATTAGAGGTCTGAGTGTGGGTGTTAGCGTGTGTGTGCGCGCGGCGACTGTGAGTGGGGTTATGCGACGCAAGTGTGAGTAGACTGTGAGTGGGATATGAAGGAAAGTTTACGAACCTTGAAATCCAACAAAATAGAGCGATTGCTTGGGTTTCCCTCCCATAATCCCAATGCAGAACTCCAGGCTCAGCATCCCCTGATACAGAGACAGACACACACACAGAGTGGGACAGAGACAGAGAGAGACACACACAGCGGAACAGGGACACAGAGAGACATACACCCAGAGTGAGACAGAGAGAGACAGAGACAGAGAGAGACACACAGAGAGACAGAATAATATACTGACCAAATTATCTGTGTTATCCCATATGTTACATTTGACAGAGACGATAACAGAGACACATCTCAGAGCGCTCACTTATTCGCTCCACAGGGTGTAGTGACTGTATTTTTTTAGGCAAACATGGCGGCCAATGTGCAAGGTAAGGTGCGCGTACGGCCGATAAGTGAGCAAGCGAGAGATTAACCTGGGGAATTGCCGGCCACGACCCCAGGGGAGAGAGAGAGAGAGAGAGAGAGAAAAACTCCCATCTCATTCTGACAGCATGGTAGGAGCACGGAGATTTCACACAGAGTGTGAGACAAACTGCTTACCACGCACAGCGACTGCTCCCACACAGACCCTCCCCTCTTCTCTTGGCCCCTCACCTCACCTCGCAGTGCCATCCCTCCCGGCTCCACCCCACAGCTCAGCTCCCGGCCCCTTCTCTACACCGCAATTACCTTGATGATGTCCTGGTACTGGGAGTTGACCTTCTCTCCCCCGAGCCGGACGGGGATCAGTAGGATGACAGCGCCGCCAGAATGTGTCTCCATCAAGTCTGCCACGTATACTGCAGCCAGAGATACACCCACTCAGAGCAGCTTAATACCCAGAACAATCCCCCCTCCACCCCCCAACCAGCATAGACATGATGGGGAGTGAGCAGGGAATGGGGTTAGAGTAGAGAGCTCCAGTGGGGGAGTGAGTACCAGGAACATGTCACCTGTGAGAGGGTGGGATGGGGGTGTTGGTTGCCGTGATGATACCTGTACAATCCTGGGCCACATAAACCGCCAGCCCCTGCAGCTCCGGCTCCTGCGCTTCCTGCAGCGCCTTCCTGAGCAACAAAACACAGAGACTGAGCCTCGCTGCCCCCAGTAACCTCCACACTGCCCACTCATTCACACTCCCAGGTCAGAGTTAGAGACACAGTAAACCTCCCTCTACCCTGTCCGTCCACACTCCCAGGTCAGGATTAGAGAGTAAAGCTCCCTCTGCCCTGTCTGTCCACACTCCCAGGTCATAGTTAGAGAGTAAAGCTCCCTCTACCCTGTCTGTCCACACTCCCAGGTCAGGGTTAGAGAGTAAAGCTCCCTCTACCCTGTCCGTCCACACTCCCAGCTCAGGGTTAGAAAGAAAAGCTCCCTCTATACTGTCCGTCCACACTTCAACGTAAGGGTTAGAGACACAGTAAAGCTCCCTCTACACTGACCAGCCACACTCCCAGGTCAGGATTGGAGCCGGGGAATTTCTCACCGGATGATATGGGCGACCACTGCTGGACCGTACCAGTCTCCCGCTTTCTTCCCTAAGCTCTTCCCAACCTCTGTCAGACGGTGCATTCCAAATGGAGGGTGTGGTAGGTCTGCAAACCAGGAGATTATTTTCCGGTGACAAATCTCATCCTGGCTGAGCGTTGGGCTTGGGACGTGGCCTTGCTGCTCACTGCCCACCGGGACTGGATCATCGTTCGTTTTCCTGGAGAGCTTCAGTGAGCCCGAAAATTCCACCAGGCTCCTGTACAGTCCCTCAGACCGCTCCAGCGTTCCTTGTTTCACAGTTTTCAGCCCCTGGGAATCCTGATTATCCATGTCCAGTACATCAGCCCAGACCCAGTCTGTACAGGATAGAGAGCGACGTCAGCCACTTGTCACAAAGTGGGGCTAAGATCAGCCACTCGGCACAGAGCAGGGGATGAGAATCAGTGACGGGGACAGGAGGGCGGGTGATGGGATCAGTGCCGGGAGTGGGTGGGGGTGGGATGGGATGAGTGAAGGCGACGGCGGGGGAATGGGACTGAGGTACTCACGCCGCCCGAGGAAGTGCAGGAGGAGGCTCTGAGCGAGCAGCATTTGCCCGGAGCGCAACGTGCAGCCCCAGCCACAGTCTGTGGTAAGCCCCGTGGCTCCTATGGGCGGGAAGGCTCGGCGGTACGTCAGCCAGACTCTGCTCCCAAAGTCCCTGCGGAACTGCTCCACGTTACAGGGCACACACGCCGCGCTCGGCCTGTCTGGCGCCACTCCGCCCGGGGCCACTCCGCCCGGGGCCACTCCGTCCGACGCCTCTCCGCCGGGCGCCACTCCGCCCAGCACTGAGCACAAACACAGAGACGGATGAGGAGCACATTAACTCTCCTGTCCCAGTCACCCCTCTTCCCATTCCCACAACACTAGCAATTTGGAGACCCTTAAGCATGGTGATGGGTATCATAAGAACATAAGAATTAGGAGCAGGGGTAGGCCATTCGGCCCCTCGAGCCTGATCCGCCATTCGATAAGATCATGGCTGATCTTCAGACCTAACTCTAATTACCTGCCCTATCTCTATATCCCCTAATCCCTCTATTTTTAAAAAATCTATCAGTCTCAGCCTTGAAGATGTTCAAGTACTGAGCATCTACAGCCTTCTGGAGTAGTGAATTCCATAAATTCCATAAATTCACTACCCTCTGAGTGAAGAAATGTTTCCTCAACTCTGTTCTAAAAGGCTGACCCTTAATTTTCAGACTGTGACCCCTGGTTATAGATTCTCCTCCCGGGGAAACAGTCCCTCAGTGTCTACTTTATCAGCCCTTTAAGAATCTTATATGTTTCAATAAGATCTCCCCTAATTCTTCTGTACTCTAGAGAATACAGCCCTAGTTTATTCAGCCTATCCTCATAGGTCAGTCCCCTCATCCCAGGAACTAACCGAGTGAATCTACGCTGCACCCCCTCGAGGGCAAGTATGTCCTTTTAAATAAGGAGACCCAAACTGCACACAATACTCTCAGTGCGGTCTCACCAAGGCCCTATACAGTTGCAGCAAGACTTCCCTACGCTTGTACTCTAAACCTTTTGCAATGAACGTTAACATGGGTTCGCCTTCTTAGTTGGTGCTGCACCTGCAAACTAACTTTTTGAGACTGGTGTACAAGGACACACAAATCCCTCTGAACACTAACACTATCTAATCTCTCCCCTTCTAGAAAATAATCTGTTTTTCTATTTTTGCTACCTGCCTAGGTGAATAACTTCACACTTCCCCACATTAAATTCCATCTGCCACCTACTCGCCCACTCCCCTCGCCTATCTAGATCCCGTTGCAATCTTTTTGCATTATCCTCAGAGCTTACTCTCCCACCGAGTTTAGTGTCATCCGAGAATTTAGATACGTTACATTCAATGTCCTCGTCCAGATCATTGATGTAAATTGTAAACAGCTGAGGTCCAAGCACTGATCCTTGTGGCACTCCACTAGTCACATCCTGCCAATTCGAGAATGATCCCTACTCTCTGTTTTCTACCTGCTAGATACATCTTCAAAAAACTCTAAGCATGACTTCCCTTTTGTAAAGCCATGTTGACTCTGTCTAATCTTGTTATGGACGTCCTCCCGACGTGAAAGGCGCTCTATAAATGGAATCTTGTTGTTGTTGTTGTCTTCCAGGAATCCCATAACATCTTTAATTAAGGACTCACAAATTTTCCCTACCACTGATGTCAGACTAACTGGTCTATAGTTCCCTATCTTTTCTCTCCCACCCTTCTTAAATAGTGGTGTTATGTTTGCAATCTTCCAATCAATGGGAACCATTCAAGAATCCAGAGAATGTTGGAAGATCAAAGACAAGCCCTCCACTATCTCAGTAGCCACCTCTTTTAAAACCCTAGAACGTAGGCCATCAGGTCCAGGAAATTTATCAGTTTTAAGACCTGACAATTTACCTAAAACCATTTCTTTACTAATATTAATTCCCCCAAGTTGCTCGCTAACATTGTCTTCTGGGTTCCCCTCTATTCTTGATATCCATCACGTGTCAGACACCCCCAGCTGATAAACAGGAACAACAACATCCGTGTTACATCTGTGTGGCACCTTTCACGTCGGGGGGACGTCCGAAGGCGCTGAAAAATTAGCCGCTCGGCAAAAAAGAAAAATGACAACACTAACTCAGAGTCACTCTCTCGGACTCACACGCTCACTCTCACACAGTGAGAACTATTACTCACTCTGGGTTAAACCCCTAGCACTTTGGGGCGGAGGAAAGAAGCTAAAACATAATCTAGTGACTCACAAACTTTTCAGTCTCTGACCTGAATGTGATGTTACTGGTGAAAACTTTGGTGGTGCAGTTTTGGCTAAAAACCACAGGTTGGCGCTATGGGGTCATTGATGACACCCTTCGTCCAGTGCCAGCACAGGGCTGCACTGCAATACTACTAGTGACATCTAGTGGTGAGAACAACATACCACAACTAATAAATTATTGATAACAATCCTTGCAATTGATATAAAGCTTTATCACATCTTCAAGACGTCTCAAAGTGCTTCACAGAATATACTGTAAAGTGAATTGACTATTTTGTGGACAAAATGTGGCAACCAACTGCACACAGCAGTTCCACAAACAGAGGTAAACAGAGTTGTGTGGAGTAAGGAAATTTGTCTAAGGTTTTGCCCTGCCCGGAAATCGAGCCCAGGTCCTCTCGCTTGCGAGGCGAATGCTGTAACCACTGAGCTACAGGACTCCACACAAGAATCACCTGTGGGGACCATCAAACTCTGACTCACCATCGGATTTGAAGTGATAGCATTTCCCAAGCAGGAAGACGGGCGAGTTTCTACTGAAAGAGGTTTTGGTTTTGACGTGCCAACCTGAGGGGAGGAGACGAGAATTTCTCAGACACGGCTACAAACACTCAGCAACAACTTGCATCTATATAGCATCTTTCACGCGTGATAGTGTCTCGGAGTGCTTAACATCCTGAGAAACTGAGAACAGAGCTTCACCTTAGACATCACTGAGAACAATTGAAGGGGGTAATTTCAGAACAAATCTGCAGAGACACTACTTCAGTGAGCGAGTAGTGAACGTATGGAACAGGCTCCCTAGGGAAACAGTGGAAGCAGAAAGCGTCGTTTGTTTCAAGAACAAATTAGATAGATTTCGGCTGGAAAATAATATAATAATAATCCTTGCATTTGATATAGCGCTTTTCACGTCGGGAGGACGTCCCAAAGCGCTTCACAGAACACACTGTAAAGTGAATTGACTGCATATTTGTGGGCGAACGCGGCGGCCAATTGCGCACAGCAATGTCCCACAAACAGTCGTAGATTGAAAATGACCAATTTATTATTGTTTTTGGTTTTGGAGGGATTATTATTAGGCTCTGTGTCGAGTAAGCAAACTTGCCCAAGGTTTCACCCTCTGCCTGGAATTGAACTCAGGTCTCTCGCTTGCAAAGCGAGTGCTCTAACCGCTGAGCTACAGGACTCCAATATCTGGGGACACAGTATATAGTTTGGGACACAGCATGTCAAGCCAGGATGGTGGAAGGAGAACTAGATAGACCTTTGTGTTCTTTCAAAGGCCTTTGTCTTCTTTCGCTGAGCAAATTATTATGTATTAGAACACGCAGCGTCATTGTAACCCTGTCCCCAACCTCCCCATCCTCCCCACCACCACCGTTGAGTCTCACTGACTGTATTTCACATTGTGCCAGGCTGTCAGGATCTTGGTTTTCAGCTTGTCCACTTCGTCCAGCTCCCCATCCTCCATCTTCACCTCCAGACAGAGATTTCCATCCCACTTTGGCCTTGCACCCTCCTCCTGGGCCTCGCTCCGGCCTCAGTGGGAATTCTGCCAGGGAAAAAAAGATTTCAAACAACAAATATCTTTCATTAGAGATAAACGAAGCCCCCTCCTGCGCACTGACTCCAGCAACACCCGCCCCCAACCCAACCTGTGCCCTGCTCCAGCCCCCACCCCCGAACCTGGGCTGGTTTTCTTACATTCCAAAATGCCTCGCAGCGCTCAACGGTCACGTGTAGTGACTGTATATTTGTACACATTCATGCTCAGCTCTGAAGCGACCAAGCGATGGATCGTATATGAGAATTGTCGTCCAGGACCCAGGAGAGAGAAATACGGAGAGAAACCGGCTTATCCTTTCCCCGCAGACACCGCCGCCCGCGGGAGCTTTACCATCTGCCTGAACAGGGCACAGACTCCCCCGGGGAAGGGAAGGTTTTTAAACGGCTCCTCTGAAGGAACGGGGTCTCTCGACGTTGGGGGAAAACGCGCTCTCCCAAGCGTCGCCGCTCAGCGCAGAGTAAGGTGCTGCCTGCCCCCTCCCCAGGTCAGGTCAGGCAGCCCCCCTCCCCAGGGCCACCCCCTCCCCAGGTCAGGTCAGGCCACCCCCCTCCCCAGGTCAGGTCGACTCCATCATGTGGAGTCCTGTAGCTCAGTGGTTAGAGCACTCGCTTTGCAAGCGAGAGACCTGAGTTCAATTCCAGGCAGAGGGCGAAACCTTGGGCAAGTTTCCTTACTCCACACAGAGCCTAATAATAATCCCTCCAAAACCAAAAACAATAATAAATTGGTCATTTTCAATCTACGACTGTTTGTGGGACATTGCTGTGCGCAATTGGCTGCCGCGTTCGCCCACAAATATACAGTCAATTCACTTTACAGTGTGTTGTGTGAAGCGCTTTGGGACGTCCTCCCGACGTGAAAAGCACTATATCAAATGCGAGGATTATTATTATTATTATTATTATTATCCCAGACCAAGGGCCGCCCCAGGGGCCACCCCCTCCCCATGGCGACCCCCTCCCAGGGCCGCCCCTCTCCCCAGGCCATGCCACCCTCCTCCCCAGGGCCACCCCCTCCCCAGAGCCGCCCCCCTCCCCAGGTCAGGCCGCCCCTCTCCCCAGGTCAGGCCTCCCCCCTCCCCAGGGCCACCCCCTCCCCAGGTCAGGCCGCCCCCCTCCCCAGGTCAGGCCGCCCCTCTCCCCAGGCCTCCCCAGGTCAGGTCAGGCCACCCCCCTCCCCAGGTCAGGTCAGGCCATCCCAGACCAAGGGCCGCCCCAGGGGCCACCCCCTCCCCAGGGCCGCCCCTCTCCCCAGGCCAGGGCCACCCTCCTCCCCAGGGCCACCCCCTCCCCAGAGCCACCCCCTCCCCAGAGCCGACCCCCTCCCCAGGTCAGGCCTCCCCAGGTCAGGCCGCCCCCCTCCCCAGGTCAGGCCGCGCCCCCTCCCCTCAGTACAAACTAAACACAGGTTATGCTCTGCACTCAGAGAGTACCGCAGCGCTGATATTTCCCGCCGCGCCTTTCGGACTTTATTGCACGGATTTGCGTGAACTCAAACAAACCCACTGACAGTGCGCGGCGGCGGCGGCCACTTCCGGGAGCGGCGCCCCCTCCCCCCCGTGTCCCCGGGAGGTCAAGGGGCGCGGGTCAGGTGTGCGCGCACGCGCGGTGCCGTCTCACAGCTCTGCTGCAGAGGAGCAACAGGAGCCCTGCATCGCACACAGCAATGATGCTGCCCTGCATCGCACACAGCAATGATGCTGCCCTGCATCGCACACAGCAATGATGCTGCCCTGCATCGCACACGGCAATGATGCTGCCCTGCATCACACACGGCAATGATGCTGCCCTGCATCACACACGGCAATGATGCTGCCCTGCATCACACACGGCAATGATGCTGCCCTGCATCGCACACGGCAATGATGCTGCCCTGCATCGCACACGGCAATGATGCTGCCCTGCATCGCACACAGCAATGATGCTGCCCTGCATCACACACAGCAATGATGCTGCCCTGCATCACACACAGCAATGATGCTGCCCTGCATCGCACACAGCAATGATGCTGCCCTGCATCCCACACAGCAATGATGCTGCCCTGCATCGCACACGGCAATGATGCTGCCCTGCATCGCACACGGCAATGATACTGCCCTGCATCGCACACAGCAATGATACTGCCCTGCATCACACACAGCAATGATACTGCCCTGCATCACACACAGCAATGATACTGCCCTGCATCACACACAGCAATGATGCTGCCCTGCATCACACACGGCAATGATGCTGCCCTGCATCGCACACGGCAATGATACTGCCCTGCATCACACACAGCAATGATGCTGCCCTGCATCACACACAGCAATGATACTGCCCTGCATCGCACACAGCAATGATGCTGCCCTGCATCGCACAGAGCAATGATACTGCAGCCAGGAGCCCTGCATCACACACAGCAATGATGCTGCCCTGCATTGCACACAGCAATGATACTGCCCTGCATCACACACAGCAATGATACTGCCCTGCATCACACACAGCAATGATACTGCCCTGCATCACACACAGCAATGATACTGCCCTGCATCACACACAGCAATGATACTGCCCTGCATCGCACACAGCAATGATACTGCCCTGCATCACACACAGCAATGATGCTGCCCTGCATCACACACAGCAATGATGCTGCCCTGCATCGCACACGGCAATGATACTGCCCTGCATCGCACACAGCAATGATGCCGCCCTGCATCGCACACGGCAATGATTCTGCCCTGCATCGCACACAGCAATGATACTGCCCTGCATCACACACAGCAATGATACTGCCCTGCATCGCACACAGCAATGATGCTGCCCTGCATCGCACACAGCAATGATGCTGCCCTGCATCACACACAGCAATGATACTGCCCTGCATCGCACACAGCAATGATGCTGCCCTGCATCGCACACAGCAATGATGCTGCCCTGCATCGCACACAGCAATGATGCTGCCCTGCATCGCACACAGCAATGATGCTGCCCTGCATCGCACAGAGCAATGATACTGCAGCCAGGAGCCCTGCATTGCACACAGCAATGATACTGCCCTGCATTGCACACAGCAATGATACTGCAGCCAGGAGCCCTGCATTGCACACAGCAATGATACTGCAGCCAGGAGCCCTGCACTGCAAACAGTAATAATACTGTGCAATCTACACAGTAATAATACTGCAACCAGGAGCACTGCATTGCACATAGTAATAATACTGTGCAATCTAACAGTAATACAACAACAAGATTGCATTTGTATAGCGCCTTTCATGTCGGGAGGATGTCCCAAGGTGCTGAGCCAGGAGCCCTGCATTGCACACACTAAAAATACTGTAGCCAGGAAGCCCAGCTTTGTACACACTAATAATACTGTGGAGACCTGTAGCTCAGTGGTTAGAGCACTCGCCTTGCAAGCGAGGCATCTGGGGTCAATTCCAGGCAGGGTGAAACCTTGGGCAAGTTTCCTAACTCCGCACGTCTAATAATAATCCCTCAAAAACAAAACTAATAAATTGGTAATTTTTAATCCGCGACTGTGGGACACTGCTGTGTGCAATTGGCTTCTGGGTTTTGCCCACAAATATACAGTCAATTCACTTTACAGCATATTCTGTGAAGCGCTTTGAGATGTCTAGAAGACGTGAAAAATGCTATATCAAATGCAAAGATTATTATAATACTGCAGCCAGGAGCCCTACATTGTATACAGTAATAGTACTGTGCCATCGACACAGTAATAATACTGCAGCCAGGAGCCCTGCATTGTACACGCTAACAATACTGTGCAATCTGCACAGTGCGTAATACAGGAGCCGTGCAGTCTCCACAGTGCATTGTGCTTTTTGCGTGTATACGTGCACAGTGTGTGTACTGTAGCTCGCAGTCCAGGCCGACGCTCCAGTACAGTTGTGGGCAAGCGCTGCATTGTACCCAGTGCATTACACTGCAGCACGCAGCCATGCATTGTATCCAGTAATAATATAGTGCAATCTACACCGTGTGTATTTGCATGTATTGTATATTCCCTTGTATTTATGCGCGGTGTGTGGACTGTAGTTCACAGTCCCGGCTGCTGCTCCGGCGCAGTGCTGCGCCAGCGCTGCGTCGTTGAGCGACTCCGTCCTTCAGATGAGACACGCAATCGCTTCGAGAGGTTTCGTCCACCGTGGATAAGGCACCGCATCGGGTGACCATCTTCGCATTAAAAACCCGTCCCGCCCTGAAATCACTCAGTGGTTTGCGGCTCTGCGCGAAAATATCACAGGCGCTACATTTTCACAGCGTCTCCTGTGAAGCGCTTTGAGACGTCTCAACGACGTGATCAGGCGCTGTACCCAATGCAGAGGGCTCATCGTTGGTGTCATTAGGGGGGGGTTCGCCCTCTGGGGGTATTACGGTACCTGTCAGTGTATTACGGTCTCTCTCGCGCTCTCTCTCTCTCTCTCTCTCTCTGAGGATTACGGTAATTCCGGGCCTACCTCCTCAGGCTTCGCCGCCGCCGCCTCGGCTTCGAGTTCCTCCGTCGCTCCCACCGGGGCCGCCCGACCGCCCGACCGCCTCCCAATGGCGGAGCGGAGAGCTTTCGCCCAGAAAATCAGCAGGTGATAGGCCGCGGCCGCGCCCGGGGAGAGGCCGGAGCCACACTGACCCTCACCCGGGCTCGGGCGGCGGGGGCCGCGCGTGAGCCCACCATCGGGGCTGAGGCCCCTGTGCGGTGCAGGAGGGGGGGGTGTGGGGGTGTGTGTGTGGGGAGGGGGTGGGAGGTTGTGGGGGGGGGGGGTGTGGGGGAGGGGTGTGTGTGTGGGGGTGTGTGTGTGTGGGGGTGTGTGTGGGGGTGTGTGTGTGTGGGGGGGTGGGTGTGGGGGTGTGTGTGTGTGTGGGGGTGTGTGTGTGTGGGGGGGGGTTGGGGTGGGGGTGTGTGTGTGGGGAGTTGTGGGTGGGGGGTGTGTGTGGGGGTGTGTGTGTGGGGGATGTGTGTGTGTGGGGGGGGTGGGGGGGTGTGTGTGGGGAGTTGTGGGTGGGGTGTGTGTGTGGGGGTGTGTGTGTGGGGGGGTGTGGGGGGGTGTGGAGGTGGGGGAAGCTGTGACATCAATGCATTACACGGCACCAATGCATTACACTGCACCCCACGGGGTGTTTGCACAGCGACGCGAGCGCTCCGAGACGCCGGGCGCTGTACGAATGTAAGCTGTTGTAACAGCAGCACATTACATTGCGCAGCGACGCTGGGCGGCGGTGGGGGTGGGGGCGCGGGTGGGGAGGTGGGGGGAGAGCCCCGCAGTGTCGGAGGCGCCGTCCTTAACCCTCACTCCCCGCGGAGTCGTCTGTGCCCACGTTGGGGCGGACGGTAAAGCTCCCGTGGGCCGCGCTGCCACCGGGGAAAGGAGAAGGCAGTGTCTCTCTCTCCCGCTCTGTCTCTGTCTGTCTGTCTGTCCCGGGTCCCGGCCGACAATCCCCACGACATCCCCTCGCCCGCTTCACGCCTGTTTGCGGGGACATCGCTGCTCGCAAACCGTCTGCCGCGTATCGCACCCCCCCCCCCCCACCACCCACCCACCAAAAAAATTTGGTCGCTCAATCCACGACTGTACATAGGGCACTGCTGCGCGCAATTGGCTGGGTATTTCGCCCACAAAATAGACAGTCACTACGCTTGACAGCATTTTCTGCGAAGCGCTTTCAGACGTCTCAATGACGTGATAAGGCGCTATATCAAATGCAAGGATTACTATCGTTCTGTTGATGATTGCTCATGGCGAGATGTTGCTGGTACAGATCCGCTTCGGCGTTTGCACACGCAACAGTCACTACACTTGAAAGCACGCCGAGCGTCGGGACTGAGCTGGGGGTGGGTGGTGGTTTCACACTCTGTGTTACCCGGGGAAAGCTGTCACCACGGGTTTAGTGCTGATTTGCACAGGTACCTGGCTGCCTGGGTTCTGGAAGCAATCACATTGTCAGATTGCGGTCGCTTCGTATCCTGTGTGGTGTCTGAGGCAAACCTCAGAGCCGGAAGACCGTCTTGCACAGGATCACACACAGAATGAAGCTACTTAACCCAGCCAGCCTCTGCTGGTGCAATCTCCTGTGAGCAAGGTCGTCCCATTCACTGCTGGAAATGAGGTGTTTTGTGCTGTCGCCTCCCCACGCCTCCTGGAAACGAGGCTGTTCCCAAACTCTTTTTATTGTATTGATTTGATTTATATCATTTGGTTTCTGCATTTATCGCTGGCAATTCATCCAGTTTATTATTGTAATAACCTTTGCATTTGATGCAGCGCCTTATCATGTCAGCTGGACTCCTCTTAAGTGCTTTACAGGATATACTGTAAAAAGTAGTGATTATGTGTTGGTGGGCAAATATGACAGCCAAACTGTGGACAGTGGAGTCCCACAAACAGCCATGAAGTGAGTGAGTGATTTTATCCGGGCGATTGTCTGCCGGGACACTGAGGGAGAGAAACTGGAATTTTTGCGATAAAGTGAATTGACTGTATATTTTGTGGGCAAATCGCGGAGGTCAATTGCGCACAGCAGTGTCCCACAAACAGTCGTGGATTGAGTGACATGATTATCATTTTTTTTTAAGCGATTATTACCCCCAGAAAAGTGATATACCAATTGACTAACCTCTGGGTTCCCAGTTACTGCAAGGTAAACAGAGGCGTGTGGAGTGAGTAAATTTGCCCAACGATTCGCCCAGACCGGGAATCAAACCCAGATCCCTAACCACTAAGCTAGGTTAGCGGTTAGGGCCCCACGGGTATCTCTCACTCTATCAATGTTTAAACGTTGTTCCCTCTCTCGGCAGGACGGTAGCAGCCGAGGTTCGAAAGCAGATCTCGAGCCAATATGGGAGCTCACCTCAGCTGCTCAAAAACCTGGCTGTGGGGGCGGGAGCTTCCCACCACTCGGTAAGTCACAGTTAGTGACCCTCGTCCCCGCAGCGCTTCACCCCTAAGCTCCTGACCTTGCCGAGCCCCTCGCCTCGTAGCACCCTGGTCTCCTTGCCCCTCTCACAGTACTCAGGTATTTCACTTCACAAACAGCACAGGAATCACTTTTATAAAAAATTATTAAAGAACGTTCTCGGAGATTGCATCAACAGCATTAATACAGCGCCTGGGAGTGTAAAGTTAATGCGTTACACGATAAAGCCTGTGTCACTGTGTGGGGGTCTTGTCACTCTTCGGGGGGGTCTGTATCACTGTGTGGAGGTCTGTGTCACTGTGGAAAGGGGGTCTGTGTCACGGTGTGGGGGTCTGTGTCACTGTGTGGAGGTCTGTGTCACTGTGTGGGGGTCTGTGTCACTGTGTGGGTGTGTGTATCATTGTGTGGGGGTCTGTATCACTCTGCGGGTCTGTGTTGCAGGTTCCCCTGACGGAGGCGGTGGAGCCTGTGGACTATGAGGAGTATCTGTGCACTCACCCCCCTGCGGTGGAGCCAGGGCCCCTGCGGGACCTGCTGGAGTTCCCCCGCGATGACTTGGAGGTTATCTACAGCCCCAGAGAGTGCCGCACCCTGGGGCAGGCCATGCCTGAAGAGGCGTAAGCAACTCCTCCCAACCATCTTCTCTCTCTTCCTCCCTCGCTCTCTCCCTCCCTGTCTCTCTCTCCCCCTCCTCTCTCTACCTCTCTCTGTCTTCTCTCCTCCCCCTGCTTCTCTCTCGTTCCCCCCAGCTCACTCTCTCTCTCTCTCTCACTCCCCCTATCTCTTGTTCTTTCCCCCATCTCTCTTTCTCTCCGCATTCCCCCCCCACTCTCTCTTTAAGCTTAAGCGCTCCTTACGCCGCTCTACGTGAATAGAGTTGTTACTGCTTGAAAGGCTGGTGGAAGCAGATTCACTAATAGCTTTCAAAAGGGAATTGATAGATGCTTAAAAAAAAGGAAAAAATGTGCAGGGCTATGGGGTAAGAACAGGGGAGTGGGACAAGTTGGTAGCTCTTTCAAAGAGCCAGCACAGACATGATAGGCCGAATGGCCTCTTTCTGTGCTTCTATGATTCTATGACTGTGAGTTGCTGTTTTGTGTGAAGGGACCGGTCAGTGCTTAGCATGCTGACATGTCGAGGGAAGTTCCTGTCTCTGTGGGTCAGGCTTGTTTTGTTACATTTTCAGTTCCGGCTATGTGGTGCTGAATTGAAATTACATTAATCATTACATTACATTAATTAATGATATACTGATTACAAGTATAGCGTAGCCTTGTTACTGACATCTGAAGATCATTTCAATTGAAAAACCCTGAAGTTCCCATTGTGCTCTCTGCTTGTTGAATGACTTTTCTGTAAGACCGTACAGAGAGAGTTCAGTTGGAACTGAATTAACACACCAGGTTACACCCCCCCCCAATTCAATGAGGGAGTGCCAGGCTTCATTTAATAATATTGTACCTGTGTGTGTGTGTGTGGAATATACACACATAAGTGTTTGTCTTTGTAAGACAGTTATTCCAATAATATAACATTGTGTCCTTGGCTCTTATTTTCAGTGAGCTGGATCCTCACGTCAGAGACTGTGTGAAGACCTACACTGAGGACTGGGCCATCGTGAACCGAAAGTAAGAGGTTTTCTTCACTGGACCGGAGCACAGAGCTTTCCAGCACAGAGAGCATCCGTCAGCCCGCTCTCCTGCTCGCTCACACCCTCCCTCCTCTTCCCCCCACCCTTCGCTCGCATCCCTCCCTCTTTCCCACACAGCCCCCACCCCTGTTTACTCCTTCCCCACCTCGCTGCGGTATCCCCTCTCCTGTTTTCTCTCTCTCCCGCTCGTTTCCCCCACCTCCCTCGCTCCCTCCCTGCGCTCTGTGTAAAGAATATGTCTCTGAGCTCCCTGTTACTGCCTGTGGTGATCACCTGTGTGCTTGGTGTGCTGATGACTTTCCCTGTATGAGCAGATATCACAAGCTCAGTACCGGCTTCAACCCCAACACACTGGACAAGCAGAAGGAGCGGCAGAAGGGGCTGCCTCGCCAGGTCTTCGAATCGGACGAGCTCCCAGACAACAGCAGCTACCAAGATGATCAGGTACTACAGAAAGCACGGCCCAGATCTAGGTCAGGAGGGGCACAGGCTTGCATCTAATCTAGGGGAGTGGGCCATCATAATCCCCTAGATTACGGAGGTTTATACTGTACCCCTCTGTTACCTAGCAGTAGATAGGAACCCAGTTGTTAATCAATTGGCGGATTACTTTCCGGTGGTAATAGTCCCTTCNAAAAATAATAATAATAATGCGGTCACTCAATCCATGATTGTTTGTGGGACACTGCTGTGCGCAATTGGCTGCTGCGTTTCGCCCACAAAATATACAGTCAATTCACTTCACAGTATATTCTGTGAAGTGTCTTGAGACGTCTCAAAGACATGATAAGGGACTACATCAAATGCAAGGATTATTATTATTACAGGCTGGATTGCCATCGAGAGATTTGGGTTATACTATACAAGGGTGCTGGGAGTGACTGGCTGAGGTGTAACCCAAAGGATGGGAGGTGTGAGACTGTGTGTCGGTGCTGGGGACTCTGCGTATGTGGACATTGAGATGCTGTGTGCAGGCTGGGGGCTGTGTTTGTGGACAGTGAGATGCTGTGTGCAGGCTGGGGCTGTGTTTGTGGACAGTGAGATGCTGGGTGTCAACTACACTGGCTTTGCTGTGACGCAGGATGAGCTGAAGCGCCGCTCGGTCTCCATTGACGACACGCCCCGGGGCAGCTGGGCCTGCAGCATCTTTGACCTGAAGAACTCTCTCCCGGACGCCGTCCTCCCCAACCTCCTGGACCGGCTGCCCATCGAGGACATCGATCAGCAGAACGAGGAACAGAGGAAAGCAGCGCGGCACAAGGAGCTCTTCGCCCTCTACCAGGGGCCGGACGAGGTGAGCATGAATCCCTCCCCCCTCTCCCCCCCATCCGCCCCCACCCCCACACCCGGGCACAACGCCACCCCTCCCCCATCCATAAACACAACCACACCAGGCATGACCCCACTCCCCCCCCACCCCAACCCCTTGGGCCACGTCTCTCCACCCCTCCCATCCACCAAAGGTACGACCCCCCGGGGTCCTGGTGGTCCAACACTCAATGACATCCAGTTGTACCCAGGTTCGCGACCAAACAGAAACATACACACAAGCTGACGGACACACACACAGTGTGGGGGTTGGGCTCGCTCCTGTCCCTCACGTTAAGGACAGCATGGCCGTCTGTGCAGCGGTGAGCCAGTAGCTGACTCGGGCCTTGTTTCTATCTGACGACAGGAGGAACCCATCGAGAGGCACAGCACTCCGGAGCTTCCCCACGAACACTTCGGGCAACGTCTCCTGGTCAAGTGCCTGTCGTTAAAGTACGTTAATCTGCGATTTACACAATAATCTTCCCCCCCCACACACACACACTCACACATACACACCGCCGAAATGGAGACCTGTAGCATAATGGTTAGCACACTTACCTCGCAAGTGAGAGGACCTGGGTTCGATTCCCCGGCAGGCCGAAACGTTAGGCAAGTTTCCTTACTCCACGTGTCTCTGTTTACCTAGCAGTAAGTAGGAACCCAGTTGTTTGTCGATTGGCGGATCACTTTTCTGGGGTTAATAATTACTTCAAAATAAATAATAATAACTATAATGTGGTTACTCAATCCACGACTGTTTGTGCAACACTGCTGCTCGCAATTGGCTGTCGCGTTTCGCCCACAAAATATACAGTCAATTCACCGTACAGTATATCCTGGGAAGCGCTTTGAGACGTCTCAAAGACATGATAAGGCGCTATATCAAATCGAAGGATTATTAGAATTAAAAACATCAGTGGCACCTCACTGATTGTCTTGTTTTGCAGATTTGAAATTGAAATTGAGCCGATCTTTGCCAGTCTGTCGCTGTACGACGTGAGGGAGAAGAGGAAGGTTGGTTGCACATCTCCGCTGTAAACCTTTCACATCCGCAAACCAGCTGCTGTGTACAACATACACCAGCTCTGTCACTACACCTCACAGTCAGTCCCTGTGAAGAGCTTCGAGACGCCCTCCTGACGCTGTGGCAAAGGCACAAGATCTTAAAGGATTGTTATTGGATGTTTTGTGTGTGAGCACAGCCCTGCTCTCCAGCCATAACTTCAGTGTATTGCTCGTTTCTCACAGCATTCCATGTTCGGCGGTGGGTGTTGTGGAGGGGGGAGCTGTGTTGGGGTGGGGCACGTGTAACAGCAGAGTATGCCCCTGGCTTGTGCTCCTGTGATTGAGCCTTGCATTGTCCTACGTGAATGGAAACGGTGACTGGAGTTTGAGGTGAATCTCTGATCTCCCGTTTATCCCTAGTCCCCTCCGCTCCACCATCGGTGGCCGTACATTCAGCCACCATGCCCCGAAACTCTGGAAATCTCTTCTTCAATCCCTCTACCTTGCCCTTTCCCTCCCCATCTTCAAATCCCGCCTGAAGACCTTCCCTTTTGATAGTGCTTACAATCACCTTCCCCCCTCCCTCTCCCCCTGGCTTGGGGTCAGACTCCGCCACTGTCGAGCACCCTGGGACGCTATCTCGCGTGAAGGGCGATACGTAAATGCAAGTTGATACCAAATCATTATTACCATTATTGTTAATAATATTAATATTAATAATAACTGTTGTGTCTGAACAGATTTCAGAGAATTTTTTCTTCGACTTGAATTCGGAGCAGATGAAAGGACTTCTCCGTCCGCATGTGCCGCCGGCCGCCATCTCCACCCTGGCGCGCTCCGCCATCTTCTCCATCACCTTCCCCTGCCAGGACGTCTTCCTGGTCATTAAGGTCAGTGGGCAGAGATTCACTGTGTACGTTTCTACAACATCTTGTTCCCTCTTCCACTCGCCCCCACCACCCTCCTCCTCTCCTGAAGTCACGCTCTTGTACAGGGAGATCTTCCCACGAGCGCCCAGAGGCAAAGCACTCTGACTGACAGATGTTCAGAGCTGTATTAACAACCTCCCCTAGACTCCCTCCCACCCCCCAGTAAACACAATACAATCAAACAGCAGGGGAAGGAGAAAATGAGAACATCCCCCGCTGGTTGATCGTGTATTCTGTAGTGTAGTGGTTAGAGCACTCGCCTCAGAAGCGAAAGGACCCGGTACGTAGGAACCCGGTTGTTAGTCAATTGGCGGATCGCTTTCCGGGGATAATAATCCATTCAAAAAGAAATGTTGGTCACTCAATCCACAACTGTTTGCACAATCGGCTGCTGCGTTTTTTCCAACAGCAAAATCCAACAGTCAATCCAATTTACAATATATCCTGTGAAGCGCTTTGAGACGTCTCAATGATGTGATAAGTCCCTGTATCAAATGCAAAGATTATTATTATAAATCACACCGCTCTCGCCCCCTCAGGGCTCAGGTTTCGAGCACTGGGAGCCCCAACCCCCCCACCCCCCACCCTCGCTCTCTGCGCTGCCGCTCTGGCTATTTGTTCAGGTTGTCGTTGTCAGTGTTGCGGATGGGGAGTAACTGTCTGCTCTGCGCAGCTGGAGAAGGTGCTGCAGCAAGGTGACGTGGGCGAGTGTGCGGAGCCTTACATGATCTTCAAGGAGTCTGACACCAACAAGGTAAGAGCCGTCACAAAGGCCTTGCTGTCTGATCGCCAGCCGCCGCTGGTTGGGTTTACTCACGGCTCAAGAGTGATGCTCTCTCGCCTCTCGGTTACAGAACAAGGAGAAGCTGGAGAAGCTGAAGTCGCAGGCGGAGCAGTTTTGCCAGCGGTTGGGCAAGTATCGCATGCCCTTCGCCTGGACCGCCATCCACCTGATGAACATCGTCAACAGTGCGGGCAGCCTGGAGCGCGAGCACACCGACTCCGACATGGCGGCCGCAGGTCAGTGCCAACACTGCACCGCACTCTCTCTCTCTCCCTTCCACCCCCGCCTCTCGCTCACTCTCTCTTTCTCCCTCCCACTTGCTTCTCTCTCCCACTCCCCTCCCTCTTTCTCACTCTCCCCTCCCTCTTTCTCTCTCTTCGTTCCTCTCTCTCTCCTCTTTCAACCCCTGTCTCTCTCTCTCTCTCTCTCTCTCTCTCTCTGCCTCCCCTCCCCCTCTCTTCTGCCTCTCCTCATCTCCCACCCCCGGTGTCTCTGACCCCCCCTTCCCTCTTTCTCCCCTTCCCCCTCCTTTCTCTCGGCTCCTCTCTCCTTCCCTCTCATCCCCTCTTTTCTCTCTTTCCACCTCTCTGCCTCTCCTCTTCTTTTTTTCTTCCCCTTTCTTATCTCTCTCCCTTTCCTTATATGTAATGTATTCTGACCAATGTTCCTCCCTCATTCCAACGAGCACCACAAATAAAGCGAGTTGGATGATGGGGGGATGGTATCAGAGACATGGATGATTATTGTTGGGCTGTGGTCTTTTCTTGGCAGAACGAAAGGGCTCCTGGTGTGAGAGGAGGAACTCAGGGCTCGTGGGGAGGCGCTCGCTGGAGAGACCCAGCACCGGAGACGAACCCTGTAACCTGAGCAGCTTCAGGCCGGCCACACTGACAGTCACCAATTTCTTCAAACAGGTCAGTGACTGAGCCACACGCACACACACAAAAGCACACACACACAGTCAGTGACTAAACCACACCACGTGTGTCCTGTGCTCCATCCCAAGACCTTTTTCTCTCTCTTTGTTGCCGTCACCAAATGCAGTGCTGATGGTCTTGAGTGACTGTCTGCCATTCGCTGTGCTCAGTAGATTCCCGCTGTTCATTCTTCCCCACTCACTTCGTCAGTTGATACATTAGGTTTATATAATGCTGTGACATAAGACTGCAATCAAAATGTCTTCCTGTCTTTTACTATCTAACCCGCCCCCCCCCACCCCCCCCTCTTTTGCTCCCTCCCTTGCTGCCCGCTCGCTGTAGGAGGGCGATCGATTGAGTGATGAAGATCTGTACAAGTTCCTTGCTGACATGAGACGACCTTCCTCAGTGCTGCGGAGACTCCGACCCATCACCGGCAAGTGGAACCTTTCATTATTCTAGTTTGGTGAAAATTCAGCACTGAAGAGGGTGAGGAGGTGGTGTGAGTGGGGTGGGGGCAAGATAACTAGAGCGCACACATGGGCATTGGGAGGGAGCGGGGAGGGACTCTGGGATGGAGTTCCAGAGAGCGGAGGCAGAATAGTTGAAAGAGCAGATGTTCAGAGCTGTAGTAACAACCTCCCCTGGACTCCCTTCCCTCCCCTAGTCTGGTCCAGTACAATTCATTGTGTGTAACAGCAACATTACATTTAACAACGCCTTTCACGTTGGGAGGATGTCCCAAGGCGCTGGACAGTTGGGTTTGGACCCGAGCTGGGGGTCGGGAGCAGCAGTCGTGGAGGGCAGAGAGGGTGAGGGTAGGAGGGTGGCCAAAGGGGAGGGTCTTGAGACGTCCCTTGAAGGAGGCTAGGGAGGGAGCAAGGTGAAGTGACTGTGGGATGGAGTTCCAGAGGGTGGGGGCAGAGGGGCTGAAGTTCCCGACCACCCATCGGTGGGGTGGGATGGACGGAGGACGTGGAGCAGGCATACATCTAAGAAACTGCGCTGTGCTGTAATTTGGAAGCCGGTGGGGTTGGGGTTCTGGAAGGATAAGGTTGGGCTGACAGCCTTGTACTGTATTATACTAATAATAATAATAGTAATAATAATAATCCTCACAATTGATATAATGCCTTATCACATTTTCAGAACGTCTCAAAGTTCACAGAATATTCTGTAAAGTGTTATGAATTCATTTTTTTTTAAGGGATTATTACACCCCAGAAAGCGATCTGCCAATTGACTAACAACCTAGTTCCTACTGCTAGGCAAAGAGAGGAAAAATACCTGAAGTCACACACTGAAGTTGTTCCTAACGTGTGGCTGGCAGCAATAGAGCAGGACTTCCCGTGGTCAATATATAAACTGAAGCTATTGGGAATTTGGAAACAAAACATAAAGCTGCAACTTGTAATGACAGCAGAAAAAAGAAACCTTTCTTACCAAAGGCCACAGTTAATATAATTATCTTGTTCCTATAATTTCTGCATGGTTAAATGCAATCTATTCATGATCTGTATATTGAGTTGAAGTATAAATTTAGTATCAGTTATAGATGCATGAGACAAGTTTATTCTCAACAAGCAGAAGTGTGTGTGAACATCTGTTTGTATACGAGTGTGAAGCAAGTTTTCCGTGAGCGAGTATGCATGTCGACTTACCCGCACTGTCTGTTATCTACGTACAGCACAGCTGAAGCTCGACATTTCTCCAGCACCAGAAAATCCCCATTACTGTCTGACCCCAGAGCTGCTCCAGGTCAGGCCGTACCCAGACACCAGAGTGAGGCCCACACGGGAGATCCTGGAGTTCCCATCCAGGGACGTGTATGTGCCCTACACCACCTACAGGTACCAGTCGCTGGGCGCGGGAGGTGGGGAACATAGGAACCTGTCCTGCCATTCTTTTAGATCATGGCTGATCTGTACCTCAACTCCAATTACTCCCCTTTTCCTGTATCCCTTGATACCCTTACTGCATAGTTGCTGCAGACACCAGGACTGTGCAAGCATGTCACATTGCTGTGTTGTCACTGAACCGGCCTCGCTGCCCGATCGCTCACTATGCCATCCCCTGCCACTCAGGTGAAATAAGTCACAGAAGTTGTGAGAAGATTGTTCATTTCTCTGAACCGAGTGCATACATGTACACACACTGCTGTGTGTGGCTGAGGCATGTACACACACTGTGCTGTGGTGGCTGAGGCATGTACACACACTGTGCTGCGTGTGCCTGAGACATGTACCTGTGCCCCACGTGTTATTGAGGCAGGTATACACTATGTGCCATGTGTGGCTGAGACATGTACATATACTGTGCCTCGCGTGTGGCTGAGGCACATACACAAACTGTGCCATGTGTGGCTGAGGCACATACACAGACTGTGCCACTTGTGGCTGAGCCACGTTCACGCTCTGTGCTGCATGTGGCTGAGGCATGTACCTGTGCCCCACGTGTTATTGAGGCACGTATACACTATGTGCTGCGTGTGGCTGAGGCAGGCTACTGACTGAGAGGCTTCACACTGCACCGCTCTTAGACAGAGAGTGTATCAGACAGTTTGGCCACAGGGCAGGGAGGAGGGGGGTGGGGAGGGGGTGGCTGTCCACCCTTGTGTGGGACGTTGTGGCCAACATCGTGATGGGCGTAGTCGGTGGTTAACTTTAACCAGAGAGTGAGTAGAAGTTGATGAGATCAAGTGTTTCCTGCACATGAGCAAGGCAGACTCTTCCTCTCCCCTATCTAGTTGAGCTGCGGTTGACATGCTCTGTGGCTGACGCCCTGTGGCTGAGCTGTGGCTGATGTGATTCCCTGCACCGGTTGAGTAGTGGAGCTGTCAGTGTGAAACTGCCAGTAAGTTATTTAGCACGGCGCTCGTCTCTGTGGCATCGCCCACAAAATACACAGTCACTACAGTATAAAGCGCTTTGAGACGTCTTGATGTGATAATGCGCTATATCAAATGCAAGCAATTATTATTATATTTGACAGTAATACTAAATGAGAAGAGGTGTAAATTAATCTAATTTTACTGTGAAGCTTTTGCTGGAAACTAAAAAAATACATGTTTTTCTCCTTTTTTACAAAAAGAAAGCTCACACTATCACAAAAATGATTGGGGAAAAGTCATTTTATATTTGGTATATGGAATAATGGAGGTAAATCCTTCATTCATCCTAAATAAATTTTATTTAAAAAAATAATAATTTGGTCACTCAATCAACAATTGTTTGTTGGACACTGCTGTGCACAATTGGCTGCTGCGTTTTGCCCACAAATACACAGACAATCCACTTTACAATATACTCTGGGAAGCGCTTTGAGACGCCTCAATGATGTGATAATGCGCTGTATCAAATGTAAGGATTATTATATAAATGCAAAATATATAATTACTTTAACCTCACCTGTGCTGTGTTAATGGTCGGTGCAGCACCAAAGAGATGTTTTACATTCACATTGGCTGCTTCCCTTCCTACGCTGATTATAATACTGGGGATTGGATTTTGTACGACGAGAAATATTGTAGTAGGGAAGAGCAGGGAATGGGATTAGAGTAGAGCGCTTCAGTGGGGGATCGAGCACCAGCACAGACACGGTAGGGAGAGAGAGAGCAGGGAATGGGGTTAGAATGGAGAGCTCCAGTGGGGGCGGAGCGAGCACATGGACAAGATGATCTGATGGTTTCATCCTGTGCTGCCATTTCTCTGAGTTGAACTAGTTACTGGGGGACATTGTTGAAGGCGGTCGAGGACGTTTATCTGCAGCTGACGTGCTGCTTGTGATAAACTGTTGTGATCTCTGTTGGCCGAGTGCAACATGGGTGGAAGATGCGCGTGTCTGCGCAGTCTGGTGGCTGGCACTACTCCGATTCCTCCGCTTCAGCCAGGCTGCCTGTGCCAGCTGCTCGCACCATCATTCTCGTTGACTTCACAACGTGGAACCGTCCCTTCCAGTTGCTCCAGAACAAGCCTTTCCTCCGTTCCACTTTCCCCTTTAACCTGGTTTTGCTGTATCTGCCGTTCAGGTTGGCGTCTCCACAGTTACTGAACCACCAGCCTCCTGGTAAAGACAGCAGGGTTGACTTTAGATTCGGTGCAAGTCAAGTCACAGATACAGGTTGCGGTGAAACACACCACCTGCTCTGTCTCAGTCAGTGCCTCCAACAACAACACAACGATACTGTTCACAACCCATATGAGAGGCTGCTTTGAGATGAAGGAAGTAGCGGTATATTTTGATGCACATTACCTACATCCGTTTGATCCAACACCAGTTACTCAGTTAAGACACCAATATAACACGTTATCCCCTTCTCTCCTGACCACTGCAGGAGTACTACCATCTCCTGCAGTACCTTACACACTGTTGTGCACATGTGAGGCTATCATTAAGGTATGTGACTGCTGGAGAGTATAACACAATTGCACGGTGAGAAATGAGAGCCAGTATGTCCTCACTGACATGAATCGTGGCTTCACTGTTACAGCTCAAATCATAGGTTTAGGTCAAAAGAGGACCTTCTCCCAAGGTTTATTACCAGCAGAATGGGGTGTGCTTCCTGGTTCACTACCAACAGAATGGGGTGTGTAATGGTTTATTACCTACCAGTTTGGGGTGTATGTGCTGGTTTATATAGATGTTTAACTGTTTGCTACCAGCAGAATGTTCTGGGACTGTTGTTTTATTGCCAGCAGTTTGTTGTGTGTTTAATGGTCAGTAGTTTAGGAGTCCTATAGCTCAGCGGTTGGAGCACACGCCTCACAAGTGAGAGACCTGGATTCGATTCCCATCAGAACAAAACCTTGGGCGGGTTTCCTTACTCCACATGTAAGGAAACCCGCCCAAGTTTTTGCTCTGCTGGGATATAATCCCTCAAGAAAAAAAGACACTAGTGGTTTGGTCACTCAGTCCACGACTGTTTGTGAGAAACTGCTGTGTGCAGTTGGCTGCTGTGTTTTGCCCACAAAATATACAATTAATTCACTTTACAGTATATTCTGTGAAGCACTTTGGGATGTCCAGAAGACATGAAAAGCGCTATATCAAATGCAAGGATTATTATTATTATTAACACATCACATTTACATAGCACCTTTCAAGTTGGGAGGAAATCCCAAGGCACTGGCCAGTCAGGGATTTGGACCCGAGCAGGCGGTTGGGATAAGGGTGGGTGGAGGGCAGGGAGGGTAGGGGTGGGAGTGTCCCCGAAGGCACAGTCAAAATGAGGGTCTTGATTCAGGCCTTGAAGGAGGTAAAGGAGGGAGCAAGGCGAAGGGACTGGGTTTGAGGGGTTCAGTTGAAGAGTTCAGTCAATCCGTGCCCTCAAGATTCTGAACACTTTCCCCATCAGCCCTGGCTTTCCCTTCTGCAGCGTCAATACTCTCGGCTTCCATACCCTCTCCTTGGAACTCTGGGAATGCTGAATCCCAGGCATCACTCTGGTCTCCCTTTGCTGCGACTAGAACTGTCCGCAGTGCACCAGCTGGGGTGGGAGCAGAGGTCTGAGGTCTACCTTGTACTCGTCATCCTGTTCACTCTTACCTGCTCTGTCCTGCTGTTACACTGTGATGATGGTTTCAGAGATCTCGCTACTAATTCCCCCAAACTTTCTCCCTGGGTGGTGCTTTAAAGGTTAATACCATTCACTTTCTGTTCCCACTGTTTGTACTCCGACCCCAATCTCATCACTTTGCCTTTGTCCACGTGAAACAACATTTGCCACTTGTCAGCCCGACTCTCAAATCTACCCAACTTCCTCGAGCTAGATGAGGGGGGCAGAATTTGGGCAGCTTGTTCCACTATTGTTGACATTCTGTGAAGCCCTGTATCTTAGAGCACTCGCCTGGCAAGCGAGAGGACTTGGGTTCGAATCCCGGGCAGGGCGAAACGTTGGGCAAGTCTCCTTATTCCACACGCTTCTGTTTACCTAACAGTAAGTAGGAACCCGGTTGTTAGTCGATTTGTAGATTGCTTTTCCGGAGGTAATAATCCCTTCAAAAATAATAATAATAATAATCATTTGGTCACTCAATCTACTGCTGTATGCAATTGGCTGCCGCATTTCGCCCACAAAAAATTCAGTCAATTAATTTTACAATATATTCTGTAAAGCTATTTGAGACGTCTCGAACACATGATAAGGCTCTATATCAAATGCAAGAATTATTATTACAAGAGGGGGTTTTCGGCACATTACCTGAATAATCCTCTGCGCAGTTAATGTCGTCCAGCAAGTCGTTGTCTCTATCCCTGGTGGAGAAGCGGCTGCCAGCTTGCTCCCTCATGGCATCCGTCAGGTTTCCCCGGAGAAGGCCGGAAAGGCGCAGCGCATAGCCGGTTTCTTTGCCCCCGAGGCTGAACGCGTACTCGACAAAGCGGCTCTCGTTTTTTACAACCTCCACCTCCACCCGCAGTGTGTGACCTCCTGCCTGTGTCAGGCGATGAACCGTCTCCAGCCCCAGCCAGAACTCGCCTGCAAAATAGTCAGTCAGCATGTTTGGGTTACTGGGTTAGATGCCTGTATTTGCTTTTAGCCGAGGGGTTGTGAGGTTTGAGTGAGTCTCTCAGTTACTACAGGACCTCAACTTTAAATTAGGACAAAAGGGTGCTGAGACTGAGGTAAGGCTCAATTTAGAGGGTGAAAGGCGCTAACGTGAAAGGCGCTGTACAAATGTAATCTTGTTGTTGGTGGGTACTGAGAGGGATTGAAGAGAGAGAAGCACTGGGAATTGAAGAGAGAGATGGACTGAGAATTGAAGGAAGGGATGGATTCGGGACTCGAGAGAAATGGATTGGAGCTCCCTGCTCTAATCTCATTCCCCCGCTCTCCCCTATCATGTCTGTATCGAAGAGAAAGATGAACGAAAGGATGGATTGAGAAGGCAGGAAAGTGGATTGGGCTGTGGTGGGCTGAATGGCCTCTCTGTCACTGGTTAATGGCTGCTGTGTGCTGGCAGTGGGGTGTTTTGCATATGTGTGATGGTCTTTCCCATGTCTGCTCATGTCTCTGTGCGGGTGTAAAAGTTTGTGGTTGGGTTTTGCATCTGGTTGCACAAACCTTGTAAACGTGATTTGTTTACTCATGTTATCTGCGGCGAAGGTTGCTGGTGAAACATTAACCTTGAGTGGATGTTGTGGTCAGACAGACTCAGGTCAACATGATTGTGTCTTCTCATAAGGTGACATGTGAGAGACAAGTCAGGATTTTATAACCGCACAGTGAGCACGCTTCTCCTCTCCGAACACACACTCTCTAGGAAGACACTCTGGCTGGTGACCAGAGGTGACAACCCCAGCCCGGCTTCTCTTCCCTTTATTCCTACGTTCATGAGCAAGAAGGGAATAAGAAGGAGAGGACACTGGCATGGACTAGTTGAACCGAATGACCTGTTTCCATTCCGTGTTGCTCTTAATGATCTGTTGGTGTTGGGGGCGGAGGGGGTGGCGGTTGGGGGGAGCACAGCATTGGTGCATTGGCTGTCCTTCAAGTAGGATGTTAATCCTAGTCCTGCCCGTCTGACACTGTAGGGAAACATAAGAGTTTGGTGGTCTGGGCTGGTGTCCTGGTCGGCAACCCTCCAGTCTGATCATACCATGGCTTTGTGTGTGGGACATTGATGTGCTTCCTACAAATTCACAGTCAGTGAAAGTAACACTTGCAGCACACATTGTTGTGGATTTGGGGGCATGCATGTAGCTCTCACACATCACTGCCCGGGTGCGAGTCCCAGTGTCGGCCTTACCTTCCAGGGCACCAAATCCTCGCTCATAGTTTTCCCAAGGCTGGTCAAAATCCACCGAGCCGTCAATACGCTGCTGGATGACTGTCCATCCACCCTCTGTAAAGACGAGAGGCAAACACGGGAAGTGGTGCTGGGGTTAGTCTACATTACCTAGATACCCAGCTTCTGTGAAGCACTGTGTTATGTGTATAACATATTCTGTGGTCAACATTCTAGGGCTACGCCTTCTAGCACTCCCACTCTCTACTCTAATCCCATTCCCTGCTCTCTCCCCATCGTGTCTGCGCTGGTGCTCACTCCTCCCCTGGAGCTCCCTACTTTAACCCCATACTCTGCTCTCTCCCTATTGTGTCTGTGCTGGTGAAGGAAGTGTGAAGATGGGGATGAATTACCTGCTGTGATGTGACAGTACACATAGGACGCTCCATATCCGTTGGGTTTCACCAGAGTCACTCCGCTCCCGTTCTTGCCATTGCTGTAGATCTCATCACAGTTACTTGGTACGCCTGTGGAGATTCACATAACAAAAATTACAATGCAGAATGAGGCCATTCGCTTCAAACCTGTGCTGGTGCTCGCTCCCCCACTAGAGCACTCTACTCTAATCTCATTCCCTGCTCTCTCCCCATCGTATCTGTGCTGTTGCTCACTTGCCCGCTTGGGCTCTCTATTCCATTACCGTTTCCCTGTTCAATCCCTGTATTGTTTTATATTCTTTTTCTTCAAATATGTGTTTAATTTGCATTTAGTTGCCCAGGTTTCAGTCTGACATGTGACAAAGGGTGATTTGATGTGACGTTAGTAGAACAATTGATTTCCGGTGGAACATTTTGGGGCAAATTTACATACACAGACGAACATGCTCACGCACTCACTCACACGCATTCACTCACAAAGACACACACACAGCTATTTCCTACCGGTGTAATCTGCCAATAGGGCTGTGCTGTCTCCTGGAAGCTGGTGGAAGTGCTGGGGGTATGGGGGCTGTGATTGATGCTCAGGGTCATTCAGGCTCCCCTGGTCGATGGTGGTATCTAGCTGTCAGAGAGGGCAGTGTTTAATATGTTTGTGTCTATAAGAACATAGCCCGTGTTATTAGAGACTGGCCTTAGCTTAGCCCAGTCGGTAGCGCTCTCGTCTCCAGGTCTGAGGATTGTGGGTTACAGCCCCTCTCTTTGGAGCTTTGAGATCACAGTGTTGAGGTAAACCTCAGTACAGAACTGGGTGGGAGGGCGTCCCTGGCATGAGGTGTTAAACTGAGCTCCTGTATGAAAAAGCGCAGTAAGTCTCTCCTGGTGTCCTGGCTAATAAGCCTCCAGATCATTTCGCCAGCGGTGCGATGTAGTATGGAAGGCTTTGCTGTGAGCCCAATGGCTGCTCCTTTAACATAGTTCCTCCGTGACTCTACCTCGCGTGAAGCTCGCTATATAAATGCAAGTTGTTATTGTAGTCACTACACTTGACAGGATGTACCAGCAGGAGCGCCATACTAAGCTGATCTGGGTATGTGTGTGTGTGTGTGGGGGGGGGGGGGGGGGGCTGGGGAGGTGGTGGGGGGAGTGCCACACTAAGCTGATGTTTAGCCACCTTGTGTTCCAGTCTGTGTATCTGCGTTCTCTGTTGCTCCAGCTGATGTTCCTGCTCCCGGATGATGTTGATCAGACTTTTTAGGTTTTTATCCTGTTCTTCAACAAGGACCTGAGTACAAAACATACACAGCGACTGTCACACTCACACACACAGCGACTGTCACACTCACATGCACAGCGACTGTCACACTCACACTCACAGCGACTGTCACACTCACACGCACAGCGACTGTCACACTCACACGCACAGCGACTGTTACACTCACACGCACAGTGATTCTCACACTCACACGCACAGTGACTGTCACACTCACACGCACAGCGACTGTCACACTCACACGCATAGCGACTGTCACACTCACATGCACAGCGACTGTCACACACGCACAGCGACTGTCACACTCACAGGGTACAGCGTACACACGGACTGTGACACACACAGGATACCTGTGATAGAGATACAGCAGCTGTTATCCCATAGTGTACAACACAACACAACACAGAGATACAGGGGAGATAACTGGTGTCGTTTGATTCTACAATCAGAGCAATCACACGCCTGGATATTGCTAAGTCTCCAGCAGTCTCCATGACCACCGCAGCTTGGTTAACAATGTGTCTTGCCCCTGCACCACTTTAACATGGAACACGCCAATTACAGGCCACCAATCTATATTTACACAGAGCCTTGTACACTGGGACCCTCCAAGAAGTTTAACCGTGAGAGCTGGGCACCCGAGCTGGGGGAAGGAGCTGAGAGGCCGGGGAGGGGAAAGAGAAACAAAAACACGGTCAAAAAATCAAGTATCGAGACAGACTGTGAACGAGGGGAGAAAGAGAGAACGAGTCAGAGGGACTCCAGGAGGGTGGTGGCAGGAAGCCTGGATGCCCAACCGTGAAGCTGGCGGTGCTCTCTGAGCGAAGGGAGCGACCATGTCGGTGGGCCTTGAGGGGGTCACATTGTTAGGGAGTCCTGCAGCAGATTGGTTGGTGAGTTTGGAGTCCTGTAGTGTTAGAGCACTCGCCTCGTAAGCGAGAGGACCCGGGTTCGATTCCTGGGTGGGTTGAGACCGTAGGCAAGTTTCCTTACTCCACGTGCCTCTTTTTACCCAGCAGTATGTAGGAACCCGGTTGTTAGTTGCAGATTGCTTTTCTAGGGGTAATAATCCCTCTAAAAAAAAATAATAACTTTTTGATCCACTTTTTGCTGTCACGTGATGCACGACTCTTTGTGGGATACTGCTGTGCGCAATTGGCTGCTGCGTTTTGCCCACTACATATACACTTAACAGTATATTCTGTGAAGCGCTTTGAGATGCCTCAATGACGTGAATAGCTGCCATATCAAATGTAAGGATTACTATTAGGGTGGGGCAAGAATTTGGAGTGATTTAATAATAGTCTTTGCATTTGATATAGCGCCTTATCATGTCTTCTAGTCATCTCAAAGTGCTTCACTAAAAAATATACTGTAAAGTGTAGTGACTGTGTATTTTGTGGGCGAAAAGGTGCGAACAAGGCTCTTGAGCTAGATGAGCATGAAGTGCACCTACCTTTAGCCCAGCGATCTCCTTTAGCTCTGCGAGCTCCTGCTTGGTCTGGCTCAGCTTGTCCAGCTTCTCCTCCAGCCCCTCCACCTTGGTCTCCAGAACGGTCCTGTTCTCTAGGATGCTGTCCAGTTTGGCTTTGATATCCTGGGAGATGGTCTTCAGCTCCTCGTTGGTGCCCCGTAGGAACACCGTGGTCTTCTTCAGCTCCTCCTCGTCGCTCTGGATGGCCTGGGTCTGCTGGGAGAGCTCGAAGAAGGAGCGGTCGAAGATGTTGATCTTCTCGAAGATTTGGTTGATTTGGTTCTTGGTTTTCTGGACAAAGTCCTTCAGGCCGTGGCCAAGCTGGAGAAGGCCATTGGCCAGGATCCTCACGTCGTCCAACATGGCGAAACGCGAGTTCTCGGGGAGGTAGGGCCGGGCACCGGGGTCACTGTTAGGCATTAGGGCTTCAGGGGTGGACAATAGCTGGAACAGGAGCAACGCAAATAAGATCCTCTCTGCCTTCATCCTCCTTCCTCTCGCCTCACCCCTGGCTATGTGCAGCTCAGTAATCTCCAGCATGCTGCTCTATGTATATATATATATACCAGAGTTGCCTCGCTGCTTACACAAACCTACCAGTTGATGATTAACCAGGTTTATTCTTGATTCCAGATTACCCTGAACTGGAATAGGATTAAAGCCGGACAGGAAACGGCAGTGCTGGGGATACGGGGAGGGAGGAATGGAAAACACCCTGACGTGAACTATCTGAAGAGCTCAACGCTGTCACTGATCTTCAGCTTTCAGTATGAAAGCTCTTTATGCTTCCCAGGATCTAGTAGTGTGTTCACATTGAGTTGGGGAGTCACTTGATACTTTGTCTTCCCCATTACCCTCTCCATCTCTTTCCCCCCTCCCACCCCCGTGCTCTTTCTTACAGTGTATTCATTTTGTTGCTCAAGAGCTCCATACACATGTAATTTGTTGTTATTGTCGTAGTTCGCACCCACAGCTTCATTGGCTCCCCTACCTCCCCACCCCGTCTGTCTGGTATCTGGCTGGGAACACTTTGCACGCAGCTCTGGAAATGTACTGCTTGCTTCCTTATCTGGAACCCTAAACTCTGTGTTTGTATGCCGCTGCTATCTTATCCTCTGTCTTATGCAACAGTTTATTTTCTCTGTCACGTCTGACTGCTTAATCTACTAATCTAACCAACACATCTGGATATGCATTTCCCTCCTTACCCCTCCCGCTATCCACCACCCCCCTAGTTTTCCCTTTCACTCCCGAAGAACCCCCACCCTCTGGAATTGCATCCCACAGCCCTTTCGCCTCTCCCCCTCTCTTGCCTCCTACAAGGCACGTCTCAAGACGTCTTCAACCACACCTTCTACCACTCTCCTACACCCTCCCCTCCCTGCCCTCCACCCCTCCTGATCCCAACTCCCAGCTCGGGTCCATCTCTCTGACTGTCCAGTATCTTGGGATGTCCTCCCAACGTGAAAGACGCTGTGTAAATGTAACTTGTTGTTGAAGATGGGGAGGGGGTATCACAGCCGATCCTGCTCCCAGCATACAAGCCAGTGAGGGGCCTTTACAGGGACAGCGAGCAGAACCCAAGCTGATTCCCCCCCTTAAAATGAGGAATAACTTAGTACAGAGCGGCAATGGAGCCCGGGACCTCCCTCGTCAGCAGCTCAGTTTAACAACTGAGACTTTACTTTGGGCGCAGGGAGGAAGATCCCGCTATTATTTTTCTCTCTTGGTGGAAGGAGCCGGACAGGCCAGTCGACCACATTGCATCCAGCCTTTTGGCGAACTGTACCAGGCTTCACGTTTGACAATTTATCCAGGTTTGGGGAATCCCACAGATTAAGCTGCTTCTGATAGCCACAAACGTCACCCAGAGAACTCACAGACACTGCACTTTGCAGTAAATCCTGTGAAGAGCTTTTGGACATCCACCTTATGTCCTCGTGGAGTCCTGTAGCTCAATGGTTAGAGCAATCGTCTCGCAAGCCAGAGGTTCAATTCCCAGGCAGAGTGAAATGTTTGGCAAGTTTCCTTACTCCATATTCCTCTGTTTACCTGGCAGGAAGTAGGAACACGGTTGCTAGATGATTGGCGGATTGGATTCCGGAGCTAATCATCCCTCAAAAAAAGATTGGTCACTCAACCCACGACTGTTTGAGGGACACTGCTGTGAGCAAATGGCTGCTGAATTTTGCCCACAAAGTATTCAGTCATTCACTTTACAGTGTATTTTGTGAAGCGCTTTGAGACGTCTCAACGACGTGATAAGATTCTGTATCTAATGCAAGGATTATTATTATTGTAAACTGGACTGTGTAACTGCGCACTGAATCCAGGATTGCCAACATGACAGATTACACTTGACCATCCTTGTTTCTCCGTGTGGAGAGAAAGCTGCCCCCGATCGGTGAACTGTGAGGTGCCGAGCGGTTTAATAAAGAAGAGAATTCCGTGGTCGCAGATTCCTTTGTGTCCAGCTCCGGTACTGCCTGGTTGTATTGCAGTCCCGCATGTCCGAACTAGAAGGTTCAAAGCGTGGTGAAGCTGGAGTAACCCCCAAACAAAGTGACTTATTGGCTTTTGTGTCCCTGAGACCTGTATTCCACCCAGTCTCAGCCTGTCAGACTGTTCAAACTGAGCATTTTAGATTGCACAGAATTATGGAATTATGGAAAATTCTTCAACTCAGTTTTAATTTAAAAGACCATTTTCCATAGCTCCCGTTCTCTTCCCTTCCATTCTTCCTGAAATCACAATCTTCAAAATCCCGATCACGGTTTAAAATGCAAAGTTTAACAAAATAAACTGGTTTGTGTAAGGAGAGATGACATTGGACAAAGCACAGTGTGTGTGTGTGTGTGTATGTAGATGTATATCTGTCTGACATGTGTTGTGCACGATTGGGCGTTCACCAACAAATACACAGTCACTACACTTTACAGTAAATCCTGTGAAGCGTTTTGTGATGTCCTTCCGACCTGAAAGGCCCGATATCAAATGCAAGAGTTATTATTATTATTTTTCTGTGTGTGAGTGAGTGTGGGCTCTGATGACACGGTCACAGGAAAATTCTCTCACAAATAAGCCAAGCTCCTGGCTGCCCGTGTGTTGCTAAGTGGCTGAGACGTACGGTTGGTGATGTGTGTGTATGTGTGGGTGTGGGTGCCAGGGAGCCGCAAAATGATTCTGTTGCTGCCAGGTGTCTTTCACCTCCAAACCCCGGGTTTCCTTCCTGTAGGAACTTGCTCTACGTCTACCCACAAAGCCTGAATTTTGCAAATCGCCAAGGTTCAGCGAGGAACATCACGGTGAAAGTGCAGTTCATGTCGGGGGAAGATCAGAGCCACGCCATGCAGGTATCTCATTACGACTGTTTGTGAGGACACTGCTGTGCGCAATTGGCTGCTGTGTTTCGCTCACAAAATATACAGTCAATTCATTTTACAGTATATTCTGTGAAGCGCTTTGAGACGTCTCGAAGACGTGATGAGGCGCTATATTATTATCTGTTTTTGTAACACAGCCCTGCCTACAGTCATTTATATTAGACAGGCATAACTTCATCTCGGGAGGTTTGTCCGGCTGTTGTGAGTGTCATTTCCCTCCCCCGCTCGCTCATTCACTTTCATTCTCTTTCTAATTTATTCTCTATTTCTGTTAATGTCAGCCGGCCCCCTACATATTAGATCTATAATATTATATAATTTATTCCCTTGCCTGTGTCCCTCCTCACTCACAGCTAGGATGTAAGGTGCAGACTGACAGAACCCCTTTCCCTGCATTGCACTGCTCACTAGCCAGACTAGCTAGCCCCACTCCCAGAAAGATCTTCACTTTGACGTTGTTCTCTGTTTAGGTAATCTTTGGGAAGTCAAGTTGCCCAGAGTTCACCAAGGAGGCGTACACAGCAGTCATATACCACAACAGGTAAGAGATGCCGGGGGTCCCGTCTCCAGCCCTCTCCCACTAACAGCCTATACTGGAATGGTCAGTGTGCTAACCATTCCAGTGTAATAGGGTCTTCCAAGTCGGAAGATTGTGGGCTCCAGCCCCAAACAATGAAATTTGAGCTCACAGTCTAAGTTGATGCTCCAGTGCACTGCTAGAGGAGCACTGCATTGTCAGAGATGACATATTTTGGATGAGATGTTAAATCAGGCCTCCTGTTTGTGTCCTGTTCGGGTGGATGTTAAAGATCCCATGGGAGAGGGTGGGAGTTTTGGGAGAGGGCGGGAATTTGGGGAGAGAGTGGGAGTTTTCCCCAGATGATGTTCTCCAGGGGAAGGAAAGTAAAATCAAACACCTTCAGGAGAGGCAGAAACAAGAGGAGAAAAAGAGATTACGGTGCCCCTCAGGCACATTGTGCATTTATCTCAAACACTGGCTTGATTTTTGTTTCTTTAAATGAAATATATCTCTTTCAAAAAATATACAGCATAATAAATTTTGAATTTGAAAGAATGCCATATAACGTCGTTGAGATGTCTCAAAGTGCTTCACAAGACCTGGAAGGGCAGACCAATCACTGGGGGCCGGAATCATCTCATTCAACTCCTGTTAACTCTGCGTACAAAGCCCTAAAGGGTAGGGTGGTCTTAGCTGGACAAACAGAATCTAGAATCTAGCAGGTACCCCAAAGCACACTCTGGTGTCCCCAAGCCTTGGCTCTTGCCAACCTGCGCCTAGTACCCTCTGGAATTAGGTAAGCAGGATACGTTCCTCAGGGAGAGAGAGAGAGACAGAGAGTGCGCTATCCGTTCCAATAATCTATCTCAAGGATTTCCACGTGTAGGTTGGATGCATGGGATGGGTTTCCTCATGTGTCAGATACTATATTGGCAAAAAAAAAGCAAACTGTAACACTGATGAGAGAGGTCACTAAAGCCCGGTCAGTGACCAGATCACGCCAGGAGCTTGTGATGTGTTGCAATATTTGTACGCAACCTCCCTCCCATGCTCTGCCCTGGCAGTCTGGTGAGTCTGATGCCTCTGTGTCTTCAACAAGAGGCTGATTTTTATTAAATCAAAGCTTAACAAATTATTAAATTATTTTCATTACTTAGTCAAGAACAAAGAATCATAATGCTCACAACACAGGAAGAGGTCATTTGGACCGGTGTGTCTGAGCTGTTGCTCGCTTCCTCACTGGAGCTCTCTACTCTAGCCCCGTTCGCTATTCAAATACCGATTCATTTCCCTATGGAATGTTATTATGGTCTCAGCCTCTTGAGACAAAGAGTTCCGTCTAGTAGTAACCCTGTGCTGTGGAAAAAGGCTCTAATTTCCCTTATCAGCACACATTAAGCGGTGGGTGTCATCTCTGACATTCTATGAACCTTTTCAACCAGAAGAATGTTAATTAATCGTCTCTTAACCTTCTCTGGTGCAATGAAAAGCCCGATAGCGATGTCCAGGCCTTTGACACAGCGCCTTATCACGTCGCCAAGCGCTTCACAGGATATACAGTAAAGTGTAGTGACTGAGGTTTGTTTCTCGCAAACACGGCGGCCAATTTACGTGCAGCAGCGGCTCACAAATAGCAGTTAAGTGACTAAGTGATTTTTGAGGGCATGGGTGGGGGTGTGGAGGGGAGGAAGGTGTTGGCCAGCACATCGGGCGAGCAGCCTCCTGCTGTGCTGAGGGTTTCTGTGTCTTTGTGTGTGGGTGAGGGCGTGGAGTGTCTGTGGGTGTGGATGTATGTTTTGGGTGGTTGTGGGGGCGGTGGGGTGTGTGAGTGTTTGTAGTGTATAGGGGGTGTGTTGTACCGGTGTAGGGGGTGGTGTGTATGTTGTGTCGGCATGTGTGTTGTGTCAGTATGTGTGTGTGTGTTGGGTGTGTGTGTGATTGTGTTTGTGTGTGGGGGGGTATATATTCTGTCAGTACGCGTGTGTGGGATGTGTGTGTGTATTGTGTCAGTGTGTGTTGTGTTGGTGTATGTGTGTGTGTGTGTGTGTGTGTATGTTAGGTGTGTGTGTGTTAAGTTTGTGTGTGTGTGGTGAGTGTGTGTAAACGGGACCCTCTTTCCTGCAGGTCCCCTGACTTCCACGAGGAGATAAAGATGCGGCTACCGGCATCCCTGACCGACCATCACCACGTGCTCTTCACCTTCTACCACGTGAGCTGCCAGCAGAAGCAGAACACGCTATTGGAGACGCCCGTGGGCTACACGGTGAGCTCCCGTCTCCGATAGCGAACCGGCGGCATTGCCACGCCCTGCTAGAACACTGCTAAAACACTGGCTGCTAATGATTAACACCGCCGGGCCTCTAACACGCCATTTAACACTGTGTGTGTAACTCGTGTTGTCACTGTATAACGCGGGGTGGTGAATTGGTTATAGAGGGGGAGTGGGTGGCAGTGGGCAGGAGAGAGTCCAGAATGGGAGTTGGCAGAGGGGGAAGAGGTGGATAACTGGGAATGGGAATCAACAGCGGTAAGTTGCACTGTATAGCGCTTTCACATCAGGAGGATGTCCCAAGGCGCTGAGCTCCTCTGCTGTACCTTTTAATTGTTTGAAGCGGCCTGAATGCTCGCTCGCTCTCGCACGCTCTCCCTTGCGCATACTGTCCCAGTGCGTACACACAGGCGGACACAACCACAGTCACATGTAGGCATCTGGTATGTGGACACACACCACAGGGGCTGTTTGAGTGGCTGAGTTGTACTTGCATGAACAAGACTTGAGGGTTGTGGAGGGGAAGTGAAATTGACAGATCATCCGGGATAATAACTGACAGATCAGGTCTGTGTTGAGGGGAGGGGCAGACGTGTTGTGGGCGGGTGCATGTGTGTGGGGTGGAATTGTTTGTGTGTGTGTGTGTGTGGAGGGGGTGGGGGGGGTGATTAATAACTGGCAGATCAGGCCTATGTTCTCAAGCACCTTCCTCCCTCCTGTGACAGTGGATCCCAATGCTGCAGAATGGGCGCCTCAAGACAGGACAATTCTGTCTCCCCGTCTCCCTGGAGAAACCTCCCCAGTCCTACTCTGTATTGTCTCCAGAGGTAAGCCCCCACCGTGCTCCCGACTGCCCTCTCCCCCATCTGTGATAGTGAACACGGGTCGCTGTGTGTGCGTTTGATTTTGACTGTATATTTGTGTGTGGATGTCTGTATTTGCGCGTATGTCTGTGTGTGGGGTTGGGGGGAGGAGATTGTGTGGGATATGTGTGTGTGTATTTGAGTGCATGTGTGGATGCATGTGTTTAAAGAGGTGTGCATGAGCGCTTGTGTGTGTGTGTGTGTGTGTATTTATGTTTGGGGAGGTGTGCATGTGAGCCTGTGTGTACGTCCATGTGTGTATTTGACCTTGTATTTGGGGTGCATATGTGTGTGCGTTTGGGGGGGGGGGTGTGTGCATGTGTGTGTTGGGAGGGGGCATGTGTGTGTGTGTTGGGGGGTGCAGGTGTGTGTCTGTTTGGGGGGGGGGTGCACAGTGTGAGGTGTGGCGGGGATGCGGCTGTTATTGTATCCTTACCTGTTGTGCTGTTGTTACAGGTGCCGCTGCCTGGAATGAAGTGGGTGGATAATCACAAGGGGGTGTTCAGCGTGGAGGTGCTTGCTGTCTCGGCCATCCACACGCAGGTCAGAAACATAAGCCATACCTGCCTTACCTTGTAGCCAGGCCTGTCACTCAGTGAATCCAGCATCACTTCCTTGCTTCTCAATGTTGGTGGAAGCTGCCAGGCTGCTCGATGGCTTGACTCAGGAACATAGGAACACAACAGGAGGAGGCCATTCAGCCCCAAACCTGTTCCGCCATTCTATAAGATCATGGCTGATGTGCACCTCAATTCCAATTACCTGCCTTTGCCCCATATCCCTTCGTACCCTGACCTAAGGAAGAACCCTGAAACAAAAACAGAGATTGCTGGGAACACTCAGCAGGTCAGGCAGCATCTACAGTATTTTGCGTTTTATCCAAGTAGGAATCCGGTTGTTAGTCGATTGGTATTTTTTCCTGGGGGTTAATAATACCTTCAAAATCATAAAATAAATAACAACAACAACTTGGATTTATATAACGCCCTCCACACCGGACGGCGTCTCAGAGCGCTTTACAGTAACAGATCCCGGGACCGAGTGGGGGGGAAGGTGACCAAAGGCGCGGTCAAAAAGAAAGGTCTTGAGCAGAGACTTGAAAATGGGAAGGGAGGGGACGAGAAGAAGGGAGTGAGGAAGGCAGTTCTAGAGCCTCGGGGCATAGTAGCTGAAGGCACGGCCACTGCGGGTGGAGCGGAGGCCTCGGGATGAGGAGGAGGCCAGACCCGGATAATAATTTGGTCACCCAATTCACGACTGTTTGTGTGACATAGCTGTGCGCAATTTCGCTCAAAAAATACACAGTCAATTGACTTTACACTATATCCTGTGAAGCGCTTTGAGACGTCTCAAAGACATATTAAGGCGATAAATCAAATGCAAGGATTGTTATTATTTTGTGGGCAAAAACGTGGCAGTCAGATACGGCCAGCAATTGGCTGCCACGTTTTATATGGAGTGAACAATTATATGGAGTGTATCCTCCCTGTCCCTGCTGGCACAGGACCCGTACCTGGATAAATTCTTTGCTCTGGTGCACGCGCTGGAGGAGCACAGCTTCCCTGTGAGGATTGGGGACCTGCGTATTCTGGAGAGTGACCTGGAGACTGAGCTGCGGAGCAGTATCCCCGCCCTCAGCGCCGCTCAGCTCGAGCCTGTCGTCCGCTTCCTCCATCACCTGCTCGACAAACTCGTCCTGCTGATCGTCAGAGCCCCGCTCATCTGTGGCCAGATTGGTGAGTCACTCAGTTGCCGTTGGTCAATCATTCACGTGATTAACCAGCCCCTCATGACTCAGATCCATGAGCACACAAGGGCGAAGCTGAGGGTGTGCGGTGGTGGAGCTGGGAGTGAACGGGGCCGAGCAGTGAGCACTGGAATTATGTCTTGCAGTAAACCTGGGACAAGTGTCGTTCGAGGCAATGACATCGATTGTGAACAGGCTACACAGGAACCTGGAGGGAAGCCAGGACCAGCATGGCAGGAACAGCCTTCTGGCGTCGTACATCTACTATGTCTTTCGGCTGCCCTCCACCAGCTCCAACCCCTCGTCTCCAGGTTAGGACTCATCTGATCGTTCACACTGGACAAGAGCAGCCTCAGGGGAGTCCTGCAGCTCAGTGGTTATAGCGCTCGCCTTGCAACCGAGAGGACTCGGGTTCGATTCCCGGGCGAGGCGAAACCTTCCTTACTCCACGTGCCTCTGTTTACTTAGCAGGAAGTAGGACCCCAGTTATTAGTCGATTGGTAGATCTCTTCCCAGGGGTAAAATCCCTCCAAAAAAAATAATTACAAAAATAATGATTGTTTAGTCATTCAATCCACGTCTTTCCTCAAAGCTAAACCTCATCATCAAAGGTGTTGGTGTAGTGAATTGTCATTGGAGGTTTATTCCTCTTAATCTCTCGCCCCTACCCACTGCAGCTTCTTTCATGTTAGGAGGACTTCCCGGTGAGGTGGACATCCCGGTGAGGTGGACAGTCAGGGATTTGCTCCCGAGCTGGGGGTTGGGATCAGGAGGGTGGAGGGCAGGGCAGATGGGGGTAGGAGGGTGACAGAAAGCACGGTCAAAAAGGAGGGTCTTGAGACAGGCCTGGAAAGAGGCGATGATGTGTCACTGTATCAAATGCTGGGAGTATTATTATGGCGATGATTGTTACGTCTCCCCATCAAGCCCTGGCCTCGGGCAGGTTTCTCGGTATCTTGTCACAGCTGCGTTGTGGCTGTTCGCTGAGCCAGTGTGTGTGTGTGTATCACTGCAGGTCCCGGGGGCTCCATGCACTACGCTACGATGGCGCGTTCAGCCACCAGGCCAGCCGGCCTCAACATTAGCCGCTCGCGGAGCCTGAGTAACAGTAACCCTGACATCTCCGGCACCCCCACCTCACCCGACGACGAAGTGAGGAGCATTCTCGGGAGTAAGGTAAGGCCGCTCGGCCAACACACTGACACTGAGGGGGGGCTGGGATCATCCCTTCTTTGAAGCCTCTTACCCCAGGTTTCCCATTGAGAACATCACACAACCTGGCACAATCCAAGACGTTAATGAGCCAGACAGCGAGGAATTTCATGCTTCTGCTGTTTGCTACTCTATTGCTCTTTCTGTCTCCCTCTATCTCTCTCTGTCTCGCTCTCTGTTTCTCTGTCTCTCTGTCGCTGTCTCTCTGTCTCTCTCTCTCGATCTGAATCGCTCTCTCTGTCTCTGAATCTCTCTCTCTCTGTCTGTCTCTCTCTATCTCTCTTTGTCCTGTAACAGATTCACCAACAAGAGTAGACCAATTGTATTGTCTTCCAGGGGAGTATCGGAGGTTATACGTGTGCGGGGAGGAAGTTGGGCTCGGGGGAAGGCAGAATGTGATGGGCTGAAATGCTGCAAAGGGCAGCGTTGTTGTGACACACAGGGTTGGGGGTGGGGGAGAGGAGATCAGGATTAAAGAGGGCGTTTGCGTGAATGGAGCGCCACTCTTGAGTATGTGTTGATGGGACGCCGAAACCATTTCTCTCTTGGTGACTGTGACGGGTGTCTAAACGGCCGTTTCTCCTTCCCTCTCTGCTGTCTCTGCCTCTGCCTAACCAGGGACTAGATCGCTCCAATTCTTGGGTCAACGCTGGGGGTCCGGCGGCGTTACCGTGGAGAAGCCCCCCCACGTCCGGCACCGACGTCCTGCAGGTGGTTTAGCCGGTGCTGACGGGTGGTCCCGGTCATGCCCGTCTCACTCACATCTTTATTTTTTATTCACATTTTCCATCTCGCTTTCTAGTCACTACCCCCACCCCCTCCCCCCTTGCCCCCTCATCAAGCCGCACTGTCTCTCACTCGTTCACTCGCTTGCTCGCAATGTACGAGGAGCAGACGTGGTTTGTGGCAGCTCAGGGGCATGTTATGCGGGTACAGAGCTGCGTGGGGTCCAGGCACCAGTGCATGTTTTCACACGTTACCGATTATGAGGTGACCTTAGGCAGATTGAATGGGCGGTGGTGGGATGGTAGGAGGACACAGTGGTGTGGGTGGGGGGTACGGTTGTGGGTGGGCACGGGTGGAGAGAGCAGATTGGCGGAGGGATGGAGTTGGGAGGGGTGGACGGTATCCTTGTGGATGTGTAGGTTTACCTGTGAGGTTGCTCCTGGCCACTCCTAGCCCACCCCATTGAAAGTGTCTCGCTTCTTACCATCACTCATACCCACCCACCCCCCCGTACCCCCACATACCCCTGTCCAGCTGTGGCTCTCTCTGCACACTTGGTTTACAGTTTACATATATTTTTACACATGTAAGGTCCACGATGCTGTCTGTACATGGCAGGGGACTGACATGTGACAATTCCTCAGAAACTGCAGTCGGACTTCACTTGTTCTATATTTCTCTGTCGCTCTCTCACTCTCTCTCTCTGTGTGTGTTGCTCTATATATAAATTTGTATGTGTGTGTTTCTCTCTGCATATGAAGATGTGTGATCTTCGTACACACTTCTGTACGTGTGTCTCTATCTCTATGTGTGTATATGTGTTTCTATCTGTGTGTGTGTGTGTCTATATGTGTCTCTCTCTCTCTACGTCTGACTGTGTATGTGCGCGTCTCTCTCTCTCTCTCTATGTCTATCTATGTACGTGTGTGGGTGTATGTCTCTCTCTTGTTTTCTCTTATTCAGCAGCTTCTGTTTCTCACATGCTAAATTGGAAGTTCCTCTGTGTGGTGACTTGAACACTGCTCGCCCTCTACAGGCTGAAATACAATTGCAAGAGCACCGTTCCTCTCCACTGACGGCCGTTAATGCCATGTAGTCAGGAGATCAGGCGGGAGATCTAAATGGGAGCAATATTAAACCACACAGCGTGTATTTACATGCTCATTCATCAATAATGTGGCTGACATGTCTCAGGATCCAGAATTATATATCATTTCTCTACCCCCCCTCTCCCATTACCACCCCTTCTCCCTCCACCCCCTCCCCCCCAGGATCACACAGGAGTGGGAAGGCCAGAGCTTGCTGGCCCTGTGCTCCCACCATTCCCCCCATACGTTAGAAGCAGTAGATTCACATGCCTCCTGTTTGTCTTCCATTGATCATTCATCTCCATTCGTTCATCTCCCTCCATAGGCCATGGATCGGAGCAACCGCATGTCATCGCACACCGAGGGCTCCAGCTTCCTACAGGCGCTCGCTGGACGCTTGCCGACCAAGAAGGTAGCTCACTGGGGGTGTGAACACAGGCCGCCACGCTCAGGGCACTGCGCTACTCACCCTCCATGTCGAGAGGACAGTAGCACAGGGGAGTCGCCTCTCTGCCGTGTTATTGGAGTGGAGTCCTGTAGCGTAGTGGTTAGGTTAGCGTGCTCACCTCGCAAGCCAGAGGACCTGGGTTCAATCCCCAGACAGGGCAAAACCTTAGGCTAGTTTGTCTCTGATTACATTGCAGTAAGTAAGAACCTGGTTGTTAGTCGATTGGAGGATCGCTTTCCGGGAGGTTAATAATCCCTTCAAAACAAATAAACAATAATAATTTGGTCATTCAATCCACAACAGTTTGCAGGACACTGCTGTGCGCAATTGGCTGCCACATTTTTGGGATGTTTCGTGCAGAAAATATGCAGACAATTTACTTTACAACATATTCTGTGAAGCTCTTTGGCGCTACATCAAATGCAAGGATTATTATTATTAGTTCAGCAGAGAGACATGGAAAGCTGAGAGAGTTGATAGAGGTTCCTCACAAACACTGACTGGTTGCGAAGAGGTTGATAGAAAGAGAGAGACGATTGCCAGGGAATCGGAAAGACAGTGGCGAGAAGCAGAGATACAGCAATATCGACAGAAGCTAAAAGCAGGAGGTTAGAGCATTTTTTTAATGTGGAGAGTGGAGCGGGGTATCTCACCACACACTGCTGGTGAAGGTGAGGCCATTGCAACGTTTAAAGCAATATTGGATAAATACAGAGGAAAGCAATGTTACAGGGTTCAGAGAAGATCGTGAATTTACATAGAGCATTACAACTTGGAAACAGGCCATTGGCCCAACCAGTCTGTACCAGAGTTTATTCTCCACACGAGCCCATTCCCCCTCCTCATCCCTAACTCAATACCTTCCATTTATGTCACCCTCATGTATGTGAGCAAGGGAGTGAGTGTAGAATAAAGTGCTCCATGTGAGTGTGTGGAGTGGGGGTGGGGTGGGGGAAGAGAGTGAGAACGAACTACAATGGAGTGGGGGAGATGGAGCACCAGTCCTGGATGGGAGGGAGAGCGCACACCAGTCCCCAGGGATGGGGGGAGTTAGCGCCAGTACCCGAGGGGGGGAGGGGTGTGGTGTGGGGGGAATTATATCCATACCCAGTGTTTGGGTGCCCGGAGTGAATATCGAGGTTGGAAACGTAACGTAACCTGCGCCATGTTGTAGACTAGTTTTGTGTCAAAGGTGCTTGATTTACAAATATCAGGAAATGCTTATAGAGCTGGTTACTCAGCGCTGGGCAGCTGTGAGACGGGGGGGTAAGGGGGTCTGTCCTTGTGTAACGGTGATTTGTGTCCCTATATCCCAGCTATTGCACGAGGAGCTGGCCCTGCAGTGGGTGGTGAGCAGTGGCAGTGTGCGGGAATCCGCTCTGCAACAGGCATGGTTCTTCTTCGAACTGATGGTGAGTAAAAGTGTGCAAATACTGAAGCATGAACGGGGTTAGAGATAAAGTAACACTCCCTTTACACTGTCCACACTCCCAGATCAGGGTTAAAGACACAGTAAAGCTCCCTCTATACTGTCCTTCTACACTCCCAGGTCAGGGTTAAAGACACAGTAAAGCTCCCTCTACACTGTCCGTCCACACTCCCAGGTCAGAGTTAGAGATAGAGAGAGAGGGCTGGGGATCATCACTGGGTGCTGGAGGTGAATGGACAATGGTGTGTGTAATCACTGTCCCTATGGCTCCTTCCTGTCTCTCTTATTTCTTGTGTTGCTCAGTTCCTGTCCCTGTGTAGAGACAGTCAGGCTTGGTTGGTGTTGTGTGTAACCCTACCCCTGCATAGTGAGGGAGGCTGAATTGATGTTGTAGTATCTAACACTGCCCCTGTAACAGGTGAAGAGTATGGTACATCACCTGTACTTCTCGGACAAGCTGGACGTGCCCAGGAAAAGCCGCTTCCCCGAGAGGTTCATGGATGACATTGCGGCCCTGATCAGCACCATCGCGGTGGATATTGTGACCAGATACCAGAAGGTAAGGCTTCCTATTGTCAGATAAGCCACCGGGATGTGATAGTGAGGAGATGACCTGGGCTGGCCTGTGGGGCTAGTGGGGACCCAAGGAGGACCTTCAGTGTGAAGGGCTTCAGTGAGGAGATCATGGAGAATAGTAGCCTGGGACCGGGGTCATTGCCGGTGACTGTCGCTGGGGTCTGTTGCCGGGGCTCGAGGCCCCCTCTGTTGACCTCTTTGCTGTGTTGCAGGACCTGGAACTGATCGAGCGGCTGAACGTGAGCCTGGCTTTCTTCATCAATGACCTGCTCTCAGTGATGGACCGAGGCTTTGTCTTCAGCCTCATCAAAAGCTACTGGAAGCAGGTGACGGACGTCAGCCACTTAGACAGGCCCCGGTGGGGGTGGGGGGTGCGCGGTCAGCCAGCATAAGAAGGTGTAAGAGATTGACAGGAGGCAATCCTTGGGAGTCCAGAGTCACAGTGTGAATGACACTGAATGAGGGGGAAAGGGAAGTGAGAGGTGACCATAGACATAGTCAGGAAGGCAGGCTATAAAGGTAAAGGGGGTGAGGCAGAGATAGGAAGCTCCAGAGGTTAGGGGTGTCATGACTGACTCACCTGTCACTGAGCAGGTTGCCACTCTCTGGGATTAGGTGAGCAGAATGCGTCCCTCCAGGGAGCGAGCACATTCCATTCCAACACACGGGAATTTCCACCTGTAGGTGTCATACATGGAACTCTTAGTCACGTTTGGTACCTCCTAAGCATTGCGATGGGTTTCCATGTGTGTCAGACACCCAACTGATCACAGTGAATGGTTTTCGTGTGTGTCAGACACCCGGCTAATACAGTGATAGGTTTCTGTGTGTGTGTGTCAGACAACAACAACAATTGCATTGATATAGCAACCTTACACGTCGGGAAGCCGTCCTAAGGCGCTGGACAATTGAGAGTTTGCACCCTTGGGCTGGCAGTTGGAATCAAGATGGGCAGAGGGTAGAGGGGACTGAAGGCGCGGTCACAGAGAAGGGTCTTGAGACGGGCCTTGAAGGAGGCAACGGAGAGTGCGAGGCATAGGGACTTGCTGACCAAACAAAAAACATTTGACTGAACTTCTTAGAGTAGATGGTTGCGGAGAAGCTGTGATTTGGGTTGAGCTGAGCTGTTTGCTGCTGATCTGTGTGACTCCCCACATCTTGTCTCCTGTGTAGGTGTCGGCCAAGCTATACGGGTTACAGAGCCCCAGCACACTCGTGTCCCTCCGCCTGGACTTCCTGCGCATCATCTGCAGCCACGAGCACTACGTTACCCTGAACCTGCCCTACAGCCTGCTGACCCCCCCGGCCTCCCCGTCTCCCTCCGTCTCCTCCGCCACCAGCCAGGTAGGACCCTCGCCTGGGACCCCAACATCTGGGCTGGAAACGGCGTTTCCGCAGCCAGATTTCTGCTCGGTCTTTTACCAAGTTGGGTTCCATCTGCTGGGCACCGTGTGCAAACCACGTGTAAACTCAACTGTATATTGCGCTATGTTGAAAATCATGCCTATAGAGAGATTAAGTCCATCTCTGACAAGTTGGCTTGTCACTCTGGCGTGTCTCTGGTGACTGTGGCGTGTCTCACATGATCTTGGCATGTCTCACATGAGAACAACAACAATATGTATTGTATAGCGCCCCTCACGCAGGGTAACGGCCCAGAGCGCTTGACAGTGGCGGAGCACAACGCCGAGCCTCGGGGAGTGGGGAGGTGACCGTGGGCACGGTCAAATAGGAAGGTCTTCAGGCACGATCTGATATACAGGAAGAGTGTTCCAGAGATTCGGGGTGTAGTAGCTGAATGTGCGGCCACCAATGGTGGAATGGAGGGCACATGCAGAAGGCTAGAGCCAGTCGAGCGGAGGCAGCGAGTTATGGGTTGCTGGGGTAAGCAACTCGGAAAGATAGAGAGGTACCAGGGTTTGAATGGATTTGAAAATAAGTGTGAGGATCTTGAGATCGATCCATTCGGTGATAGGGAGTCACTGTAGCCTGGCAAGAATTGGTGTGATGGGGGCACCGAGTTTAGCAGAGGTGAGTATGTGGGCGGCGGAGTTTTGGATCAGCTGGATCCTGTGTATGGTGGAGCTGAGGAGAGGCAAAGAGGGCTTTCAAAAAGTCGAGTCAGTAAGTGACGAACGCATTGGCCGAGTGTTTTGGCTGTGTCTGGGGTAAGGTACGGTCAGAGGCAATGTGGCAGAGGTGGAGCAAGGCGGTCCTGGTCAGGTACAACCAGATGTGGGGAAGGAAGGACAGCTGTGGGTCGACCCTGACGCCTAGATTGATCACTGGTTCATTACATCTGAGGGATAGGCCGGGGAGGTGGGGAGATCAGAGCCGCAGGATAGAAAACGTTGACGGTAGCCAATGAGTATGGCTTCTGTCTTGTCAAAATGGCGTGTCTCAGGTGACGGTAGCGTGTCTCTGGCAGAGCTCCGGCTTCTCCACGGTGGTGCAGGACCAGACCATCACCAACATGTTTGAGCTGTCGTTGCCATTCCGGCAGCAGCATTACCTGGCGGGGCTGGTGCTCACACAACTGGCTCTCATCCTGGATCCCGAGTCCGAGGGGTAAGTGAGACCACTGGTCTATGTGTGTGTGTGTTGCGTGGAGGGTTGGGGCGGTGGTGGTGTTGGTGTGTGTGGACAAGTGGGGGACGGTGCTGGTGCTGGTGTTGGTGTGTGTGTGTGGTGGTAGTGTTGGGGTGTGTGTGTGGTGGTAGTTGCGGTGGTTTTGGCGTGTGTGGGTGGGGGGGACGGTGGTGGTGTGTGTGTGTGTGTGTGTGTGTGGTGGTGGTTTTGGCATGTGTGTGAGGGTGATGTACGGTGTGCCGTGGCTGATGCTCCCCCCATGTTACAGTTTGTTTGGCTTACACAAGAAGGTAGTGAACGTAGTGCACAACCTGCTGTCCAGCCACGACTCAGACCCTCGCTACGCTGAGCCAGAGGTCAAGGCCCGCGTGGCTCTGCTCTACCTGCCCCTCATCGGCATCATCATGGAGGCTGTGCCTCAGCTGTACGATTTCACAGGTACCGTCTCCCCGTCTGCCCCCAGCACAGTAAATTCCTCCCGTCAGCGCAGCACCACATCGACTCAGTGTGTGCATCACGGACCACTGTCAATGTTCACCCCAACACACACACCTCACACACCACACACATCTCACACACACACACCGACACACACGCTCACACGCCACACACACTTGCTCACACAGACCCAGACACACACACACACATTCACATACTTATATACACACACACACGCTCACAGTCTCGTACAATACAATATGATACAATATAATACAAAATGACATTCGTAAAGTGTCTTTGAAACACCCCTCAGGGAGGGTGGAGGGCAGAGAGGGTAGGAGGGTGGTCCACGGCACGGTCAAAGAGGAGGGTCTTGAGGAGTACCTTGAAACACGCCATCTGCTCTCCTCCCCCAGGTGTCACTCCCCCCCCACCACCGCCCCTGGGTGTTGATCTGTCTTTGTCGAGTGCTGGGTCAAAGCTAAAACATATTCTGTGTGACTAGATGATTTATTTACTCTCTCACTCTCCCCACTCTACCCATTCACGCCCTCTCTTCCCCTTCATGCTCCCCCCTCTATCCCCCATGCTCCCACCCCCCTCCTCCCACCCGCCCTGGCAGAGCCACACTCTCAGCGTTGCCGGCCGAACCTGGGGTTGGCTGACGATGGAGAGCTGGAGAGCGGGGCTGTGATTAACCAGACGGTGGCCATGGCCATCGCGGGAGCCTCAGTTCCCCAGCATTCGCGGCCCAGCAGCTTCCTGCTACCAACAGCGGTAAGTCAATACCTCACGTGGGGTGGGGTGTGTTACAGGCTGGGCTGTGAGCTGTGTGTCAGTGTGTGAATGAGTCCGTGTGTGTGAGTCCATGTGTTTGAGTGCAAGTGTGGGTGTGTGTGTGAGTGCAGTGCGTTTGTTTGTGTGTGATGTGTGCTGAGTGTGGGTGTGAAAGTGTGTGAGTGTGTGTGAGGTCAGTGACGTGCCGGAGTGTGTTACAGGCTGGCCGCCCCTGCACTAGCTTCACTGCGGAATCAAGCCGGAGTTTGCTGATCTGCCTGCTGTGGGTGCTGAGGAACGCTGACGTGGGGGTGCTGCACAGGTGGGTGGGGGAGCTGAGTGTCCCCCAGCTCAACCGTGTGCTGGAGCTGCTCGACCTGTGTGTCTCCTGCTTCGAGTACAAGGTATGGGGGTCACTGATTGTTGGAATGGAACATGCGCATACTCTCTCTCCCTGGAGGGAGACATTCTGCTTACCTAATTCCGGAGAGTATTAGGCGCAGGTTGGTGAGAGCCAAGGCTTGGGTGGGGAGCCCAGAGTGTGTGTTGGGATAATGGCTGGAATGTAACCAGCTAAACCCACATAGCTTGGCTATTGAGAGCGCTGTCTGGCAAAGCTTTCCCGCTGCTTGTCCAGCTAGGACCACCCTACCCATTAGGGTTTTGGCCTGCAGGGTTAACAGGAGCTGAGTGGGAGGATTTTCTGCCCCCAGTGACTGGTCTGTCCTTCCATGTTCGCGGGTCATTGGTATGAGGTCCGGCTGATGGTTCCCTGGTTACAGTGCGTGACTGAGCGCCCACTCAGTCTCCCTGTCACTGATCTCAGCCGCTAAGGGGTGCAGACTGGGAGTCCTGGGTTTGGGGGTGTGAGCACTGACCAGTGAGTGTGTGGTTTCTGTCACAGGGGAAAAAGGCATTTGAGCGGATGAACAGTCTGACCTTCAAGAAATCCAAGGACATGAAGGCCAAGCTAGAGGAGGCCATTCTGGGAGGGGCAGGCGCTCGGCAGGAGATGGTGCGACGCAGCAGAGCCCAGCTCGGTAGGTCTGTGCCAAGAAGGCGGGCAAAATGGCTGGTGGCTGGTAAAGGCCTCTCACCAGTTTCTGACTGTGACTGTTGTCAGCTGTGTTGTTCGCTGTGTTAACTATCACACCTTCCCTGTGTTGGTCACATAGAGCGGAGCCCGTCCGGCAATGCGTTCGGGAGCCAGGAAAATCTGCGCTGGAGGAAGGACATGACGCACTGGCGACAAAATAGCGAGAAACTCGACAAGTGAGTATTGACTGAGGACAACTCAGTGCTCGATAACCCCCCCCTTCCCCCCTCCCCCTCCCAACTTAGCTTGCTGGAGCTGAATGGGATGACTCCCTGCCCCTGTGACTATTCTGCCCTTCCATGTTTGTGGGTTGCAAACTTCTGCCTGGCCTCAGCCCTTCGCCCCGAAACTCTGGAACTCTCTCCCTCAATCCCTCCCTCTTTCCCCCTCCCACCCCACTTGCCTTTTGATTGTGCTTACGGTCACCTCCCCCCTCCCTCTCCCCCTGGCTCAGGGTCAGACTCCACCCAGTCGAGCGCTCCAGGACGCTACCCAGTGTGAAGGGGGCTATATAAATGCAAGTTGTTGTTGTTGATCTTACACGTATGTCTCTGTATAGAGGTGGGGGGGGGGTAGCTACTTTTTTAGTATGTACTGTCTGCTCTGTCTCTCTCTATATGCTAATCCACAGCTGTTAATTGTCACTTCACATATGCTGTTTGTTAAAGGAGCCAGAAATCCCACAGATACTGTAACACTGACTGCGCAACACCCCACCCCCCCCCACCCCCGCTTGTGCTTAACCCTCCTGCCCTTGCCCTGTCCTTCCCTCTGTGTGACACCTGAGAGAAGAATCAACGCGGTGTGATCGGGTATCTGTCGGCATTGCCTTGTGCCAGGAATGGCCAGTGCTGACAGTGCCCAGTGCCCAGGATTCCCAGTGTGGGCTATAATCAGGAAATATTCCTGCACATGGGGACGGGGGAGGGAGGTGAGCACAGGCAGCCCAAACCCCCTCTCCCCACCCCACCACCACCACGACAGATGTCAAGGCAAAACCTATCGTCACGTATAAAAGGCAGAGAGAGACGGATCGACACTTGGCATTGATGGTGTTAAGGGAGGGAAAGATCGGAATGGGATGTTACAAAAAGATTCAGGATTTTATAACACGGTGGTACAGGCTTCATGGGCTGAATGGCCTCCTCCTGGTCGTGGCCACCCAGTGGTTCTCACTGTGTGCTGTGCTTTGCTGAGCTGTGCTGTGCAGACACCCAGTGTCTGGTTATTTAAACCTGACGGCTAGCAGATCTGTCAGTCTGTTCATCTCAGCCTTAATATGGAGCCGGAAGCAATAAGAATTATAATCTGCCAGATTAGCGTGAAGTAAAAGTCGTACAGCATTTTAAGTGTGAAAAGACAAGAGGGTGTGTGAGGAATCTGGGGCTGTCTGATCACTGCACTTGTGTTTAGGTTTGACGGTATATATATATCGTAATAGGGTGTATATACTGTGTGACACTCAATCCATGACTATTTGTGGGACACTTCTGTGTGCGATTGTCTGCAGCATTTCGCTCACAGTCAATTCACTTTCCAGTATATCCTGTGCAGCGCTTTGAGGCGTTCCAAAGACGTGATAAAGTGCTGTATCAGATGCAAGGTTAATTATTATTATTATTATATATAGTGTGTGTGAGAGCCTGGCTGTGCAGAGCAGCCTGTAACTCTCAGCAGTAGATCCCCAGGGAGCTCTCCTGTGCTGTGTGTGTGTGACATGCATGCAGCTTGGCGATTTAAGTGCAGTAAATGCCTTTTACAGCCTGATCATAGTGATGATGAAATGCTATCGTTATGTTTGAAGCTCTGTTCTGTAATTAATTCATCTCATTGACCTGATTCCTCAAACCAGCTGAATGTCTTCCCCGGGCGGCTTGCTTACATTGACGGGTGCCAGTGGCTAAGGCAAGGTCTGTGTTCTCCGCGCACACAATGCATTCCCGAAACCTGCTCTGCGGCTGCTCAGTGTTCAGTCTCTCTGTGCTCACAGCCCTCACCGAGCCAGGCTGAGGGTTCTCAGTCAGGGCTGGTTGTGCGGCGGCTCGGTCACACTGGTGTGACCACAGGTCAAGGCTGTTTGTGAGACACTGCTGTGCGCAATTGGCTGCCACGTTTCGCCCACAAAAGATACAGTCACTATGCTTTCCAGTATAACCTGTGAAGCGCTTTGAGACGTCTCGAAGACGCGATAAGGTGCGATATCAAATGCGAAGATTATTCTTATTATAAGACAACTCAGAGTTTATGCTTCATAAATTAACCATGACATTCAGACTTATTATGTGACCCCCTCACCATTCCCCCCACCACCGCCAGCACTGAAATCACTGCACTTGTGGACTGCAGTGTGGGGGTGAGAGGGAGAATTCCTCAAATCCCTCGTTCCGCTGAGGTTTTACTTTGGAATTTGTGGCAGTTCTACTCTCTGAGGACCTGCTCCCCTCACATCATGTCCTGTCCCGAATTGTGAACTTGGATCACATCCCCTGTAAATATTGTCATGGAGATCTCTGGCCTGCCAGCAAGCCCTCCCTTGTCACTCCACCCCCGCCTCATTCTGCCTGTTTGTGCTGTAACCAGGTCCAGGGCTGAGCTGGAGCACGAAGCTCTGATTGACGGCAACCTGGCCACAGAGGCCAACCTCATAGTCCTGGACACCCTGGAGATCGTCGTTCAGGTGAGAAGCTGAGAGCCTGTGATGCGTGGAGTGTCGTGTGGGGGGGGGCGCGGGCAGGTGGGGTCTGTCAGGGAGCTGTATGGTGGGCTATCAGAGCTGTGGTTTGGGCAATGGAGTGGGTTGTTTGGTGGTTAGTGCAGTGGGCTGTGGCGTGTGCTGGGCGGTCAGTTGGGCTGTGAGTTGTGTGGTGGTTAGTGTGATGATCTGTGGGCTGGGCTGTGAGTTGGACTGTGAGGACCAGCCAGGTGTGATTGACGCTTCTTCTGCAGACGGTGTCGTTGACGGAGGCCAAGGAGAGCGTGCTGGGCGGTGTCCTCAAAGTGCTTCTCCACACCATGGCTTGTAACCAGAGCGCCCTGTACCTGCAGCACTGCTTCGCTACTCAGAGAGCATTAGTTTCCAAGGTGAGAATGCAACACTGATACAGAGAGAGCATCACAAAGCCTGCTACAGTGCTGGGAATCTGTGTAGAAGAGGAGAGAGCGAAGGGAAAGGGGACGGGGGGCTCTGATTCTGTCTGAAACCGAATGCTGTCACTGATCTGGGAGTGTGGACGGTCAGTATAGAAGGAGCTTTACACTTGTCTCTCACCCTGACCTAGGAGTGTGGACGGACGTTGTAGAGGGAGCTTTACTGTGACTCTAACCCGAGATGCATTAGTGGAGTGTAATACCTGAATGTGGAGTGTAACGGGAGTGTGTGTGTGTGTATGTGTTGTAGTTCCCGGAGCTGTTGTTTGAGGAGGAGACGGAGCAGTGTGCTGACCTGTGTCTCAGGCTCCTGAGACACTGCAGCAGCAGCATCGGCAGCATCCGTGCCCATGCCAGCGCCTCGCTGTACCTGCTCATGAGACAGAACTTCGAGATCGGCAACGTAAGCCCTACCTCAACCCCCCTCCCCCGGCCTTGCTCTACACCTCCCGCCCCCCCCCCCGCCCGCCTTCGCTCTCTCTCCCCCCATCAGCCTCGCTCTCTCTCCTTCTCCCCCACTTGGCCTCGCTGCCCCAGCCTCACTCCCCGTCCCCCCAACCATCTCGCCCCCACCCCCCCACCCACACCCCCTCCCCCATTGGCCAGAGCCTGACATTGTCTGTGTGCAGAGCTTTGCGAGGGTGAAGATGCAGGTGACCATGTCACTGTCCTCGCTGGTCGGAACCTCCCACAACTTCAACGAGGACTTCCTGCGGCGCTCGCTCAAAACCATCCTCACCTACGCTGAGGAGGAGCTGGAGCTCCGAGACAGCACCTTCCCTGAGCAGGTCAGCCCCACGGGGGTGGGGGAAAGAAGGCACAGGGTGAGGGGGGAGATGGAGGGGAGCGGGAGGGTAAGGGGGGAGATGGGGAAGGGAGAGAGATGGACAGGAGGAGGTGGGGGGAAAGGTTACAGTAATGGGGGAGGAGAGGGGGAGGGCAAGGGGGAGAGGAGAAGGTGGGGGTTGAAGGAGTGAGTGGGTGGGAAGAGGGAGGTGGGTGACGGGGTGGGGGAGCGAGGGTGGTGGAAGCTGCCTCTCTTCAGGTGTTGAGGAATGTCTGTGTTCAGGTCCAGGACCTGGTGTTTAACCTGCACATGATCCTGTCGGACACTGTGAAGATGAAGGAGCACCAGGAGGATCCCGAGATGCTCATCGACCTCATGTACAGGTAGGTCTCCTGCCAGCCTCTCCCCCACCCCAACCCCCCCCCACCCGACAGCCTTGTCCATAACCCCAGCCCCACCCATTGTCCCACCCTCACCTTCAGCTCCTCCACCACTGTAGCCCCATACCCCCACACTGACTGGCCCTCAGCCCCACCAGCCCTGCCCCCACTTGGCCCGCCCCCACCGCCTTGCCCCCAGCCGCACCCACACTGCCCTGCCCCATCAGCCCCCGCCCCCTCCAGTCTCCCCTGTCTCTCTCATTGCTGATCTCCGCTGGTTAATCCCCCGCCCTGAAGGATTGCTAAAGGTTACCAGACGTCCCCGGACCTGCGGCTGACCTGGCTACAGAACATGGCGGGAAAACACATGGAGAATAGTAACCGCGCCGAGGCCGCTCAGTGCCAGGTCCACGCTGCTGCCCTCGTGGCCGAGTATCTCAGCATGTTGGAGGATCGCAAACACCTGCCTGTGGGCTGTGTCACCTTCCAGGTGCCGCTCTGTGTGTGTGTGTGTGTGATTGTCACTGTCTAACTGTCACTGTCTGTGTGTTTCTGACTGGCTAATAGTATCTGTCTGTCTGTCTGTCTGTCTGTCTGTCAGTGTCTTTCTGTGTGGGTCTCTCTGTCTGTCTGTGAGTGTCTATATCTGGCTACATGTGTCTCTGTGTCTGGCTGTGTGTGTATCTCTCTCTGTGTAGCTGTTGCTGTCTGACTGACTTGAGTTCATTGATAATGAATTAGTTTGTGTAAAATGCCTCTCTCTGTCGCTCTCTCTGTTGCTCTCTCTCCAGAACATATCCTTCAATGTGCTGGAGGAGTCGGCTGTGTCTGATGATGTTCTGTCGCCCGATGAGGAAGGAATCTGCTCGGGGAAGTATTTCACGGAGACGGGGCTGGTGGGGCTTCTGGAGCAGGCCGCGGAGCTCTTCTCCCTGGTGAGAACATCTCCATCCTCTGCCTTGACTATTCCCCTCCCCTTTCCCTTCGTAACAGCTCCCGCGCAGCCGCATTCCAGGCTTTCCCGTGCTTCATGCTCACAATCTCTCGGTTGGTACCATCGTTGTCCGCTCTTTCAGCTAGACCTTCATCTTCCACCGTGCCTATGGTCACCTCCTCCTTCCCCCTAGCTCAGCATCATACTCCACTACTGTCAAGCGCTCTGGGACGCTGCCCTGTGTGAGGGGCGCTCTTGTTGTAAATGCAAGTTGTTGTTGTTGGGTGTCGGTTGGGGACTGTGGTCACACTGAGCATGTGTGTGTTTTGCCCGTGTTGTTGGGTAATGTGCCCTCCGTTTGTGTGTGTGTGCGGCAGGCGGGGATGTATGAGGCCGTCAACGAGGTTTACAAGGTTCTGATCCCGATCCACGAGGCCAACCGCGACGCCAAGAAGCTGGCGGCCATTCACGGCAAACTGCAGGACGCCTTCAGCAAGATCGTGCACCAGGTGAGCAGCCAACCTCCCCCGGGGCTCAAGGGGGTTCAGGGCCAGAGGGCGGGGGTGGGGTTGGTGTCCGTGTCAGTGGGCCAGGAATCGCTGGTGAGGTGGAGACTGTTTCAAACGTGTAACGTGCGCGTGCTTTTTATTGTGTCGCGAATGTACACAGGAGCCCGCCCGTTTGCGTGCCTGTCTTGACATGACGTTTTACTTTTTGTTACACAGAGTACTGGCTGGGAGGTAGGTTCCCATTTCCATTGGTATTTAGAGCACTAATTAACCACGTGTCCCGGTTTGGTGTGTGCTCGCTCGCCAGCGCGTGCGAGAGTGAGTGAGCGCGGGAGTGTGTGTGTGTGTGTGTGCACTCGTGGGATGGGGTGGGCGGGGGGGAAGGTGAGTGGTAGGTGGAATGCTTTTTCTCTTGGTTGAACAGATTACACAGGCGTTGCATGTGAAACAGACACGTCTCCTCATGTGAATGAGTCACTCCCATCACAAGCTTCCTCCTTTGTTTCCTCTGGTTCACAGTCCTCAGTTACGCTCTCATTGCGGTGTGGAATGGGGGGATGGGGGGGTCAGATTACACTATACATTTGGGAATTGGGTGTTTGTACCGAGACCTCGAACCACGCTGTCTGCGTCCGTCTCTTCACCCCAGAGGCCGGAAGCTACAGTCTCCGCCCAGCAGACACATGGGGCACGAATCGTAGCACGTGCTCAAACCCAATCTCTGTCTGAAGCCAGTTTCCAATTTACCAAGCCCGGAAATCCCTCTCCCAGATTCAGAACGGATTTAAGAACCTGCCGCAAAACCTGCCGATCCTAAATGTTGAGCCATCGTGTGGTCAGCCAGGGTGGCGGCCGGGGTCCGGGGGCTGGGGCTGACTGACTCCGGGTCTCCGCTCTGCACTATTAGCTTGCATGGCATTGCTTACCCACTAACTCTTGGTGTTTGCCTCTCTCACCTACTCCATCCATCCTCCACATTGCTGCCTGACTCCCACTGAACCCCCCCCACCCCACCCCACCCCCACACTGCCTGCTTCACGCATGCACTGTCTCACAATGGAGAGTTGAGAGAAGCTGCTTTGCTTTTGTTGTTGGTGGTTGTTTTGCATCTGTTGCTTTTAGAATCAAAAAAAGTCCCTTGTTCTGATGAAAGTAATTTCTTTTCTTTATTCTCTCTCTCTACCTCTTTCTTTTCCCCCCCTCCCTCTCTCTCCCTATCTCTCTCCTCGCCCTGGTGCTGAACCCCTCCTCCCACTGTCACTCTGTGTTGTGGTAAGTTTTTGGCTTCGTTCTATTCCGTTACCTGATGCAGTCGTTCATTAATCCGGGGGGACGGGGGCTTTGGGTTCTGATGTCTGTGTTGTCGTTTTAGCTGCCCTGAGAAACCTGTTATTAATGATCCAGTGATATTCACTCTCCTGACCTCACTCACTCACTCACTCACTCACTCACTCACTCACTCACTCACTCACTCACTCACTCACTCACTCACTCACTCACTCACTCACTCACTCACTCACTCACTCACTCACTCACTCACTCACTCACTCACTCACTCACTCACTCACTCACTCACACTATTACAGCCACACAGCCCACAGTTATACACATATACACACACAGCCCACATTTACGCACCACAGCCCACATTTACGCACCACAGCCCACATTTACACACACACACAGTCCACATTTAGACACACATACATACAGCCCACATTTACGCACCACAGCCCACATTTACATACCCCATAGCCCACATATACACACACAGCTCACATTTAGACACACACATCCCACATTTACACACCACAGCCCACAGTTACGCCCACACAGTCCACAGTTACACACTCACACAGCCCAATGTTACAGACACCGAGGCCAGGGAGAGTGACAGCCGGGCTGCTGCAGTGAGCAGCTGAGCCGTGCCTGGGCAGTGAGTGAGGGAGTGAATGTCGCTAACAGGGTGTTTTCGTGCTGCTATGGCTGGGTTTCTGTGCAATGCGCTGGTCTCCCAGCACTAACCTGCTTCCCCGCTGGCCTGGGCTGCTCTGCTTGTCGCTTTGCATCCTGTGTTGGGATCTCACCGTGTGTTTGCCTCTTGCGGGCCTCAGTGCCATGCACAACGCAGTCATTCATCGAGCGATTTAACCCTTCAGTTTATGGCAGCTGAGCGTAGAATCACTGAAAATTACAATGCGGAGGGAGGCCATTTAGCTCATCGAGTCTGTCCCGGGTCTCCGAGCAAGCTGTCCATTCAATCCCAGTGATACATGTCCCATCAATCCTCCCTATCTGTCTATTTCCCTCTTAACACCCAAAGTGGCCTTTGCCTCTATCCCTTTATCAGAGCTTCCACTACAGTCTTCCTCATTGTGTCACCTCTGTATCAGGTTCCATCTCAACTTCCTCTGTTCCAACGAAGACAGATCCAAGTTCTCCAACTGCTCCTCATCCCTAAAGCCTCTCATCACTTTGTGCCCACAAAATGCACAGTCACTACACTTAACAGTATATTCTGTGAAGCGCTTTGAGATGACTCAATGACGTGATAAGGCACTGTATGAAATGCAAGGATAATTATCCCTGTATCATTGCAAATCACTTCTCCGCTCATTCCCAGGCCTTAAACATCCTCCCTGAGGTGAGGTGTGCCCAAACTGAGCCGGGTACAGCGGGGAGGCTGGAGGTGAGAGCTCCAGTGCAGTGCCAGGGGGAACGAGTGATGTACCCACTGCGGCAAAAGGGTAATTTCAGATCCTAGCTCGGGTTTGTAAGGCTGGCTGATTGTCACGCTCTCTCTTTGTCTCTCTCCTCGCAGGATGGCAAGAGAATGTTCGGCACATATTTCCGAGTCGGCTTCTACGGCTCCAGACTCGGGGATTTGGACGAACAGGAATTTGTTTACAAGGAGCCGGCGATAACCAAACTGGCGGAGATTTCCCATCGGCTGGAGGTGAGCGGGGATGAGCGAGAGGGGGTGGGCGGGCATTGCTTTAACCTTAGACTTCTTACAATTCAGTTAATAAGAATGTTATTAAAATTATTAATGTTATTATACAATCTGAAATTACAATTGCGTAGCGCCTTTCACGTCAGGAGGACGTTCCAAGGCGCTAAAATAATAATAATATTAGATGAATAATAAACAGCTGTGCTCTCTCTCTCTCTCTCCCCGCTTCACAGGCGTTTTATGGCGAGCGCTTCGGAGAGGACCTGGTCCAGGTCATTAAAGATTCCAACCCCGTGGACAAGTGTAAACTGGATCCCAATAAGGTAGAGACGGATTAAAAGCCTGGCGGGGCGGGGAAAGCGGAGAACGGCCGTAAATAATAATAATCCTTGCATTTGATATAGCGCTTTTCACGTCGGGAGGACGTCCCAAAGCGCTTCACAGAACACACTGTAAAGTGAATTGACTGTATATTTGTGGGCGAACGAGGCAGCCAATTGCGCACAGCAATGTCCCACAAACAGTCGTAGATTGAAAATGACCAATTTTTTTTTATTTTTTTTTTATTATTGTTTTTTGTTTTTTTGGAGGGATTATTATTAGGCTCTGTGTGGAGTAAGGAAACTTGCCCAAGGTTTCGCCCTGCCTGGAATTGAACTCAGGTCTCTCGCTTGCAAAGCGAGTGCTCTAACCACTGAGCTACAGGACTCCACGGGCAGAGGGAGACAGGGTACAGAGAGGGTGTCAGGGCTGGCAGTAATGTCCTCCTGTGGCTGTGGCAGGCTTACATACAGATCACCTACGTGGAGCCATACTTTGACACGTACGAGATGAAGGACCGCATCACCTACTTCGACAAGAACTACAACCTGCGGCGCTTCATGTACTGCACGCCCTTCACGCTGGATGGCCGCGCGCACGGGGAGCTCCACGAGCAGTACAAGCGCAAGACCATCCTCACCACCTCCCATGCCTTCCCCTACGTCAAAACCCGCATCAACGTGGTGCAGAAAGAGGAGGTGAGAGGGGCAGTGCTGGGGCAGGGCAGAGTGGGCAAAGGTGCTGTGGACAGAGGTGTATGTGGGGGGAGGGGGAACTGGGGGCAGGGCAGGTGGGCAGAGGAGCCACTGGGGGCAGGGTGGGTGGGCAGAGGGGTGCTGGGGGCAGTGCAGGTGGGCAGAGGGATGCTGGGGGCAGTACGGGTGGCAGAGGGGTGCTGAGGGCAGTTTGGGTGGGCAGAGCAGTGCTGGGGGGAGTACAGGTGGGCAGAGGGGGCACTGGGGGCACGGTGGGTGGATAGAGGTGTATGTGGGGGGAGGGGGATCTAGGGGTAGTGTGGGTGGGCAGAGGGGGCATGTGGGCAGAGGGGGCAGTGTGGGTGGGCAAAGCGCAGGGGCTGCTGTTGCTGTGTTGGACTGTCCTCTGGGCAGGGTAACAGTCAGACCAGCACTAAGTGAGACTGGCGTCTCTGCAGATTATTCTGACGCCGATCGAGGTGGCGATTGAGGACATGCAGAAGAAAACACAGGAGCTGGCCTTCGCCACCCACCAGGACCCGGCCGACCCCAAGATGCTCCAGATGGTGCTGCAGGGCTCCGTGGGTACCACAGTCAACCAGGTCAGACCTGAGACCAGCTCATCCCCACCGCCCAACCCCTGCTCAAGTCCAGGCCCTCGCACAGCCCATTACACGTTAGAGAAAGCGCAGTGTAATATTTCCTCTTATCTCCCCTGAAGCCTCCCAGTCCCAGACACACTTGCCCCTTGATTCAGTGGCTAGTGAGAATATCGCAGACATGCTCGGGATTTTGTAGTGTTGTGTTTGGAAAGGAATGAGTGGATATGCCTGTTTCTAACTCCCTCCCTCCCTCCCTGCCAGGGACCCTTGGAAGTTGCTCAGGTTTTCCTATCTGACATTCCCAACGATCCTAAACTCTTCCGACACCATAACAAGCTGCGGCTCTGCTTTAAGGACTTCACCAAACGGTAAGGTTGATGGATCAGATCCAGGTCGGGTGGCGCGTCGCAGTGTTGTTTAGTCCTGTCTGGGTGGTCTGACCTTGTCTGGTCCGGGTGGGATGGCGCGGGTGACAAGCCGATGGCTGATGCACTGTACTGAGCGCCGCTGGGTTTTACTCAGGTGTGAGGACGCTTTGCGTAAGAACAAGAACCTAATTGGAAACGACCAGCGAGAGTATCAGCGGGAGCTCGAGAGGAACTACCACCGGTTGAAGGAGGCCCTGCAGCCGCTGATCAACAGGAAAATCCCTCAGCTCTACAAACCTCTCCTGCCCATCACCTGCCACAGGTAGGAGGCCATTCAGCCCCTCGTCTCCAGCCACTGCTCCTGGGTCATTTACATCCCTCCTGCTCCTTAATGTTTGGTAATTCCACACCATCCTCTGAGTGTCACTAAGTACCCACAAGATAGCCTGCCGACCTTCCTCACTGCATTCCTACACCACCCCTCACACAGGGTAGCGTCCCAAAGCACTTGACAGAGGTGGAGCATGACGCAGAGCCGGGGGGCAGGTGACCGTAGACACGGTCAAAGACGAAAGCCTTCAGGTAAGATCTGAAGATGGGGAACGAACAGGCAAGACGGAGGGATAGAGGAAGAGTGTTCCAGAATTTCGGGGCATAGTAGCTGAAAGCATGGCCACCGAGGATGAGATAGAAACAAGCACAGACCGGAGCTCATTTTAATGTCTCAACCCAAACCCTGAGACCTAATGATGATTGGCGGGGAGGGGGGAGCAGGGGAGGAGAGAGAGAGGTTGTAATGGTGGCTGATTTATGCGCGTTTTGTTTCAGAGATTCATTCAGTCGAGTCAGCCTTCGCAAGGTGGATGTCTGAGAGGTGGGCGCGTGGCTGGGGCTGCAGCTGCTGCCCATTCAATTGACGGCCAAAGAAGACCGAAACAAGTATTAAACCCGTTGTGGTCCATTCCCCCACGCTGGCTCACGCCAGGGCGGGATATTTCATTGCAATCCTTTTCACAAGGTGAAGAGGATAATAATAATCATGGTGTCAAATCGTCGTGTGGTACTCACCCTTCACCTAAACACTAACGGTTACATAAACAGTCCGCGTTGTGGTTGTGTTCAGACGTGTCACTTTAACATTGTTTTTACTCACAAGCATTTACTCCTAAGATTCGCTATTTAATCAGTTGTGTTCACAACTATTTATCTGCAATATTGTATTAAAAGCTCTTAATGTTATTTACTGTTAGTTACACTATTTATATGGAATTAGAACCTTGCACAGGGTTCCCTCTGAACTGCTCGTTGTGCCTGTGGCGTTACAACATGGTTTATTTTTATTTTGTGAAAGGTACGATTAAATATTGGAACAACCTCATTGCAGGATTTCTCGATCTGTTCTTTCCCACAGTAACACGGGATTGCCTGTCTGAACGCACCGCGGTTGTGGGATCAGCACTAACGTACTCCCATCCTCTCTCCCTCTTTCGTTTTCAGTGTAAATGTGGCAGGACACCTAAGGCTGTAAGTGTATTTTAGAAGAATAAGTCTTGCATTTAGTACAATGCCTCGTCCCACCGTCAAGATGTCTCAAAGCGCTTCACAGGATTGTGCCTGTAAACTCTGTATTTGTAGGCGGACATGGCAGACAGTTTAAACTATATCCAGGAAATGTTTTGTACAGTAACGCAGCACCAGTGTCAGACAGAAGTCCTCTCACTGCCCGTTCCACGTCACAAAGATTCGCTCAGTGTAAACATTCAGCCCATTGTGCCTGGAGCCACTGCTGCCCTTTTTTAATCTAAGTAGCAACTACTTTACCTCGTCGTCTAATGAACCTCCGAATCACTTTAAATTCCAGGACGTTAGCGTCCACCTCCTTCACTGTTATGTAACCAAACTTCAGGCACTTTGATTCAAAACCATATCTCTGTCAGCCCTGGTTTTGCTTTCAACCCCATCAACAAGCTCCGGCCTGCTCCACATTCCCCACTTCCCATTGGTGATCGGACCTTCAGCCTCTCTGCCCCACCCTTTCGTACTACATCCCAGTCCCTTTGCATCGCTCCATCCTTTGCCTCCTTCAATGGGGGTGGAAAAGAACGGTCTGATAAAACATGGAGTAGATGGGGAATTGTATTTGACGAAACTGCTAAGTTTAGCCGTGGTTACAAAAGCTGACAGGGTCAAACTGAGTAACTGCAGGCCAGCTTGTTTAGCATCAGCTGTGGTCAAATTACTCCACAGGACAGAACAGAGCAACGGGTTAAATATATATATATATATTATATAGGAACAGGAGGCCACTAAGCCCCTCAAGCCTGTTTCCCCATTCTATAAAATCATGGCTAATCTGTACCTGAACTCCCAATTACCTACCCTTGCCCCATATCCCTTGATACTCTGACCTAACAAATATCTATCCACCTGAGTCTTGAAAATATGAATGGATGCAGCACACACAGCCTTTTGGGGGAGATTTCCACTTCGTTTCAGTTAAAAAATCAAGCCCGATCGAGGGTCAACATGGTGTGAAAGATGGATCACGTCTCACAAATCTAATGCAGTTCTTTGACGGCAGCGCTTAAGTGATGGACGCAACTGTCGGTGAAGGCAGTTTGTATGGCTTTTCAGATATGGATAAGATGCTGCCCAGATTGCTGGCGACAGTTAAAGCACATGGAGTTGGAGGCAAACTCGTGACATAAGGTAGGAGAGTGGTTGTGAGGAAGGAAGAAAAGAACATTCTGTGATGTGTTGGTGTTGCCTCCAGGGATCAGTCAGTCCACGTTACCTGTAATTACCTGTTTCTGTAGAAATATGAGGGAACCTCTAAGACTAAACTACCGCAGTGGGAGTTCAACACGGCGTGTGAGGTGGTAGGGGGATGGGCACAGACCCGAGGTAGAGCGTTCACTGAATACAAGATTGTGTCTCTGTTAACATAGACAGTGAGAAAGAAGTTGGTTAGAAACATAGAAACAGGAGTAGGCCTTTCAGCCTCTCAAGCCTGGTCCAGCATTCTATAAAATTGTGGCTGGACAATATTCTCCGACTCCAATCCCCTGGCCCATATCTTTTGACACCCTAAGGATATCATCTGCATATACCCACGTAGTAAAAACACAGCCCCACACACAACACAAACGGATCACAATTTATTGAAAGGATTCCCCGCTCTCTTATATACACTTTATGAGAATTGTTACAAATTTATGGGAAGAGTGAATTTACAGACAGGTTTTCTAGATCAGCTTTGAAAAAAGCTCATAAAAAGGTTTAAAATACAATTAGAGTGTTTATACAAAAACTATTTTAATTACATGGTCGGGTGAGGAAAGACAAGTGCATCTCGAGAGGACGTTCCAGATTTTATAGAATTTCCTTGACATAAGCAAAGAAATTTTTGGAAGCATTTCTGAAACGTGAAATCTCACAAAGCTCACTGTTTACTGCCCCTTAAAGAGCAGGAAACCTTTCTGCATTCAGCTGCCGGGCAAAGCCAGCCCAGCGTTTGTCATTGAAACTTGTGTAGGTTAGGGCTGAGGTTACACCACACGCCTGGAGCCATTGCTGCCGTTAGCCTCTGGTCACTGACATTCCCGTAGAGGACATTGCTTTCGGGGGGGAAGGGGGAGGGGGTTAAATTTTAGGATGATATGCAACTGAGCGGAAGTGTCAAAAATACCAAGTGGCCTCTGGGATGAATTGTGATTAGTGGGCAGCTTGCTTTTCCAATGCTGTACATAACAGTAATTGACACCCACTACAGTGCAAACTAATGCATTGCTCTGTGGTACTGCTAGTTGTGTGCTCCCTCTCTCTCTCTCTTCCCCGTCCTCGCATCCTGGTGATGGAATATTCTGAGGCTCTCTCTCTCTCCTCCCACTCCCCTACTCTCCGCGGGCAGTGCTTTAAAATAATAACAATCTTTGCATTTGATATAGCACCTTATCAAGCGAATCACAGAATATACTGTGGAATGAGTTGACTGTATATTTTGTGGGAGAACATTTCCCCTTTCTATGAAGGAGGCGAAACACATCCAGTTATATTTACTTAGAAAATAGGATCTACATGGGTCTGGGCAGCTGGAGTCCGAATGATGTCTCCTGTCACGATTATTATTGTACCAGCAGTAGTGCTAACAGGCGAGCGAGCGAGAGAGAGAGGCACTCCCTGCTAACAATGATCTACACTAAAACAATGAAGGCCTGTGAAATCAGCCATCAGGAAGGAGGCTACTGCTTTGCCCTGGCATTAGTGTCTGTGAGTGCACACTGCTCACGGGGCTGCGATTCTCTTGTAAAAGAGGAGGTAAGGGGTGGAGGTGGAGGAGGACGAGGGAGAAAGTGAGCCTAGGAAATGCTGCTCGTCTGTCAGCCTCACCTCCGAGTCGTCAAACAACATCCACTTCCCCTCGTAGCCCCGCAGGCTGCCGACACTTTCCGGGGCTTTGCCTCCGTTAACGCTGCAGGCCTGGTCTTTGACGGAGGCGGCCAGCTTGTCGCCTGAGGCGACGCACTCTGGCCTTACATTGTCTTTCACGCCGATTCCAGGCTTCTCTGGCTCGGAGCTGGACACACACTTCTGACCCCCCAGCAGCCCCACGCTCTCGGCCAGCTTCTTGGTAGTCTTGCCGGCTGCTGCCGTCGGCGGCACGTTCCCCTTCAGCTTGAATGAGACTTCTCCGTCGTCGTACTCCGGGAGGCCGAGGGAGCTCTTGGTCTCCCCCTGGTTGAGGGGCTCCTGTTTGCTGGTGTTGCACACTGTAGGCTGCTCCCACTGCCCGAGCTGGCTCACCCTCACGTACGCGGTGTAGTGGCCGTTGCTGATGCTCACCCCGTTGTGCATGACAACCGCAAACAGCTCGTAGCAGTCGTTGGACTCCCTGGTGCTCCACTCTGCCAGCGAGAGCTTGAGAGGAGTCAACAGCGGAGTGTTGACCTTTGAGAGATTGCCGTAGGGTTCCAACCTACAAACACAAGGTAAAACGTCCTCAGTTGTTCCTATCCCAAAGATTAAATCCCGGGCAGCAGATATACTGGGGGCTGATATCACTGTTAAGGGCAGGTAACAGTCAGCCCACTGTTCCCTCATTTGTCAGGTCACCATTTTGGTCGCCATACATCTCAAATGAAAAGACTGTCCTATTGGTCAGAGGCACAGTCAGCTTCCCTGGTTATTACTGAGATCTGGAGACATCGAAACTTTGTGCTTCCACCTGGAGTGGCTGGGAACGGACACATGGAGCACACGCTGCTTCCTAAGTGATATTCACAAACAACATCCCACCTGCGGATGTGGCGCTAACTGGCTACTTTGTGTAAATCACTGAAATGTGGGAGAGCGGCAGGGTAATGGTGTAATTAGCTGCTCTGTGATAGCAGTGAGGTTTAGGTGGAGTAGATGTTGCCTTGTTTATTGCTGTAAACAGCAGACGTAGAGTTTTTGACCTTGTACCAAACTGAGTAACAGTTATCACATCGGTCAGGCAGGAAGTGACCTTCCCCCTCAGATGACACTTACACAGCGCCTTTCACGTTGGGAAGATGTCCCAAGGCACAGAGCCCGGTGTAAACCACTGCCACATCAGCCACTGTGCTGTGGGAGCAGCTGTGCCAGGGGAGATTACAAGCGGCAACAACAACAACAACAAGATTCCATTTATAAAGCGCCTTTCACGTCAGGAGGACGTCCCAAGGCGCTGCACAGTTGGGTCATGACCCGAGCAGGGGGGAAATGGTCAGGGTGAGGGGAGGGAAGGGAGGGAGCGAGAAGGGGGAAGAGAGTCGAGAGGGGAGCTGAAGGCTCGGTCAAAGAGAAAGGTTTTGAGACCGGCCTTGAAGGAGGAAAGGGAGGAAGCGGCGAAGGCACTGGGGGATGGAGTTCCAGAGCCTCGGGGCTGAGAGGCTGAAGGCCCGACCACCGATGGTAGGGCGGTTGGGGCGGGGGACGTGGAGCAGACCGGAGCCAGAGGAACGGAGGGTACGGGCAGGTAGGTAGGGGGATAGTAGGTTGGAGAGGTAGGAGGGAGCAAGGCCGTGAATGGCCTTGTAGGTGAGGATGAGGATCTTGAAATCAATCCTCTGGGGGATGGGGAGCCAGTGGAGGCGAGCGAGGGTGGGAGTGATGTGGTCGCGGTGCCTGGTGCGGGACAGTACACGAGCTGCAGAGTTCTGAATGACCTGCAGTGTGGAGGGAGGTGGCGGGAAGGCCGGCGAGGAGAGAGTTCCCATAGTCCAGCCTTGAGGTGACAAAGGCGTGAACCAGGGTTTCAGCAGCGTGAGGGGTGAGGTAGTGCCGTAGTCTGGCGATGTTCCGGAGGTGATGGAAGGCGGTGCCAGTTGTGGTGCGGATGTGAGGGAGAAAGGACAGCTCAGGGTCGAACAAAACGCCGAGGTTCCTGACTGGCTTTGAGAGGTGGAGAGTGCAGCCTTGGATGCTGATGGTGTCAGCGCCTGAGGTGCGGAGGCGCTGACGTGAGCCAATCAGGAGGGCCTCGGTTTTTCGCACGTTGAGCTGAAGAAAGTTGTCTCTCGTCCAGGACTCGATGTCGGACAGGCAGCTGTCAGGACATCGGTGGTCGTGGAGTTGAGAGTAGAGGAGGAAAGGTAGGTAGGGTGTCATCCGCATACATGTGGAAGTTAACTCCATGTCTGCGGATGATGTCACCACAGGGGGAGCATATAGAGGGTGAAGAGGAGGGGACCGAGGACAGAGCCCTGAGGGACACCACATGAGACAGTACGGGGGGTGGAAGAGAAGCCATTCGTCGAGACAAAGTGAAGACGGTGAGAAAGGTACGACCTAAACCACTCAAGGACAGTGCCTTGAAGGTTGAGGTGGGAGGACAAGCGGTGGAGTAGGATAGTGTCCTCCACCATTTTACCCAGCGAGCTTCACGGAAGTCACAACTCAACGCAGCTGGTGCTCAGTGCGTCACCGTAGGAAGCTATGAGGTGCCATACTCACTCGGAGCTGCACGCCGCAAAGCACTTGAGGTGGATTGTCACCACTTCGGGCATCTTGTCAAACAGCAGGCTGCGCTCTGCTTCGGTGTAATGATGGCAATTCTCACAGAAGTACTTGTCTTCTCCTACGATCCGCTCGACCGAGGCAAACTGCGAGATGGCCCACTTCAGTGTCTTCACTTCCAGCTTAGGCTCTGGGGAAACTGAGGGGAAAGCAGAGGGCAAGTGAGGACCTGGGACAATGCCTTATCTTATAATAATTCTTGCATTTGATATAGCGCCTTATCACGTCTTCAAGATGTCTCAAAGTGCTTCATAGAATATAATGTAAAGTGAATTGACTGTATATTTTGTGGGTGAAACGTGGCAGCCAATTGCACACAACAGTGTCCCACAAACAGTCGTGGATTGAGTGACCAGATTATAATTTTTTTGTTGTTGAAGGGATTATTACCCCAGAAAGTGATCTGCCAATCGACTAACAACTGGGGTCCTACTTACTGCTGGGTCAACAGAGGCATGCGGAGTAAGGAAACTTGCCCAACATTTTGCCTTGCTGGGAATTGAGTCCATGCGAGTGCTCTAACCAATATACTACAAGATTCCACACATGTATGTATGTATGTATGTATGTATGCATGCATGCATGCATGCATGTATGTATGTATGTATGTGTGTGTGAGAGTGTGGTGGTGGGGAGAGGAAGGAAACAGAATAAAATTCAAATCTGTCTTAGAACTAAGTATAATGTGTAAAGGAGTGAGATTATAGTTCGAGACTTCACAGCCTGAACATATTCAGCAGAAGCTCTGCAAACTTTTGCCATTAGCTGTGATTAATGTGTCATTTAGTTTGGTTTTGTCGACAGACAGTGTTTTGTTGGTGACTGTATCAGGGTTACTGTAGGAAGCTAGCCAATAGTGACTTACTCTCCGACCCAGGCTCCTCCTTGTTAGGGTGGTTCTCTTGCACGGGAACGCTGATGTCCTGGAAGTCCTCTCTTCGCTCTGAGTAACACTCGCATTCCAAGCAGCGCGTCCTCAGCACTAACTGGCCTTGGAACATTCCCTCTATCAGGTCAAAGCCAGTCGGCACTACATCAACACAATGAAGCTGTTACAGCAACTAGAGCAAGAACCAGGAGCTTTACATTTGCTTTTGTTTTGGCTAATTTACTATCCCATAAACCTAATTACTTCTAGAAATAAAGAGACTAGAATATCTTAAGTGGAGCTATACACCTTCCATTCTAGCCCTGGTTCCTCCCAACCTCTTCAATCTGCGAACTCCCCACTCCACCACCCGCCGCCTCCAATCAGCTGGCTCCAGTTTCCCATATGTCCCTTGTCCCCTCCGCTCCACTGTCGGTGGCTGTGCTTTCAGCAACTATGCCCTGAAACTTTGGAACACTCCCTCAATTCCTCCACCTTGCCCCCTTCTTCCCCTTTTTCAGATCACGCCTGAAGACCTTCTCTCCTCTTCGACCGTGCTTACGGTCACCTCCTCCTCCCTCAGCTCGGTGTCAGGCTACCCGTCGTGAAGGGCGGGCGTTATATAAATGCAAGTTGTTGTTGTTCCATTCTCATCAGCCTTTATGTGAAGAATATTTTCTGTCCTCCCTGTCACTGAGCTCTAATTTCAGTTTATGTCTGCATTCCTCCCTCTTAAAATTCCATTCCTCTTCTGGTTGACGCCTCATGCCCCCTACCAGCCTTTTTGATTGCATCCTACACTTGCGAGCGAGCCATAAATAACCTGGTCCCCAAGAACCTTGTGCCTTCTCATTTATTCCCTTCTGCCACTTATACAATCAAAGTGCATTCTACCCCACGCTTTGCCACTTTGCCCCATTCTCCTTCACCATTCATTATAATTCCCAGATTAGTGTCATCCACAAATATGAAAATGCTACCTCTATTTGCATATCCAGGCCACTTATATATAGAGTGGCCCAGTAAAGGCCGACAATGAGAACAGCTTGAATCATTTCCCATCAGCTGCCAAAACAGCCCAATCAGCAATTATCGAGTCAGTGATTTGCTCCAACGGTCTATAGTGTCTCAGCACGTGGCAGCTGCTCGCACACACACACACACACACACACACGTCACAGGTAGCTAATAGCGAATGTAGTGACTTTTTTGTAGACAAATGTGAAACTAAATGCATGATCAAGATCACTCAGTAATACAATTCCATCCATTGATCCTGTGAATTCTTCAGCCTATAAACACACCCTCTGGTTTTCCCATCTGCTTTTTTTAAAACCCTCGGGCCATTCTGACGTCTCCTCATTGACTTTCTTCACACAAAACAAGAAGTTTACATTTATAAATGACTTTCACGCGGGGAGGATATCTCGAGGCGCTTTTACACAGTGCTTTCTCTAAATCAGCAGTTTGTCAAGTGTGGGTTAAGGATTGGCTGACTGACCTGTCTCACTCGTGCTCTTGTCTTCACCTGTACACAAGTGGCCACTTTTCTTGCCCAGATTTTGGGACATACAACAGGGGCTACAGTTGGGGGCAGCGAGGCCTTCAATCAAAGCCTCCTCCTTTCTGGAGCCCACCTGGCTGCCATTTACTTCCTCCCTTCTATGCCCCTTCGCCCCCAGGCTGGCCGTGAGCTTCCCAAGGCTGCAGAATTTGGAGAGAATACTGGGTTGGTTGACTGTAGGCTTAAGCCATCGCAACCCAAGTCGAGTTTTCTTCTGAGTAACTGAACGAGCAGGGATGCTGTCAGTCACGTGTTTAGCCTCAGTCTCTGCCACCTGTTCTATAGCGTCCTCAGCTGGTTTTCTCTTTCCTCGCTCTGGACGTTTCTCCTCGGTTCTCTTCGGATCTTTGGGAACTTTGGATTTCTTGGTTGCGTTCCCAGCTTGCGCGTCGCCCTTTCTTTTCACGTTCCTCCTTTTCCTGGCCGGCATCTCTTGCTCCCTCTCCAGGTTTGGCATTTGGTCAGCTCCTTGTTCCTCGGAGTGTTCTGCTGTGGTGGCTGTGTGCTGATGCTCACCGGGATCCTCCGTGTCGGACGTCGCTTTTTCCTCTCCAGCGGGAATGCTCCTCTGCAACAACTGGCAGGCCTCCAGAATGTATCCCAAGATGCACTGCAACACTTCCTGTGCATCGTGCTGCAGGTACCCGTCATACATCGGATTGAGCTCCCTGCAACAAAGACCAACATTATATACCATGCCATCCCCACGTCATTCAATCTCTTCCTCACTGCCCTTTTCTGTCTGCTGCACATCAATGTACACATCCTGAGTCAGGCACAGGGTATCTATCCTTCACTGCAAGTAACTGAACTGGTCTAACCAGCTAAAGCCGCATAGCTTGCCATTGAGAGCACTATCTGACAAGCTTTCCATTTGCTTGTCCAGCTAGGACCAGGGTTAACAGGAGCTGAGAGGGAAGAATCCCTGCCCCCAGTGACTGGCCTGCTCCTTCAAATCCTGCCAATGAGCCAGGCTGGGCTGGTCTGTCATCAGCAGTGCACTGGAGTACTGCAAACCCGCCTGGCTCAGGAACCGGACTAGAGACCATCACCAAGGATGGGTTTGACTCTCACATTGCGTTGCCAAACATGTCACTTTGAAGGCAGCTCAGCCCCAAGGTCAGCTCCCTCTCTCCCCTCCCCCCCCACTTCCTCCTCACCCCCGATGTGAAGTAGATTATTACTGGGCCACTTACTGAATAATGTGAGACAAAGAGCTGGAGGTAGGGGGAGAGAGGAACACTGTGATTGAGGATTGTGGAAGGCTTGAGATGAATGGTGACAAAGGGCCTGGTTCATCCTGACAAGCAACGTCGTATATAAACAGAACTGGTTTAATAGTATTTACTATCCCCGTTTACGCTAGGAGACAGAACCGAGGCAAGCATTTGCTCCTTCCTGGATTACAAGTACAACAGATTCCTCACCACTTCAACCAAAACTTGTCAAATAACAATCCTTGCATTTGATATTGCCTTATAATGTCTTTGAAACATCTCAAAGAGCTTCACAGAATATACTATAAAGTGAAGTGACTGTATTTCGTGGGCGAAACACAGCAGCCAATTGCACACAGCAGTGTCCCACAAACAGTTGTGGATTGAATAGCCACATTTTTTTTTAAAAGTGATTATAAAAGCAATCCGCCAATCGACTGACAACCGGATTCCTACTTACTTCTAGGCAAACAGAGACATGTGGAGTAAGGAAACTGGCCTAACGTTTCTCCCTCTCCAGAAATCAAACCCGGGCCCTCTCGCTTGCAAGGCGCGTGCTCTAACCACTAAGTTACAGGACTCCAATAAGTCTTACTTCAGAGTTCCCATTAGTCTCTTGGGCTGTGCGGCCAGTTCCCCCTCGGTGTACTTGTCGGGGTTCAGCAGGAAGCTGGCCTGTACCTGCTCCATGGACACAATCAGGCTGTGAAGATTCCAGATCAGCTCTAAACAGATGGGCAGCTCCTCCTGGTCCTCCGACTCCTCCTATGGAATAAAATATGGGTACTGTGTGCGCTCGGAGACCTTCAGTGTAATCACCTTTCACATGACAACAAACCATCAAATACCTGCTGGATTCAAAGCGGTGTGGAGAGCCCAAAATGTGGGGGGCTTAAAATATAGGACAGCTAGCAGCAGATCTAAAAGGGAGTTTGAGGAACTTCTCTACGCAGAGGGAACTCACTGCCGGAGCTGTGGTTGAAGCAGAAAGTACCAACGTATTTAAGAGGTAACTTGCATTACTTGAGAGGGAAAAGGAACGGAGAGACGAGAGGATTAGGAGGGAGGGAGGCTTGTGTTCCCAGTCTCCAACCAATGCTGAAAGGCTCGATACACAAGGCATGCACGGACAGAAGTAGCAAGGGAAACAATAGCTGGAGATTAGGTGAAACATTCACACACAGTTACACTGCGATTACCTGCTCTTTTTTTGGCTCCTGTTCGTTCTGCAGCATCTCTCGTTTCCGTGAGATGATGTTGTACAAATATTTTATCCCAGTTCTAAATGCAGGGCAATAGTACAACACCTGGTGGTAAAACAAGCAACGGCAGCTGAGTTACAAATTGACTACACAGGCAGCAACCTCCTCTTCAGACTAACTGTTTACAAAGGGCAACATGTTTATACAAAGAGCAACCCTGAATGAAAACTATCCTGCCAGAATACATCGGACTAACGGCTCAATGGAATTAATGGAATTATGTAACCCTGAAGCAATCAGAATATTTAGCATGTTTTGCTGTTACTGAAAGTGTAAGCACTTCAGACACTAAGGACTGGTTCTGTTCCAAAATAAGTAAAGTAATTATTACCTGAAGCACGCTATTGAGGTAACACGTATTGCCCAGGTTGTTCAGCCCCACGAAAGGCAGAAGCTCCTCTCTCTTTTCATATCCAACCGCAGGTGCCAACAAAGTCTCCGAAACAATCTGGTCACATCTTTTTTGGAGTGGAGAGAGCAGCAATGAAGCCAGTGTCACACTTTAACAGTACATGAGCACAATAGTGATCAAAACCTAAAATAACCTGCACACCAAATACCAAGTGAGAGATATTAGCAGACAAGAGAGACCGGGACTGTTATCACCTGAACAGAGAAGGTGAAGAGGAGACCTGAGTGTGTGTTCAAAACGATGAGCGGTTTTAGGGAGAAACCAATCTCAATTGAAAACTCAGAGGGTTATTAAGATGCCTAACCAAAACCCAGGAAGCAGAATCCTTTCGAGGTTTTAATAGGGAATTGAGCAAATAGCTGAAAAAGAAAAAATATAAAAGGATACAAGGAAGAAACAGGGAATGGGACTTCTGTCCAGCGCCCTTGGAGGTCCTCCCGATGTGAAAGGCGCTCTGCAAATGTAATCTGTTGTTGTTGGGCCAAATGTTCTTGTTGAAAAGATTCTATGTCGAGCAAGCCTAAGCAGCAGCCCAACACAGCAAAGTGACAGGACAGAGCACCCTTTGAATGCTCAGCCAATACAAGAATTACAAGTGCCAATACCAACCACTGAGTGCTGCTCTCAACTCGTCCAAAGCTGCCACCGGACTTGGAGAGTTAGCGCTTCCCAAGATGTTACTCTTAGCAAATGAGAACTGTAATAATAATAATCCTTGTATTTGATATAGTGCCTCATCACGTCCTTGAGATGCCTCAAAGTGCTTCTCAGAAGTGAACTGACTGTAGTTTATGGGCGAAACCCAGTGCACAGCAGTGTCCTACAAACAGTCGTGGACTGAGTGACCAAATGATTATTATATTTTTTTAAGGGAAAGCGACCTGACAATCGACTAACAAGCAAGTTCCTATTTACTGCTAGGTAAAAGGAGGCATGTAGAGTAAGGAAAATTGCCCAATGTTTCGCCCTCCCCAGGAATTGGACCCAGGTCCTTCACTTGGTAAGCGAGTGCTCCAACCACTACAAGACCCCAACTGTAAGAGGGCAAGTTTACAGATCTCCCTGATCTCCTATACTTTATTTGGATAGAAAAACAAACCGTTCTCCATGTAAGAACAATTTTCCATTTAAAACCATTTCCTCTCCTCCAGAGACCTTCTACTTCAACTCTCTGCACTCAGCTGCTCAGTGCCACTGCCATAGACCACTCGCCAGCAAAGCAGGTTGCCCCTGAATACTGACCCAAAAACCAGCAGTCAGTGCTGGACAAACATTTCACCTGAGCCACCGTGCGCTACAGTAACAGTCCTCCAATTCCACTTGCTTTCTCTCTAGTTGTTCCTGTCCATACTCGCCACCCTGTCCATCATCTGTCTCCACTCGCTTTCCACCCTACTGCTCCCTATTTAATTGCGAATCTTAGATATTTTAATATTTCCAGCTTTAGCTCCCAGTAACTCCGCCCTCTGCTAAAGTAGACACAGACAGCACCAACCTGCCCCCTACCTTGTCAGGTCACATGGATGAAATATATATATATATATATATATATACACACACACACTAATAAAGTCGAAATGTCTGTGTGTGTGTGTCTGTCCACCAAGACCACAATAACCGATTGACAAGACGTGGTTTGTACCTCATCGGAAATGTCTTGCATGGGGGAGGGAATTCCTAACATTGATGAGCTATAACCTAAACAAGCTCATCACACACGCATAGCAGTTTTGCTTAAGGTATAAAAATTACAAAAATTACATTTGTATAGTGTCTTTCACGTCGGTGCTGGACAATCAGTGTTTCGGACCCGAGCTGGGGGTCGGGATCGCAGAGGGCGGCGGGGGGGGGGGGGGGGGGAGGAGGAGGAGGGTGACCGAAGGCACGGCCGAAGAGGAGGGCGTTGAGACGGATCTTGAAGTAGACAAGGGAAGGGGCGAGACGGAGGGACTGCGAGATGGGGTTTCAGAGGGTGGTGGCAGATTGGCCTGCCAATGGTGGGGAGGGCGAGACGGGGGACATGAAGCAGGCTGGAGCCTGCTGAGCGGAGGGAGCAGGTAGGTTGATAGGGGATTAGGAGGTCGCAGAGGTAAGGGGGAGAGCAAGGCCATAGAGGGCTTTGAAAGTGAGGATGAGGATCTTGAACTGTATCCTCTGCATGCTGGGAAGATAGTGGGAGTCGGGTGAGGATGGGGGTGATAGGATCGCGGAGCCTGGTGAGGGAGAGGTGGCAGGATGCAGAGTTCTGGATGATCTGCAGCCTATGGAGGAAGGAGTTGGGGAGGCCGACAAGCAGGGAGTTTGCGTAGTCGATGTTATGAATGCAAGTATGAGGATCTCGGCAGCCTGCGGTGTGAGACAGTGGTGGAGCTGCGCAACATTGCGGAGGTGGGGAAAGGCGGAGCGGGTCATGGCACAGATGTGGGGTATGAAGGACAGTTTCATACCTGTGAAGGAGAGGTCAAGGAGGACAAGGAAGCAGAGAGAGCCCTGGTCGCAGATGTTCAGAATGTCATTAGTGACTTTGACTATCGCTTTTTCCATCCTGTGGGCAGCCTGGCCCGACTGGACGGGTTTAATGGAGGAATGGCAGGAGAGGAAAAAAGAAAGTTGGGATGCAACGACTCGTTCCAGGACCTTAGAGAGGAATGGGAAGTTGGAAATGGGGCGATAGATGAAGAGTGGGGGTGGGTCCAGGGTAGATTTTTTGAGGATGACAGCTGTTTTGAGGGCGGGGTGAGAACAGTGCTAGTAGATGACAGTGGCAGTGGACCCTCCCGTCACAGATTGTAAATCAAATTTTACACAGTGCTAAACAATCCCAGCACCACTTACTTGTCAGGACCTCGGTGTTCGGAAACGCTTTGCTCGCTCTCTTGCTTATCGTTGAAGTCTAACGCTCGTTTGGCTTCTTTTTTCTGGAAGAACTTGAGGGAGAGTCGTTTGCGTTTGGTGGGGCTCGCTCTCCCACTGTTCTCATTCTGCATCAGGCCAGGCATTCCTTGGCAATGCCTCACACAAATAGATACAAATCCCGCACTGGTGCAGAGACAAGACAGGAGCTGTATACTGCTAACTTCGGAAAAACTGGTCTGGATTTACTCCCCGAACACATCCACCTTCTGTGAAATAGACAATAGACAGTTGCAACCCGAGCTAATAATAATACTTGCATTTGATATAATGTCTTATCACATCATTGAAAAGGTTTAAAGTGCTTCACAGAATATACAGTGAAGTGGATTGACTGTATTTTGTGGGCAAAACACAACAAATTGCACATAGCAGAGTCCCACAAGTAGCCACGGATTGAGTGACCACTCCAACAATCGATTAACAACCGGGTTCTTACTTCCTACTTACTGCTAGGTAAACAGACGTGTGGAATAAGGAAATTTGCCTAAGATTTCATTCCACCCAGGAATCGAACCTGGGTCCTCGCGCCTGCGAGGCGAGCACGCTAACCACTATGGGATCAAAAGCTAAATTTAACAACATACAGCTTAAAATACATGATTACATAAAACGCAGCTAACAAGATTACAGAATTGTACAGGAACGAGTCAGACTGAAACGCGTTCCCTCCCTTGCCTCCTTTAAGACATGCCTCAAGACCCTTCTCTTCAACCGCGCCTTCAGTCGTCCTCCTATACCCCCCACCCCACTCTCCCTGCCTTCCACCTCTCCTGATACCAACCCCCTGCTCGGGTCCAAATCCCTGACTGTCCAGCACCTTAGGACATCCTCCCAAAGTGAAAGGTGCTGCATAAATGTAATTTTTTGTTGTTATGCTGTGTGGAGGTGTCATTACTCGAGAAGCTGTCCTCAGCTATAATGGTCAGTAGAAGTCAAGCTGACCAGTCCCTACCTCACTTGAGTAAGATTTCAACTGAAAATTAATTCTAAATTATTATTTTTGTACAAGAAATGTCAGTTGGAAGAGTTTTGGGATGTCATTGTCATTGTAATATCACATCGGCAAAATTATATTCTCTCCTTCTTGCCCCCAATAAAGAGCACCTGAGGGCTCGGCGGACAGCTGTGAAACTGAGGATATTTAGCACATTTCACCACTCTCTGGGCTCATATTGTAAAGATTATGAGGTGAGACATTTGATATGACAGTTGGCACCCGTAGAATTTATGTGGGGGAGGAGAGAATGGAGAATTGCTCATGTTTCATCAGAAGCACAAACGAATGTTTTGGATTGTGCTTCTTTATAAACCCAGTTATGGTAAACAAAATGCAAACTCCTGATCTCACCTCACGAGGTTTAGAATTACTGTGAATTTTAAACAGTTTTGTGCAGTTAACTTTCTCTCTTCACCCCAACCCTCAGGTGCTGGCTAATGCTGGGCAGAGTTCCAGAGCCGCTAGCTGCCAACAAATGCCTCACTAAGAGCCCACATAGTGAACCTTGTTGGCCATTTGACAGGAGAGGTTCATAACCAGGCCTGATTCCAAGTTTACCCAACCTCACTCAAAAGCCCTACTCGACAAGGAGTTTCTCTCACCCGGTCTCCTGGCCAACAATCTTCCAAAATGAAATCGTCACTCACTTCGTGGCTGTTTGCATGCAAATTCACACAAAATACACAGCCACTACAGTAATGAAGCGCTTTGAGATATCTTCCCAATATGAAGAGCGCTACGGGAAATGCAAGGATTATTGTTATCATCAATTGCCCAGGAGGGGGTGGGGGGTCTGGCCTGGTTGATTTTCTCCCCTCCCCAGGGAGCACTAAAACAACAAGTTACATTTGTACAGCGCCTTTCACGTCAGGATGATGTCCCAAATTCATTTGAAGCCCCAACTTCTGCCTCAGTTGAGATCAGGTAATAACAGAATCAAAGTGGAACGTGGTAGCCATACAGCTCTGTTTCATTCCAGTTCCAGTGCCTTGGGACGTCCTCCTGAGGTGAAAGGCGCTATACAAATGTAGTTGTGTTGACAGCTCTGATTAGCTATTTGGAGAAGATCCAAACTTTTCCACGTGGTGATCAGCAAAACAGAGGCTGAAATTGGTTTAAGAAAAATTCTAAAATACATGTTATTGTGTTAATCTACTGTACAAAAGAGAATACACGTTTGGCACAATAATCTATGATTTTATAATTCACAATGATAATAATCCTTGCTATTTGATACAGCGCCTTATCGTGTCGCTGAAATGCCTCCAAGCGCTTCACGGAATATACTGTAAAGTGAATTGAGTGCACAAACAACCGAGTTATCAACTCACTGAAGCTCAGAGGAGTATCATTGACAACAAACCGTCCCAAAGCACCTCCCGGCATTCCCTGTGAAGTGTAGTGACTGTGTGATGTGGGGGGCAAACACGGCAGGCGATTTTCGCGCAGCGACATCCCCACAAACAGGAGTGAAGCGAGTGAGGGTTTGTATGTGGTGACTGTCGGCCGGGACCCGGGGGGGGGGTGTGGGGGGGAGACTGACTGCTCTCCTCCCCGCTGCCCCCACTGTGAGACCACATATAGCCCCCGAGGTGGGAGGGGGGAGGCTCGCGGTGGGGGGGGGGGGGGGGGGGAGTCTCACGGTGGGGGGGGAGGCTCGCGGTGGGGGGTGGAGGCTCGCCTCACGGTGGGGGGGAGAGGCTCGCGGTGGGGGGAGGCTCGCGGTGGGGGGGGGGAGGCTCGCGGTGGGGGGGGAGGCTCGCGGTGGGGGGGGAGGCTCGCGGTGGGGGGGGGAGGCTCGCGGTGGGGGGGGAGACTCGCGGTGGGGGGGGAGACTCGCGGTGGGGGGGGGACTCGCGGTGGGGGGGGGGGGAGTCTCACGGTGGGGGGGGGAGGCTCGCGGTGGGGGGGGGGAGGCTCCGGTGGGGTGGGGGGGGAGTCTCACGGTGGGGGGGAGGGGGAGTCTCACGGGGGGGGGGAGGGGAGTCTCACGGTGGGGGGCGAGGCTCGCGGTGGGGGGGGGGGGAGTCTCACGGTGGGGGGGAGGGGGAGGCTCGCGGTGGGGGGGAGGTTCGCGGGGGGGGGGAGTCTCGCGGTGGGGGGGAGGGGGGAGGCTCGCGGTGGGGGGGGAGGGGAGGCTCACGGTGGGGGGGTGGGGGAGTGGGGAGGTCTCACGGTGGGGGGGAGGGGGGAGGCTCGCGGTGGGGGGGGGAGGTTCGCGGTGGGGGGGGGGGGGAGTCTCGCGGTGGGGGGGGGGGGAGGCTCGCGGTGGGGGGGGAGGTTCGCGGTGGGGGGGGGGGGGAGTCTCGCGGTGGGGGGGGGGAGGCTCGCGGGTGGGGGGGGGGGAGGCTCGCGGTGTGGGGGGGGAGTCTCGCGGTGTGGGGGGAGGGGGGAGTCTCACGGTGGGTGGGGGGAGTCTCACGGTGGGTGGGGGGGAGGCTCGCGGTGGGGGGGGGAGGGGGAGGCTCGCGGTGGGTGGGGGGAGGCTCGCGGTGGGGGGGGAGGGGAGGCTCGCGGTGGGGGGGAGGGGAGGCTCGCGGTGGGGGGGAGGGGAGGCTCGCGGTGGGTGGGGGGAGGCTCGCGGTGGGGTGGGGGGAGGCTCGCGGTGGGTGGGGGGAGGCTCGCGGTGGGTGGGGGGGAGGCTCGCGGTGGGGGGGGGGGGGAGTCTCGCGGTGGGTGGGGGGAGGGGAGGCTCGCGGTGGGGGGGGGAGGCTCGCGGTGGGTGGGGGAGGGGGGAGGCTCGCGGTGGGGGGGAGGCTCGCGGTGGGGGGGGAGGCTCGCGGTGGGTGGGGGGAGGGGGGAGGCTCGCGGTGGGTGGGGGGAGGGGGAGGCTCGCGGTGGGGGGGGACAGGAGTGAGAGTGTGTCAGGGTATGTGTGAGGTGGTGTGTTGGGGGGGTGGGGGGAGGCTCGCGGCGCTGGTGTCCGGCTGTGGGGGTGTGGGGGGGCTCCGCCGCTCGCTGTGTGTGAGGGAGCGGGAGGACTGTGTTGTGGGTCTGTGTCACTGTGTGGGGGGGACTCGCGGCGCCGGGGTTTCGAGCTCCGCCGCTCGCTGTGTGTGTGAGAGAGAGAGAGAGAGTGGAGGAGACGGCACTCACCCTCCAGCTCTCGGCCCCACCGCTTGGCGCCCTTTCCGAAGCCAGGACCCCGCGCGCCGGCTGCCCGCACAGCGCCTGCGTCGCCGCTCCACACCGCGCGCGCTCTGCGTGAGGAGGGGGCGGGTCGCGGGGTCCTGACAGAGAATGGCGCTAAAATCACACTGACGTCAGAGAACCGCCCGCCTCCTCGCACGGCCCCGCCCATTCTCTCCCGCCCCGCCCACTCTCTCAAGCCCCGCCCATTTCCCCCAGCCCCGCCCACAGCAGGAGCCAGGAGTCAGCTGCTGCCCCCTAGAGCCAGAGTCAGCTACAGCAGGAGCCAAATAATAATAATAATAATATAATATATGGCGCCTTATTGCGTCCTCGAGACATCTCTCAAAGCGCTTCACAGGATATACTGTAAAAGTGTAGTGACTGTGTAGTTTGTGGGTGAAATGCGGCAGCCAATTGCGCGCAGCGGTGCCCCACAAACAGCCGTGGATTGAGTTTCCCAATTATTATCACTTATTTCTTTTGGAAAGGATTATTACCCCCGGAAAAGTGACCTGCCGATCGACTCTCAACTGGATTCTTACTTACGGCTCGGTAAACAGAGGCATAGGGAGTAAGGAAACTTGCCCACAGCTTCGCTCTGCGTGGAATCAAACCCTGGTCCTCTCACTCGTGAGGCGAATGCTCGAACCACTACAACAACAACAACAACAACAGCATGATTGCATTTATAGAGCGCCTTCCACGTCGGGAGGACGTCCCAAGGCGCTGTACAGTTGGGTCAGGACCCGAGCATTGGGGGGAAATGGTCAGGGTGAGGGGAGGGAGCGAGGAGGGGGTAGAGAGTCGAGAGGAGAGCTGAAGCTACGGTCAAAGAGAAAGGTCTTGAGACCGGCCTTGAAGGAGGAAAGGGAGGAGGCGGCGAAGGCACTGGGGGATAGAGTTCCAGAGCCTCGAGGCTGAGAGGCTAAAGGCCCGGCCACCGATGGTAGGGCGGTTGGGGCGGGGGATGTGGAGCAGACCGGAGCCAGAGGAATGGAGGGTACGGGCAGGTAAGTAGGGGGATAGTAGGTCAGAGAGGTAAGAGGGGGCAAGGCCGTGAATGGCCTTGTAGGTGAGGATGAGGATCCACAGGACTCCGTTACAGGACTCCACAGGAATGGGAGCTGGAGGAAGCCCAGAGTCGGTCATAGCGGGAGCCAGAGCAGGATCCGGATCAGGAGGGTGATCTCAAGTCGAATGGAGTGGGAGCAGTAGGCAGAGGTGGATGAGCAGGAGCAGACGTGGTGTGAGGTAAAGCTTTTTGTCAGGATAGGACAGTCAGCCCAGCTCAGACCCTCTGTAGGAGAAGACACAAAAGTTACTCTGGTTGTTCCTGGCTGACGAACCCCAAGTAAACCACTCACTTCACAACAATAATCTGACATCTGATTCAGCGCCTTAACACATCATCAAACTCAGACGCTTCACAGAATTCACTGTAAACTGTAGTCACTGTAGGTTTGTAGGCGCGACAGCACGTTGGTGGCAATCATTCGCAATGTGGCTGTTTGCGGGACGAAGCTGTGCTTAAATTGGCTGCCACGTTCACCTGCAAAACACACAGTCACTACACGTCAGAGAGAGTTTAAATACAAATGGGTTTTAGTGTGTCACGTCACTGAGACAGACCGACGTCTGAAGGTTGCCGTCACTCATTGGATTTTGAACTACCCTCCAGTCCCGATTTGATCTCATACGCACAACCTCCTGACCCTGAGGGCGACACACCCCCCCCCATCCCACCCCTTCCCGTCACACACTGAGGCAAGCGTGCGGTGCCCAGAGGGATATGGAGGAAAAGGCAAGGATTGGATGTGAAGAGAGATTAATATTGGAGCAAGTTTGAGGAGTCTGTTTCTGTGTTCCTGTCTGCTGTGGTATTTTATTGAACCAAAGCTCTGACCCCGGAGCTGGGTGACCAAACATTAAATGCTAAATTATTAAACCCTATTGTGGAGGTCATCGAACCCTAATAAAAGTTCAATGAGGTAGACATTGGAGATATGATGGTGGAGGAGTCTACTGGTTATACAGTGAGATATGGTGATGGTGACAGGTCTGAGTGTTTCCTTGATTACCTTTGAGGTTCAAGAGCTTCCAGATATAACTACCCTAACCCCGGGGGAGAGTTGGGTGCAGGTTCCATGGAGTTCTTAATAAGGGATTTGTGCGTACGTTGGAAGAGGGCGATTAATGATTTGTTATAATCTTGTTAAACGGAGTATTTGATCCTCTGTATCTAACTGCCTGTCCCTGTAGCCTTCAATCCTTCACACAATCCCATGGCACTATAGGAAAAAAGAAGGAGTTTCCCTCTCCCGGTGTCCTGCCAACAATACCCCAAATAAAATTACTCATTCACTTCACAACTGTTTGTGGCACGTTGCTGTGCACAAATTGGCGGCAACATTCGCCCACAAAACACACAGTCACTGCACTTTACAATACATCCTGTGAATCTCTTTGTGAACGTCCCCTCAACCTAAAGGCGCTATATCAAACGTAAGCTTTATTATTATTATTATTATTCTGTGCTCAGGCTTATTACCTTTTGAATATTTTGAGGCAAACTTTATTATTTTGAGCATCACAACACCGAGTCGTCTCAAAGCGCTTCACAGGGTTTGCTGTAAAGTGTAGAGACTGTGTTTTGCAGTCAGTTTGCACACAAGGTCCCGCAAGCAAGCCATGAAGCGAGTGAGTGATTTTATGTGTAGTCAGAGTATTAGTACACAGGCCTGTTTTATTATAATGTACAACGTCTCCGGTTAGTTTAATCAATCGTGGTGAATGTTGCCCCCGTCACTGGCCAGTGAAGAAGTACCTGCTGAAATGCAGTGTTGTGAACAGCACAATCGCTTGCCACTAGATGGCACGATAGAAACACCCAAAGTGATGGAAAGTCACAAGTTTCCAAACTACATTACAATGATCCTAAATAATAATAATAATCTTCGAGATGTCTCAAAGTGCTTCACAGAATAGACTGTAAAGTGAATTACTCCACACGCCTCTATTTACCTAGCAGTAAGTAGGAACCCATTTGTTTAGTCGATTGGCGGATCGCTTTCTGTCGCTAATAGTCCCTTACAAAAAAAAATTGGCCCCCTCAATGTACGACTGTTTGTGGGACCTGCTGTGAGGAAGTAACTGCCGCGTTTCGCCCACAAAACACACAGTCACTACATTTTGTAGTATATTCTGTGAAGCGCTTTGAGACGTCTCAACGACATGATAAGGCGTGATATCAAATGCAAATATTATTTAAACAGCCACAAAGTGAATGTCAAATTTTTTTATTTGGAGGATTGTCGACCAGGACATGGGGAGAGAATCTCCCTCCTCTTTACCAATAGCACTTCAGGATCTTTAGCATCCACCTGGACAGGCAGCCGGGCCAATCCTTCACATTGAGAACACATGATGTCTGGCTGACTTTCAGTGCATATTTAGGAGACGGGCAGTTGTTCCATGGACAGATGTGTGTGTGTGTGTGTGTGTGAGCGGGGGGGGATGGGGGTTGCTTTGGGCCAAATTTGAAGCATAAAATTGTGCAATCATGCAGGGTTGCAGATTAAATATAAAAATGAATTTGAACACATGAGCTCCCGACCTTGCCAGGAGGGGTGGCATGGTTTAAATCTTTTATGAGATTAATGCTTCATTCACCCCCCAATGCAATGTAACTCAGGATTGCAGCTGTCTATCTTGAGGGTCAGCCTATCCCTCGCAACGGTTGCCTCTGAGACAGGAGGTTGTGGGTTCAAGCCCCACATTGGGACTTGAACTCATATCGTCTAAGATGACGTTCCAATTCTGTGCTGGGGGGAGCCCTGCGTTGTTCGAGGTGTCATCCTTCGAATGAGGCGTTAAACCGAGGTTCCATCTGCCTGTTCAGGTGGATGGTAAACATTCTCACGGTGCTATTCAAAAAGAGAGAGGAGTTTCTCTCTCCTGGTGTCCTCCAAATAAAATTGGTTACTCACTCCATGGCTGTTTGTGGGACGTTGCTGTGTGCCATTCTACTACCGCGTTTGCCTACAAATACACTTCATTTCACAGTAAATCCTGTGAAGCGCTTTGAGACGATGTGATAAAGCCCTTTACCAAATGCAAGGAAAATTATTATTATTATCTGCCGGGCTGGACAGTAAGTGTCCTGCTGGTGCTGTTGGCCTCCAATCTCCTGAATAATGAATAATGTTTCGCTGAAGCTTTGTACTGATGCCTTTCTTATCTCACTGAAGCTCACCAGGAGATCAGTGCTGACACAGACTGCTTTTAACTCTGTTTCTTTTTGTAAGCAAAAAAAACTCTGAGAACATCTGTCAGAATTCAGATTTGCTGTTTCACGGAAAGAAATTAAATTCATTCTGAATCAGAATTCATTTCATCCACTCTGTTCCCAGCAAGTTCCCACCTCCAGACCTGCTTTCCCTTATCTCTCAGCCTTCGGGATTAGAGTAGAGAACTGCAGTGGGGGAGCGAACACCAGCACGGACAGGATGGGGAAAGAGTGGGAAATGGGATCAGAGTAGAGAGCTTCAGTGGGGGAGAGAGCACCAGCACAGACATGATGGGGAGAAAGCAGGGGATAGGGTTAGAGAATGCCGGGGGTGGGGGGGGGGGTGGGGGGGTATGGCAAGTACATTAATTTCTGTCTCTCTTTGCGTTGAGGCCATTTTAGGAAAATGCTAACCAAAGAGTGACGGGAGGTGCTAAAGCCAAAGCTCGTCCCTGTCACCTCTGAGCTGATCAAACGCTTGTGATCAGCACATCGATTCCCTCCCAGTTAATGATTTACTCTCATGGTTCACTTACTCACAACGAGTGAGCAAGCACGTCAGCGAACGGGTGAGTGGGTGAGCAAGTGAATGAGCAAGTGAGTGAGGAAACAATTGAGCGAGGGAGCAAGTGAGTGAGCAAGTGAGTGAATGAGCGACTGAGCTGGTGAGCGAGTGAGTGAGTGAGCAACTGAGTGAGTGACCGAGGGAGCAAGTGAGTGAAAGAGCAAGTGAGTGAGTGAGCAAGTGAGCAACTAAGTGAGTGAGCAACTGAGTGAGTGAGCAAGTGAGTGAGTGAGCAAGTGAGTGAGCAAGTACTCTAAGGGCTCTGCTCCATGTGAAGGATGCTATATAAATGCAAGTTGTTCTTTCTCGCTCGTTCACTCACTCACTCACTCACTCACTCACTCACTCGTTCCCTCACACACTCACTTAGTTACTCACTTATTTACTCATTCGCTCACTCACTCACTCGCGTGTTCCTATCATTGAACAAGGAAAACCACGAGACTAGCATGTTAATAACATTGTGCTGGACCCAGTCGCTCTATCGACACAAGGGAAATGTGGGGCTTTAACCCCCCGATTCCGCCTGTGATCGTGAGTGGAGGAATACCGTGTGGGGGAGGGACGAGCTCAGGGTCGCTGATGAAAATTCAGTGATTGATTTTCAGGATTGGGAATAGGGGCAGAGTTACAGTGATGAGGTCAGGAAGCAGCTGAGACACATTGCCCTGTGTGTGGAGACGGGGTGTACACCACACATCTCCTCTGGGAATCACGACGCTTTCCTGACCTCCGGGGGGTGGAGGGGATTGGGACCACGCCATTCCCAGACATGGGGAGATTTCCATGTGTAGGTGTCTTACATATGTATAACTCTCAATCTTATTTGGAGACTCTTAAGCATGGATTTCCACGTGTGTCAGACTTAGGCTGACCGAAAAAAAAACAAATGATCTTCTGATGATAATAATGAGTAACAATGAACCTTGCAATTGATATAACACTTTATCATGTCAAAGGGTCTCAGAGTTTTTTTTTAAAAAGTGTTAGTGACTGGGTATTTGACAGCCAAGAGAGGCACAAGAAACATCCCACAAACAGCCGTTTGGTGATTGACTGAAGTGTCCATGCCTTAGTCTGTCTTGACTTGTTCCTCTTCATCTCTCCCTTCTCTAAACCTGTCCCTGTTCAGGCAGATGTTAAAGATCTTGTGATCTATTGGAAAAAAGAAGGGAGTTAGTCTCTCACTCTCCCAGTTTCCTAGCTGATAATCCCCCAGATAACCCACTCGTTCCCTTCACGCTGTTTGTAGCACCTCGCTGAGTGCAAATTGGCTGCTGCGTTCGCCTACAAATATAATCACTGCACTTGACAGCGATTCCCTGTGAAGGGCTTTGAGATTATAGGTGCCGTGTCGAGTGCACAGATTGTTATTATTAATAAAAGCAGTGATTTGTTGTAGATGTCACTGATGTGCCCTCTGTCCCCGAGCTCAGCTCCGTAATTACACCAAGTGCAGCGACACAGATGTTCTTTATTGTAATGTTTGTTTTCTACGTGTCAAGATTCTGACGGTGGCCTCTCTCTCACCCCAGCTCCCAGCTCCTGTCATCACAAAGCCTTTCTCCCTGGAACACTTGGGTCATTGCTCTTCTGCTCTCTTGACCAACATTGCGAAGGGCCATCTTCATCCAAACCAATTTCATTGATCTCGTAAACAAAACACATGCCCCAGTTTTGACGAAGGTTCATGGACCCGAAACGTTGACTCACTTTCCTTTCTCCTGTCTGACCTGCTGAGTGTTACCCAGTGACTTCTGCTTTTGTTTTCTCATTGATCTTGTCTAGTATGAGATGCTTTCGATCGCGCTCTCTCTTTTTCTGGTTTCCGATCCCCCATCGCACCAGTTCTAGTCAGGCTCCACTGGCTCTCTATCATCGAATGGATCAATTTCAAGATCCTCACACACGCGGATGCTGGAAAGCGCTCACTGTACGACTTACGCCAGCAACTGCATGTTCTCAGATACATGGACGACACTGAACAGTGAAACGCTCCGTTTGGGTTCACATGAGGCACTGACTGGACTCCCCAATTCCAGCCCTGCAATTCCACCGCTTCCCAGAGGGCAAGTACAGGTGAGGCTATCTATACTTCCCCCCCCCACCCACCCCCCGAGCCCCCAGCACCCCCTGGATTGTTGTCCTAACAGAATGTGTAATGCTGAGTGGCCTCTGTCATGTTCTGTACCTTCTTATCTCTGCATCCTAGACTTCTGACCTCAGTCATTGTGAAAGCCTCTGCAGTAAGGGGGGTGGGGGGTCTGTGACTGCATTTCCCTTCCCCTTTTTCCCCAGCACAGCCACAGCAGCCCCTCCCCACACAATCGCTTCGGAGACAGCCTGACAGCAGCATGACATCTGTCCTCACCGGAGATTTCTGTCTGGTCTCCCATGCACCCTGTGACCTGACCTCCTGCACGAAACAGTGAGTCTCGCCTCACCTCTGCTGACCGTGTCTGTTCCGTGTTTTGATATCTGCCGTCCGTGTCTGTTCCCTGTTACCACGCGTGCTGTCCATGGCTATTGTGTGTTACGGGGGTCTGCCCCCCAACCCAACCCCCACCCATCCACCACATTGAGCTCTGACATGTTCCATGTTCTTTTTGTATCAGAGACATCTTACGATATTTTGAGAACACGTATGATCTGGACGAGACTCTGTTCACCGCAGTGAGAGGTAGGACGGCAACCAATCAAGTGGCCAACAACCCAAGGGCTTGTTGTTTGTATAAGCTGGACTCACTGTCCCATCGGGACACATTAGTGATCACTCACCCCTACCCTGGGGAACAACAAGTTGCATTAATATAGCGCTCTCCATGCCAGGCAGCGTCCCAGAGCGCTTAACAATGGTGGACCCCGATGCCGAGCCAGGGGGAGGTGGAAGGTGACCATAGGCGCGCGAGGTAGAAGAGGGAGGTCTTCAGGCGCAACCCAGAATGAAAATGGGGAAAGAGGGGGCGAAGCGAAGGGGTTGAGTGAGGGATTTCCCTAGCTTCGGGGCGTAGTGGCTGAAGGCACGGCCGCTGATGATGGAGCGGAGGATTCGAGGGACAAGGAGGAGGTCGGAGCCAGTAGAACGGAGAGGCAGCGGGTGGTACTGTGTGGAGAGAGGAGGTTGGAGAGGGAGGCGGGTGCCAGGGCGTGGAGGGACTTAAACACTAGAGTGAGGATTTTGAAGTTGATCAGCTCTGTGACAGGGAGCCAATGGCGTTCGGCAAGGACTGGGGTGATAGGGTGCGGAGTTTAGTGCGGGTGAGAATACGAGCGGCGGAGGTTTGGGTAAGTTGAATTTTGTAAATAATGGAGGAGGGGAGACTGGCGAGGAGTGGCGTTTGAGTAGTTCAGCCGAGAGATGATGAAGGCGTGGACAAGGGTTTCGGCAGCTTGTGGAGTGAGGTATTGTCAGAGACGGTCAATGTGGCGGAGGTGGAGGAAAGTGGTCCTGGTTGACGGATTCATAGAGTCTTAAGGACAGATCAGGTAGGTTGAGCAGGTCTGAACCGCAGGATAGAAGACATCGACGGGAGCCAAAGAGTATGGCTTCCATCTTATTGATGTTTAATTGCAAGAAGATTGCGTTCATCCAGGCCTTGATGTCTGTCAGACAAGCTGATAGAACATCAGAGGACTGGGGGCTCGCATCGCACTGATCACTGCTGACAATACACATTTCGCATTGAGAGAACTTTCACAGGTGCTGCACAGCCCAGGGTTTGCAACCGAATTGGCGGTCGGAGATGGGGGACTGAGGGGAGATAAAGACTGGGGGGAAGATGATTGAAAGGTGCAATCAAAGAGGAAGGTCTTTAAAGAGGTGAGGGAAGGGGCGAGGGCAGAGGTACTCCGTGAAGGAGTTGCAGAGCGCGAGGCGGGGGCAGAGAGACTGAATGCCCGACGATGGTGGGACATGAAGCACCTTTTAAGGATCTATTACTTGACTGACCTCTCGCCTCTCTCACAGATGATTCCAGTTTCTACCTGTGCCCAGACCGGCTGCGGCTGCCGCTGGTGTTCTATTACTGCCACCCCGCCGTCTTCTACATCAATAAGATGATGCTCGCTGGTCTCATCAAGGTCACTGTCACTCTGTCGTTCACAACTTGTACTGTAGATACGCTCGCTATTAACTGTATTTCATTATTAACCAACAGAAGCTCACTGTTAACAGTTTTTCTCACGATTAGTTATTTGTTATTGACAAGCATGAATTTGTTACCACATAGACAATCAATCGCATTAGCTTACCATTGACCAATGCAGTGAGACATTGCATTCAATGACTAGCTGAGCGGTTTTAGCTGGTTAAACTCCAGCAGTTATCCAACACACATTCTTGGCGTCTCCAAGCCTTGGCTCTAACACTCTCCAGAATTGGATAAGCAGGATGCATCCCTCCAGGGAGTGAGAACACTTTCCATTCAAGGCATGGGGAGATTGCCATTTGTGGTTGACAGACATGATTACAATCCTAAGTCTGGTTTGGGGACTCTTAACCAAAGAGAAAGGTTTGTGAGTTGTATCAGACACTGGCTGATCACGGTGATGGGTTTCCGTGGGTGTCGGGCTGACTAAACACAACAAGTTAATGCTTAATGACTGTTGATTTCCTTCTGCAGAAACGTGTGGACTTCAGACTGGAGACGCTCTTTGAGGCGGGAGTGGACGAGATGTTCTGGGACAATACAGTACGTATTGCCCTTGTGTGGTGAGCCACAGATAACAACAACAATAATTAATAACAATAATTAATATTAACAACAACAAGATTACATTTGTATAGTGCCTTTCACTTCGGGAGGATGTCCCAAGGCACTGGACAGTGTACAGCATTTCAGACCCGAGCTAATCGTGCAGAGGCTGGTGTGAGTTGCCTGTTGGTGACAGTTGCCTGTATGTGACCTGTCTCTCCAGGAGAGCAGTCGAATGGGAGGGAGGTACCACTGGCCCGAGTTACAGGAGTGTGTGGAGTACCGCAGGCGAGTGCGGCTGCTGATCCGGGAAGTAATACGCCAAACACCGCTCACCCTCCCCATCACCACCAACAGCATCTGGGTAAGTGTGCAACAAAGCCCGATATATCATTGCTCAACATAGAGGGTGTCAGCCAGAGCTTCACTGTGTCTCTAACCCTGACGTGGGAGTGTCGGTGGACAGTGTAAAAGGAGCTTTACTGTGTCTCTAACCCGTGCTGTTGCTGATTTTCAGTGGCCTCTTTTGATGGGATTTGAACACGAGAGAATCCACTTGGAAACCTCGTCTGTGCTGGTGCGTCAGATGCCGGTTCACCTGGTGCGAAAGCCTCGGGAATGGAAATACGCCCCGTCCACAGCCGGTCAGTGAGGCTCACACTTGAGAGCACACATGGGCGAGAGTGTTTCCGCCGTGTATTGTACGAGACATTGTCATAATTGTCCAAACTGTTGACCCGCAGGGAACCCAGGCCTGGAGAATTCCTCATCACGGTGTCTGCTGCCCAAGTTACTTATGGAAAAGCCCGGGATTTCCCATCCTACGGCTGGGACAATGAATACGGAGAAATGACAGTGGAGTACGTCATCCGGATTGCCTTAAATGTCAGGAACACATCTGTGTCGTTTATCAGTGATGGAGAGCGGGCACAATACTATATCAGCAACAGCACTTACCGGAGTAAACCAAGAGAGAGAGAAAGAGAGAGAGAGTGATTGAGTGGGAGAGAGAAATAGAGAGGGGAGGGTGAGGGAGGGGCAGAGAAATAGAGAGGGTCGGAGAAAGGGGGGAGAGAGAGTGATAGAGAAATAGAGAAGGTCAGAGACAGAGGAGTGCAGAGGGAGAGAAATAGAGGGACGGAGGTTGTGTGAGTGTGACCTCCCCGGTGTGTGACAACTGTGGCCATTGCCCCACAGGACGCCGGAGTTTGAAGCCGCGAGATACCTGACGACCAATGCTGAGTTCCTACGGTTTGTGCTGGCCGGTGGCTACCAGACCCACAGCTACTGGAGTGAGGAGGGTTGGGCGTGGAGGCAGTTCCGGCAGGCTAAGCACCCCACCTTCTGGGTGTGTGCCAAAGGTATGAGGGTCCCCAGCCACCAGCCCAACCCCCATGCTGGGAGTAAGGGATTATTACCCGGAAAGAGATCCGCCAATCGACTAACAACCAGGTTTTCTACCTATGCTTACAACAGGTTAACAAACCCCACGACTTTGTTTCCTCACCCAGGGTGTAAGGCTCACTGTGGCTCCGGCCTCACTGACTATTCTCACTGCCAGCTGCTCATAGCCCCCATAACTAACGGAGGAACTGGGACCCCTAGCTCCCGGGGCAGTCAACAAGAGGGCAGCCTGCATCAAGACAAAGCCTCAGAGTTCAGGTGAAATCTCTCATCTCCTCAAAACGGCTATAGTTTTTGGTCAACGGGTCTGACACACACGCGAACCCCTCACTGTGATCAGCCAGGTGGGTGTCTGTGCATTGAGGAGTGATGGCTGAAATTTAACCCACTGAAACCATTGGAAACACTGTCTGGCAAGCTTCCCATTAGGAATTTCTGGCTTGCTAGGTGAACAGGAGCCGAGTGGGAAGAATCCCTGCCCCCTCCTCAGAGGCTGCACTGCATGTGATGGAGCAGAGAATGTAAAAATAGCACAAAAGGCTCCTCTTTTCAGAGAGAATGGGGAGTGATGAATAAGTTATCAGCAGCTAAAGCAAAGGAATCCGAAAGAGAGAATGGAACCTGTTAGAGGAGATTGTGTATGTTTGTTCTCAGCAACGTATTGTGAATAAGGTTGGGGGGAGGTCTCTGAGGTGACAGACATGTGTTCTAGAGTGGCGTGAGTGGGTGGGGGGGGGTGGGAGGGGGGCAGAGGCTCCAAGGTGCCTCTATGTGTGTGTGGAGGAGATGCAGCGGTAAGGGCAGAGACAGGTGTCCTTGTGTGTGTGTGTGAGGGAGATGGCAGGGGTAATGGCAGAGACAGGTGTCCTTGTGCGTTGTGTGTGTGTGTGAGGGAGATGGCAGGGGTAAGGGCAGAGACAGGTGTCCTTGTGTGTGTGTGTGAGGGAGATGGCGGGGGCAGAAGCTATTGTGTGGAAGGGGAGGGGGTTTGGGTGGTGCCACACGGATGCTGGAGTCTATTCTTTGCTTCTCACAGTTACAGAGCCATGTTCGATGTCCTCCCAATGCCCTGGGATTGGCCGGTGGAGGTCAACTATCACGAGGCAAAAGCGTTCTGTGCGTGGAGAGGTCCCGAGTACAGACTGCCCAGCGAGGCCGAGCACCAGAGGATGAGAGGCACTCAGGTAACCTCTGCTCAGTGGGCTCCGGCCTGCTTCACATTCCCCCGCCTTGCCCACCCCACCATTGACGGGCAGGCCTTCAGCCTCTCTGCCCCCACTCTCTGGAACTCCACCCTTTGTGTGGGGTTGGGGGGTGGGCAGTGCGTATTCTGTGCTGAGTTACTGAGTCACTCATCTACTAGATGGAGCTGTAAGTGGCAGCTCTGCCACAAACTGTAGTCAAAAGGGAACTAGATATCTAAAAAGCAGTCAACCTCAGAGTATGGGAAAAGGGCAGGTAAATGAGACTGAAAGGATTGCTCTTAAAGAAGCTGCACAGACCTGATGGGCCAAACAAGCTTCTTCTATGCTGTAAATTTCTGTCATTCTCGGGACGCAGACAGCCTGATGCATCGCTGGGTCCACAGGCTGACATTTCCACAAATGTATAATTAACACATCACTTTGGGGATACAGTCTGCCATTGCCACCGTGTTGCAGTGACTGGGGCAGTGTCCAATGGCTGCTTGATGCCTCCACGGCCTTCTCCTCCCTACCTCTGTGACTTGCTAACTCCGTATCAACATGTCCGTTTCCTCTGCTCAGCAGGCTCTGGCCTGCTCCATGTCCCTCGCCCGGCCCGCCCCACCATTGGTGGTCAGCCTCTCCCCACCCTTTGGAACTCCAGCTCACAGTCCGTTTGCCTTGCTCCCTCCTTTGCCTTCTTCAAGATCCATCTCCTCTTCGACGGTACCTTTGGTCACCCTCCTACCCTACCCTCCCTGCCCCCTCCAGCCTTCATGATCCCAATTCCCTGCTCAGATCCAGAACCCTGACTGTCCAGCGCCTCCCGATGTGAAAAGCGCTGTGTAAATGTAATGTGTTGTTGTTGCCTGCATGGCCGGCTGAGCACAGCACAGAGAACCGGCCCTGGACAATGTCCTCTGACTCTGTCCCCCAATATTCTTTGCAGAAACCTTCTGAGGTTGGTGTGAGTTGCGACCCTATATTCTGTGAGGACCTGGAGCAGAAATGTAACATGAACCTGCTGTTCGGATCCCCAACGGTATGTTCTGTCTCAGCGGCACAGAATTACAGCCTCTTTAACTTCCACTTAAAGCGCGTCCCAAAGTACGTTTCAATCAATGTGACAGCAAACACACCCAGCTCTATCAGGGTGAAGTAAAGCTCCCTCTACTCTACACTTTCAGCACTCCCAGGTCAGTGACAGCACAGGGTAGAGAAAGAGTAAAACTCTCTCTATACTGTCCTTCCACACCTCCAGGTCAGGGTTAGAGTCAGAGTAAACCTCCCTCTACATTGTCCGTCCACGCTCCCAGGTCAGCGACTGAACGGGTTAGAGACAGAGTAACACTCCCTCTACACTGTAGAGACAGAGCGAGGCTCACCTGATGGAGGCCGGGCCTTGTGCATAGGGTGATACAATGAGTGAGTGGTTAGGTTACACTCGAGCAGGACGACAGTGGTTATTTCTCTCCCTCTCACATCCCTTCAGCCAGTGAACATGTTCCCGCCCAGCGAGGCTGGCTTCTACGACGTGTCTGGCAACATCTGGGAATGGACCGAGGACCATTTCAATGGGCTCCCAGGGTTTGACACTGTTTACCTGTATGACGATTTTTCTGCTCCCTGCTTCGACAGCCAACACACTGTCATTCTGGTATGTTCTCAGCATGTGTTGCTGTAAAGCTACAGTATACTGGGGGTGTTGGCGGAATTGAATGGGTCTGGGCTTAGCATTTGTTCTGGTTGGGTTTGGATGCAGTTGGGTTAGTTTGGGATTCGGTCAAGGTTGAGTTTAATTAATAATAATCTGTATATTTGATATAACGCCTTTCACATCAGGAGACTGTCTCAAAGCGCTTCACAGAATTCTAGGCAATATTTGTTCACATTGGGTTGGGTTGAATTGGATTGGGGTGCTTAGCAGTGTTGGGTTGGAGTTGGGTTGAGACATGGGTTGGGGGCTGAGATTGGATTGAGGGCTGGTCGGTCAGGTTGAATTGGGTTGAGGCTGGTTTGGGTTGAGGCAGTTTTGGGTTGAGCTGAGTTGGGTTATAGTTTGTTTGGGATGAATTGGATTAGATTGAGTTGAGGTTGAATTGGGTTGGGTCAAATTGGGTTGAGGTTGGGTTGGATTGAGATTTGGTTGGGATGAGATGGTTTTAGTTGGTTGGATTGGTTTGGGATGAGTTGAGTTGACATTCAGTTGGATTGAGTTACATTGGGTTCACATTGAGTTGGGTTAAATTGGGTTGGGATTGGGTTTATGGTTTAGGGTCGGGTTGAGCTGGGATGAGGTTGAGCTGGGTTGGTTTGAGTTCATTTGGGGTGAGTTTACTAATGGACTGGACTCTGATCGCATGTTTACAGGGTGGTTCCTGGTGTTCAACCGGTGATGAGGCCTCGCGCTTTGCTCGCTTTGCCTTCAGGAGACATTTCTTCCAGCATTTGGGCTTCCGACTGGCCAAGAGCCGTGGGCCTGTGAAGACCCCAGTCCAACGGGTCAGCACAGACATCTTTTTGCCGGGCACTGGAATGAAAGGTAGAAATTCAGTCCCCCTCCGTTCAGACTGGTCCATCTCTCCGCTTGTAGTTCCACGTCCCATACATTGGGTTGTTGGAGAATTAACTAATCTGTGATTTCACTGAATGTGCCCAGAGGAGTCCAGCTGAGGTCCTGATTGCAGATCTAGCGATGCACCAGTGCAGCCTATCTAGCATGTAATGTGCATGCTCTCTAATGCCTCTGGATTAAACACCATATGAGAATATGGAACAAGGATGGGTTTTAGAAAAGAACCAACAAAATATGGCATCCGGCATTTGACTGATGTTCCGTACTGAACCCGGGACCTCAGGGGAAGAGCCGCGAGCACTATTGGGATTGGCTGTAGCTAAAGTACTCTGTGTTGTAACCAGATCACCCTGTCCCTGAGGAAACGATGCGAGTGGTGTTGACCCCCAGCTCCAACATCCAGCTACTGTACGAGACAGAAGCCAGGGAGCAGGTAAGTGGTGACAGTCACACTCACGCTGCGGCTGGTACAGGATCTCAGCCATCCAGTGCTGCTGTTTTACAGTGACCTCCAGTGGGGAGTGGGTGGTTATTAGTAATGTCCAGTGGGGTCTGGCTGGTTAGCGGTGATATCCAGCAGAGTGTGGGAGTCAGAGCTGGGATGGGGAGGGAGGTAGCCAAAGATGCTGTCAAAGCAATGGGGTCTTGGGGAGTTCCAGAGCGCGAGGTGGGGGGTCAACAATTGTTCAGAAGGGAAGTAGAGAAAGATTTGAGGAAAGTGAGTGGCGAACTGGAGAGTGAGTTTGATAAGAAAAAGAGATTTATAAAAACAGAGAGGTTGGGATCAGACACATGAGGCCAAATGGCCTCCCCATGACCCAGGTTTCTCCCAGAGTATTGTAATAATTTGAATCACTTGTCTTGCGGGGCCTCAGGAACAGCTGGACTGGGAGTACGGGGACCCGAGCCAGGCTTCCTACTGCCGTCAACTGGTCCGGCTGTGCCGAGAGGCCTGGGGGCAGAGAACGGGGCAGCATCACTCCGCCCTGGTTCTGGGCAGCGGAACAGGCCTCACCTCCTTCCTGCTCACACAACACTTCGACAAGGTGAGATCTGGCAGTGGCGGGACAGGGAGCGGGGAGTGGGGGTACAGGGGATGGGGGGGGCAGGGAGTGGAAAGATGGGGGCTGGTGGAGGGAAGAGGGGGCTATGGTAGGGGGCTATTTCCACACTTAAAGTAAATAAAGTAAGACTTTTCCACACTTAAGCCTGCCGCTCTGATTGCAGGTGATCGGGTTGGATTACTGTGACCGGTTTATTGCCCTCTCCCAGCAGCTGCAAGCCTCAGGCAGCCTGGGCCTCGGGGTCAAGGTCCCTGACCACTTGCACAGGGACAGGGTGGTCTTCAAACAGGTGAGAGGGGAGGTCTCGCC